GCGCGTAGTGTTGCAATTCGGCGCTGCGATCAACCCTGTATTGGTTCCGACCAATCAACACATTCGCACTCGCCCTTTCTAAAATTCAGGAGCAAATCGCAGCTGACCAAGCGATTCGCTCATGCGGTGTTACCGGTTCTCGTGTGCATCAAGCATCTCGCCGAACACACATTCATTCCCACCCGTAAGTAACTTGGCAGAATGATTACGTTCGGACGGCCCCAATCCTCACATCGCATGATTCCAGTATGTTCGCTAGTAACTGGAACGCTGATTTCTGGACACCAACCACAAAGTAACTAAGAATTAGCTTCGTGGTAGGTTTCTGTTCCAACCATTTTTGGGATGATCGTGCCTCGCAACCGCTTCTTCTCCTCAAAATATTTCGCCTCCCTCCTCGATCCACCAAATTCCAGGTTCTCGAATCTTCTTCATCTGCATCTCGGCGAGTTCGCGTTCGACTCAGCCACCTCGTGCGATCCATTTGCACCGGATGCGGCTCGTCCCTGACGCATCTCACGATGCACCTGTACGATCGACGATTCTCGCCATCCACGCAGCACGGCCGTAACGGACGCCATGGACAGTCGACCAGCCTCGCGCCATCCGATGTCGCCACCATTTTCGATTCCTGCTCGCGATTGGTCAATCTCCAGCTGGTCGGCGTTCCTGAGATTCCGGTTGCCGTCAGCTGTCTTCAGCAGCTCACGCGGCTCAGCGTGAGGTTAAGCGAAGGCGTTACCGGGTTACCAGAGGAGTTCGGCAGGCTGGTGGGTCTTAAGGACTTGCAGTTTCAGTCAGGGCGTTTGTTTCGTACGTTACCTGATCCCATATGCAGTCTCAGCTCCCTTGAGCGACTCACCTTCAGCTGCTCCCACATTTTTCATCTGCCCAGTAGATTGGGGCAGCTCCAGAATTTGAAGATCATCAGCCTCTCGTTCCTAGAAGAAGTCGCTGAACTGCCAGATTCGATCTGCGAGCTTACGAGCCTTTCGCGCCTTTCTCTCAGCCATTGCCCGCAGCTGACCAGGCTGCCCGAAAACCTTCACCAACTGCCCAATCTGGACACACTGGAGCTAATTGGACTGATGGCTCTGACAGCAGTACCTGAGAGTATCGACCAGCTGCCCGCTCTACAGGAGTTATATACTCATACCTGCCCGCTACTGACGGAACTGCCAGACTCCTTATCCGCCAGCCAGACCCTTCGTCGCCTCACGGTCGATAACTGCCTAGACATGGTGTCGCTACCCGATGACATCGGCCAGATTGGCACTCTCCAGTACCTGCACCTGGACGCTCTTGATGAGCTCAACGTGCTTCGAGACTCCGTTGGACGGCTCTCCGGTCTTAAGGAGCTGAAAGTCGTTGACTGCCCCCACTTGGAGAGTTTTCCGGAGTCTGTTTCCGCCATGGGGTCTCTCAACAGCCTCGTTCTCGACTGCTGTGCTGTTTGTGAGCTGCCCGAAGACATCGGGCAGCTTCAGAACTTGACATTGTTGAAGCTGTCTTGCGCCTGGCTAGTGGAGCTGCCGGAATCTTTTGGGCAGCTTGGGAAGCTGAGGGAGCTGATGCTGCATGCGTGCTACGAACTGACTTGCCTCCCAGACTCCTTCTCTAACCTCTCTTCACTGGAAACGCTGGAGATCTATGGTGGAACCTGTATTGAAATGCTGCCTTTGGGGTTTGAGCAGCTGCTGCAGCTGAGGAGATTGGAGCTGTTTAACTGCTCCCTCACCGAATTGCCTGACGAGTTTGGAGGCTTGGAGAACTTGAAAATATTAAAGATCGGTACCAGGGATACTTATACCAGGAGGGGGTTCGATGTTGACATTTTTTTGACTTCGGGTACGAGAAATCCGGAAGCAGAGGTTGTTTCTGGCCAAAATTTGTGGCCAAGCGCTCTAGCGAATATATGTACAGTATTACACCACGTCATGCTGACAGCATTACAACTGATGCCCACCCCATGCACGCGAATTTGCTCTGTGCCGGATGGAAAAGCTGCACCCGAGGTTTTTTACCCAGCCAGTTGCACCCACGTTACAAGCACGTCGCGCAAGTTGCAGTGATTATGAACCACAAGTAACGAACAGACCATGGTCATACTGAAGAGACAGAAGTCAAAACGTCAACGAATAGGGTTACAGATCCTTTATAAAAGCCCCTGCGAGTTCTTTTTAGCTAGCTGCGAATTGACGAAACTTATGCGAAAAGGACGATACAGCTTATACGCCCCTTTCACAAGGCAACCAGGAGGGGCTCAATCAGGCATCAGCTGTACACCACGCCACGCTGGCACGTACGTTCGGACGAGGATGAGCATCAAGCCAGTAGCCCGAATCGCCTACTTAGGCTCCAAGCCTAGAAAACAAAACGACAAATGTAGACAGCTGGAGATACGGACACGGGAGTGCACAGTCAACGCTGCATGATTCATCTGAATGAACTGCCGAGCCGTCCCGCCCACGCCCGTGAACGCACGGGCGCGGAACAATCAGGGGAGGCATGCGCGCCCGTCATAGAACAGCAGCGTCGCAAAGGCGGCTCACGGTTCGCGAATGACGACGTGGGCGAGCTCGTTACACACGATACGCTGAAATTCTATTTCGCCCATATTCCGAACTCTCAAGTTATCAAAATGTTCGCCCCACGTTGAAGCTCATGTTCGCCTAAAGGCAGCCGTCGAACTTCAATAACCAGAGTCTAATGTTCATGCCGAAGGCATCTATAACGCAACACGACCATCCCCACCAAATGGCCTAGCCAAACACCCAGAGCAGTCGACACCAATTCGCACCTAAAACACGTCGCTATCTTACGATGCAAGCCACTCTACTGACATACCTCGCTATCACTGCTGACGTATTCTAGCATGCTGACGTGGCTCGCATGGCTGTCCCGCTTTCTACCCTCACCTTCCTCTGCCTCTCGCTCAACCTCACAGTCTGCCACGTCTACAAGACCTCGCTGGCCACGTGTACAGCCAGTGACACGTCAGCCACGCACACCAGTCCCTGTCCCCCATGGACGGCTGTAGCAGGCGCCACGTGGTCGCGGAGCGGAGACAGCGCCGCTGCTTGCAGCCAGAGGCTGCTGGTCCGCGCAGCTTCCGCCATTTCCGCCACCGCGCGGGACATTGCGCAGGAAAGGGGGGATTGCAGGTGCGCGCGCGACATTGCGCGGGAAGGGGGAAATAGCAGTGCGGTTGTGACACATTAGCGCGCGCAGAGGGCGTTGGCATGAGGGATCATGTTTCCGAGTCGCTTCAGAGACTGAGAAGGCTACTAGGACAACCCTGCCTCATTTGGAATGCCGTGGGTGCAGCCAGAGTTTCTAAGACGCCCGCGTTTCGCGCGTCTTCTGCTCCAATCCAACAACCCCCCTTTTCTCCCCCCTTCTTAACTCTCCAAACACACCCTCAATCCCCACTCCATTCCCCCCTCCCCCCTGCCCCACTCCCCCCTTCTTCCCGCCACTTCCGCTCCTCCGTGTTTAACCCGCTGTTCCGCTCACCGTGTGTTGCCGTAGCGCCAACTGGCTGCCTGTGATTGGTCAAGAACCGTCGTTTCTGTCGGAGCAGTGGAGTGAGCAGCTGCTGCAGGGCAGCCCGTGGCGTGCCACGTGTCCCTTGCCCTTCCTCAAATCAGGTGAGCGGGGGAGGGGAGAAGGGAGGGGAGAGAAAGGGGTGGAGAGGAGCATGGGAAGGGTGGAAGCGGGTGGGGGTGAGGGAAAAAGGAGAGGAGGGACGTTAGCAGGGGTGGGAATGTTGTGCTTATCCGATCCGATGGGGTGAGGGTGGGAGGTCGCATGGCATTGATCGCATAGCATTGATCGCATGGCATTGATCGCATGGCATTGATCGCATGGCATTGATCGCATGGCATTGATCGCATGGCATTGATCGCATGGCATTGATCGCATGGCATTGATCGCATGGCATTGATCGCATGGCATTGATCGCATGGCATTGATCGCATGGCATTGATCGCATGGCATTGATCGCATGGCATTGATCGCATGGCATTGATCGCATGGCATTGATCGCATGGCATTGATCGCATGGCATTGATCGCATGGCATTGATCGCATGGCATTGATCGCATGGCATTGATCGCTGGGGGACTGTACTGATTCCTGCATTCCCGTCTCCCCCTCCCTCTTTATCTTTCTCACCCTTTCACTCTCCCTCTCCCTCTTTCGCCCGCTCCCCGTCTGTCTCATTCTCCCTCCCTCTCCCACCCACCGCCCTATCAGGTGCCTCTCTCCGCCTGCTGCCTCCCCCTAGCCTCTCCGTGCAAGGCAGAGGGGCGCAGCGCGGGGGGAGCTGGGAGGGGGGGGCGGGGTGCGCGGAGGGGGAAGTCCTTTGGGGAGGGGAGGCAGCTGAGGAGATATGTGTGATTGTATTGAGGGGTGAAAGAGGGGGAGGGCGGAGGGGTGGTGAGGGAAGGAGGGGGCGATGGGAAAGTGATGAAGTTTGGAGGGATGGAGCAGCAGAGGGGATGGGTGAGGGTGTGTGTGGGGGGAGGGAAGCAGACAAGACCGAATGGAGCACTTTGGACTTAGCAAGGCGAGAGAGGGGGGAGGTTCGGAGGAAAGAGAGAGGGATGGAGAGGAGAAAAGAGAGAGGGGAGGATCGTGTGAAAGAGAAAGGGAAAGCAGGGAAGGAGAAGAAGGAAGGGAAGGAGAAGAAGGAAGGGAAGGAGATGGAAGGGAAGGAGAAGAAGGAAGGGAAGGAGAAGAAGGAAGGGAAGGAAAAGGAAGGAAGGGAATGGAAGGAGAAGAAGGAAGGGAAGAAAAAGGAGGGAAGGGAATGGAAGGAGAAGAAAGAAGGGAAAGGAGGGGAGGAACTGAAGGACGGGATTAGAGGGAAGGAAGGGAAGGAAAGGGAGGGAGAGAATGAAAGGAAGGAAAGGATGGAAGAAGAGGAAGGGAAAGAAGGGAAAGAAGGGGCGGAGAAGACGAGAAGGAAGGAAGGGAATTCGGTGCTGGGAAGGTCAATGGGCAGCAGCGAGGCACCACCACCTTCTGGCGATGACCCTCACACACTCATGCAGCTGGTAAGTATGGGTATTCTTCTTGCTCATGAGCCCGCCTTTGTGTTTTGAGTTGCCTCAAATCACGCCGGTATAAGTCAATACGGGCAAGGCAAAAGCACGCTCTGATCATATGAACAGCAAGGCAGGCTGATTTGAAGATGCACCGCATGACTTTTGAGTCGACTCAAAAGTCACCTCGCTAATTTGAAGATGCACTGCATGGCGTTGCCGTGCAGCTTTGACAAAGGAGCTTCACCCCGTGCCTCGCCTGCAGGCTGCAACCCACTCTCATCGCCTGCAACCCATTCCCTTCACCATGCTGCTTTGATAGAGTCAACCTTTTCACTTGTGCACACCCGTTCCTGGCCCGATCCCCCCAATCAGGGCGAGTCTCAAATGGTGTCCAATCAGGTCCAAGCAGCACTGCACTCGTTCAGCCGAGCTGTTGCTCTGATACCAAATGATGCAGAGGCATGGCGGCTGCAGGGGTGGGGGCACAAGGAGGCTGGCAACAGGCGCGAGGCAGAGGCGAGCTTCAATAGGAGCGTCCAGCTCAATGAGAGGTGCGCCTGTTGAGGTGCTTGGCGTGTGGTGCTATGTGTGATGAGTGCAGCGCATGTGTATGCATGCATGGAGCTATGCATGTGTGTGTGTGCATGCATGGAGCTATGCATGTGTGTGTGTGCATGCATGGAGCTATGCATGCGTGTGAAAGCACAAAGCGGCAATTAAAAGGGGTTTTTGTTCGCCCCCGTTCTCCTCTTTTAGTCAAGCACAGCCTCAGCCCTCATCGGCCCTTCCGCCATTTCGTTAGAGTCCCGTATCGCTCCGTAATGAAACCCTTCCCTCCATCTCTCCATCTCATTCCCCTCGCCTCCCTGGTGCTGTTTCCTTGCAGCTTCCTGCCTGCGCTGATCATGTGGGTGGAGCTGAGACACGTGGCAGGCGACCATAGGTGCGGATAGGAAGAGAGGAGTTAGAGGGGAGAGGAGGGAGGTTTGGGGCGGTTTTTGCGGCGCCTCAAAAGTTGATCATGTGGGTGGAGCTGAGACACGTGGCAGGCGACCACAGGTGCGGATAGGAAGGAAGGGAGGGGGGAGTAGGGAGGAGGGGGAGGGGGAAAGACGGGCGGCGAGGAAAGAGAGGGTAACTGGAAAGAAGGGTGATGGGGAAAGAGAGGGTAACTGGAAAGAAGGGGGATGGGGAAAGAGAGGGTAACTAGAAAGAAGGGGGATGGGGAAAGAGAGGGGAACTGGAAAGAAGGGGGATGGGGAAAGAGAGGGGAACTGGAAAGAAGGGGGATGGGGAAAGAGAGGGGTGAGAGGGGCGTCTTGTGAGGCCCCTCGAAAGTTGATTGATTGGGTGAAGCTGAGGTGAGGCGTCCAGCAAAGCAAGCAGCCTAAAGTTCCTTGTCAGTCTTCAATCTCCCCACTTTCTCCCCCAAACCCTGCACGCATCGCCTGCCTGCCTTGCATGAATTGATCTTAGGGGCGCGTTAAAGCTGCTGGAAGCGGCACTGCAGCACCACCCATCAAGCGTGCAGCTCAGATACCTGGAGGCCTCCTGCCACCACGCTGTTGGGAACTTTGTTCAAAGCGTAAGCCCTGCTGGCACTGTAAGGCTGTAAGCCCAGCTTACTCTGTAGTGCACACCACCACGCCTGTTGGTACCATTCGTGTGGAGCCTTTCCCTTTCCTCTCTCTTGTAGCACAAGTCCTCTCTGTACATGTTCTCGCTCTCTCTCCAGGCTGCTTTCGAGATAGCCACGTGAACCCAGCGAATTTCAACTGTACATGCTCCCGCTCTCCAGGCTACTGTCGAGATGGCCACGTGACAAGAAAGTGTTTTTGAGACGTCTCAAAAGCTCACGTCCTCTCTGTACATGCGCTCGCTCTCTAGACGAGTGCTTTCTGCTAGATCGTTATTCTTAGCAGGCTTGCTACCCAGTGAGACTAGTGCTTTCAACTGTACATGCGCTCTCTCTCTCTCTCTCTCTCTCTCTCTCTCTCTCTCTCTCTCTCTCTCTCTCTCTCTCTCTCTCTCTCTCTCTCTCTCTCTCTCTCTCTCTCTCTCTCTCTCTCTCTCTAGGCTGGTTTCGAGACGCGTAAAGAATAAAATTTTTCCTCCTTGCTTTCCTTCTCTTGCAAGGTCACTCACCGGAAGCTATTTCTCTCTAGGATCGCAGCAAGACGCAAAACCAATCGATTCCTGCCCTTTTCCTTGTGTTGTGCAGATTACCCTATACAACTTTTGAGGCGCCTCAAAAGTCGTCTCATGTCTCGCGGATTTTGAGGCGCCTCAAAAGTCGTCTCATGTCTCGCGGATTTTGAGGCGCCTCAAAAGTCGTCTCATGTCTCGCGGATTTTGAGGCGCCTCAAAAGTCGTCTCATGTCTCGCGGATTTTGAGGCGCCTCAAAAGTCGTCTCATGTCTCGCGGATTTTGAGGCGCCTCAAAATTCGTCTCATGTCTCGCGGATTTTGAGGCGCCTCAAAAGTCGTCTCATGTCTCGCGGATTTTGAGGCGCCTCAAAAGTCGTCTCATGTCTCGCGGATTTTGAGGCGCCTCAAAAGTCGCCTCATGTCTCGCGGATTTTGAGGCGCCTCAAAATTCGTCTCATGTCTCGCGGATTTTGAGGCGCCTCAAAAGTCTTTTCCTTGTGTTGTGCAGATTACCCTATACAACAACATGCTGACATTGTACCGAGGTGACTTTTGAGTCGACTCAAAAGTCACCTCGACGCAAAACCAATCGATTCCTGCCCTTTTCCTTGTGTTATGCAGATCACCCTATACAACAACATGCTGACATTGTACCGAGGTGACTTTTGAGTCGACTCAAAAGTCACCTCGACGCAAAACCAATCGATTCCTGCCCTTTTCCTTGTGTTATGCAGATCACCCTATACAACAACATGCTTTCACTCTCGCCGCAGCAGCACGAGCAGGCTTTTGTCTTCCTCGCCTTCTTCCAAGTAAGCCCAATGTCCTCGTTCTTTTGTGCTGTCCTCGCTTCAAGCAGCTGCTAGGGTTTTCTCATCGCTAGAGTGCAGCCCGTTGTGTGGTGGTGATTCTGTAATTGAGGAGGCTTGTGGGAAGATTGGAGCATGGTACCACTGTGGTAACTCCTCGAGGAGCGTGGAGCGTGAAAGATTCTCATCCACTTGTTCTTCCTTACCTCTGCTTCCCTCTGCTGCCTCTCCTTGCCTCTTCCTTGAATATGGTAACAGAGGGAGGTGGCAACGCACATGGCAATGACCATAAACGACCCCTTTCCTGAATTCAGCATCAACGACCGTTTCAGCAGCGTCTTCAAGGTGAAGCAGCAATCGCCGTTGCAAGCCTTTCAACACGTCCGCTGTAAATGGTTACATTGTGTGCGCAACTGTGATGTGACTCATTTCATTCATCTACCACACTCATGCTCAGACCAGAGGTGCCTTTGGTTGTTGAGTCAACCTCCCGTCTCCTTGTTGTCCTCGCTGTCTCCTTTCTCAACCATGGCAGGACGGATCGACGTGCATCTTCCACCGAGCAGCGGTGGTGGAAGAGAGGCTTTGCCATGCTCGCCGACTCACATGGCCCCAATGGTGCTTTCAACCATCGAAGAAAACACTGCTTGCTTTCTGTTTCCTTCCCTGCTACTTCTCCCTTTCTCTGTTGGCAGGAGGGGTGGGCGCGTGCGTTCCACCCGGCAGAAGTGGTGCAGAGAGGCTATGCCATGCTCGCGGACTCGCGCGCCCTCCTCTCCTCCCTGCAGCGCCGCCAGCTGCTTCTCGTGCAGCGAGCTCAGGAGGAGGAGCGGGAAGAGGAGGAGAGGAAGGGGAAAGGGAGGAGGGCAGGGAGGAAGAGGGTTGGAGCAGGGGTTTCCTTGGCTGATAGGATGAAGGAGCTGCTGACGTGGGCGGATTCGATTGGTCGGCGCGTGCATTACAATGTGACGGGGTTTGTGTGGAACCCGAGGCAGCAGCGGGCGGCCGGGTTGGCAGCACTCGAGATCATGCAGCGAGTGAGGGGGGCATGGGCCGAGTGGATTAAGAGGGGGGGCGTAAATAGGGGGAGCAGTGCAGAGGAGGTAGAGGAGCAGGTGGAGGAGGGGGTGGGGGTAGGATGGAGGGACGTGTACGGCATCGGAGTGAGATGGCGGCAGATTGCCGAACCCAACGACCCTATTGTGTGGGTCGACGGCCTCACGTGAGTTGTGGGGCTCTTGAATAACCACAACCCCATCGTGTGTCGAGTGAGTTGCATGCACTCGCTTTGGCTGTGGCACACATGCATTACATATATGGGCTTCACTTCATATGGACGGTGGGTCGGGGTTAGGTGTGGATAGCAACTTGCTGAGTGATACTTCTGCCCAGAGCTGAGTGATGCTTCTGCCCAGAGCTGAGTGATGCAGACTGATCTTTCTTTTCTCTGCCTATTCTCAACGTCAGAGGCCACTCTCTCACCGTGTGCGCTCCTCCCCTCTCCCACAGGAGGGAGTCGTTTGAGAGTGGCTTTGGCTCCAGCACCCCCATGGTCTCGGGGCCTGCCCACAACATCCGCTATGCCATGCACTCTCCCCGGTGCGTCCCTGCTACCGCTGCCTTTTGAGTTTGTCTCAAAACGTCACCTTCATGGGCTTTGGTTCTTTGGCTACGCCATGCACGCTCCAAGGTGTGTCTCATGTGCTGTGCTGTGCTGTGCTCACTCCACCACAAGGTCTCGCTCACTTAATGCACCTCCCCCTTTCTCCCCCTCCCCCTCTCTGTGCTGTGCCCCACCTCTCATGCCTCCATCCATCTTCTGCCCGCAAGCAGAGCACTTGAGATGGTGAAGGCCATAATTGGGGAGCAAGGCAAGGTGTACCGAGGGGGGTATGAGGAGATCGTGCTGTCCAAGTATGCCCTGCGGCAGGTGAGGTTTGGATGCCTTGACTATGCTTGTATCAATTTTGAGAAGGTGAGGTGAGGTTGTAATTTCCCTGCAGCAGTTGAGATTCAGATCTCTTGGGCCTTCAGCTTCAAGGCCTAGTGGTACAAAAAACTGCCTTCTGAGTCCCTTCCACCACAGCCAGGTCACATTCTGGTGTCAGGAGAGCATAGCAGTCCTGTTGTGCACAGCAGACTTTTGGGACGTCTCACAAGTACTGTAAGCAGCAGCGTATAAGAGTTTTTACAGTGAGCTGCGTGCTCAATGTTTTGTATGTACTGGAATTCGTTGCTATGTCTGCCTGCATTCGTGTACGGCATGCCATGCCATGCCATGCCATGCCATGCAATGCCATGCCATGCCATGCCATGCATCTCCATGCCATGTTATGCCATGCAACGCCATGCCATGCCATGCCATGCCATGCCATGCCATCAGGTAGCAGCAGCCTCGGACCACTCCCATCTATGGCAGGCGGTGCAGCAGCCCTTCTTTGTCTTCACGCCCTGCCAGAGCACTGCCTTCCCCAAGTAAGCCCTTCACGTTGATTGTCACCCTTCCCCAGTTAAGCCTACCTTAATGACTAGCTTCCACTCGTGTAACCTCTCTTACTGGAAATTTTCAACCTGCCTGCCCCTCTGGCCTCATGCCTCTCTCTCGCCTCTCTCTGGACCCATTCCTGCCTCTCTCCCTCCATGACTGCAGCAAGACACTCAACGGCACTCGCCTCGTCCTCTTGACCAGGTGTGTCGCCGCCCTCTGTTAGACATGGGCATTTGGCCTACTTACCTACCTTCCCTTTAACTCTCATTCATTTACTTTGAGGTTACAACTTTTCCTTCTTCTCGTATATGCATCTCAAAACGCCAACACAGTTTGTAAGGCATAGATACTGCACCAGCCATGGGCAATGACGCTGCAGCTGTGAGCGCGATAGTGTATTAAACGTCGCGCGTGCCATTGCTCACCAAATCGCGCACATAGCCGCTAACGTGCGCAGCCCATTAAGCATAGGCACGCGCGCCTCTTCGCAGCGTCGCGCGTCCAGGCACGATCGCCACCAGACAGAGTTGCGGTCACCACCACCAACTGCAGCGCGAACTCCAGCATCAGGAGTGGAGTTCGCCATAAACCCTAAATATATCATACCCTGCCCTTACCCGACCCGACCCGACCCGCCCTATAACCAACCCGGGGACGGGTCATAGATACCCGTGTACCTCGGACGGGTCGGGTCACATAACTAGAGCCAAACTTGACCCGCCGACCCGACCCGACCCGACCCGTGGCAGTCACGGGTCGGCCTAAACGGGACGGGTCGGGTCGGGTCGGGTCAAATGCCCATGTCTAAGACTCTGTTCAAAGACTCCTGCTTCCTCTAACTTGCTCTAGCACCTCTTTCGATCGCACTCTTCCCTTCGTCATACAAGGCCAGAGAGTAGAGCCTACCTCCTGCTTGTTCTTTTGAGGCGCCTCAAAACTCTTCCCTTCGTCACACAAGGCCAGAGAATAGAGCCTACCTCCTGCGTGTTCTTTCCAGTCTGAGACATCTCCAAGTGTCCCCTCCGCTATAAACTGTCGTGTCTCGGTGTGTATCCCTTTTCAGGCCCTATAGTGTCCAGCTTCCCATCAAGCTGAAGCATTGTGAGTCAACTCAAGAGTTACTATGCACCCCTACTCTCGTGATGAAGCCCTACTCTCCACCCCCTGGGCCCGCCTCTTTCTCCTTCCTTCCACTTGCCGTGCATCTCCTCCCAGGCCCTACGGAGTGGAGTTTCAGATCGAAACAGTGCTCACGTTTTGGGTCGACTGGAAACACGGCCCCTGGGCACCTTTTCCCCCACCTTTTCACTATTCGAGCATCTCCTTTCAGGCCATACGGAGTGGAGTTTCAGATCGAAACCGTGCTCACGCCCCATAGGTGGAACGAGTTTGATGCTGAAATGGCCGCTTCTTGGAAGGTTCGCTCCAGTTCCCAGCCCAGCCATGGCTTTCTCTTGTACTTACGAGAGCATGTAACAGCCATGTTTTGAACCATTCTGTCGTCAGCGTGTGTATCCCTTCCTCTTCGCTTCCTTACTCTGTGTTCCCAGCCCAGTCATGGTGTGTACACCTTGCTTGCTCTTAATTTCGCAGCCTTCACGGTTCCCTGTGTCCCTCACCTCTATTGCTGTGTCCGCCCTCTCTCTCCCATCAGGCCATCTGCCTGGCAGTGGCAAACACGGCTCTCCGCTACTCTGACCTCCCCATGTACCGCAAGACCGTGCAGGATAGCATTCTGAGAATGGCCTACTACTGGTACGTCTAAGTGAAGCATTTCAGTACTGCCCTGCCCATTACTTTTAGGACTATCCGTCCATCCTTGATCAATCCATCCATCCGTCCATCAATCAATGAACCACCCACCCACCCGCTATCACCTCAGGTACAACTTCATGCCCTTGGCACGCGGCACAGCCATGACAGGCCATGTCGTCACGCTCGGCCTGCTCCTCGCCATCGACCTGCACGCCTCCCAGCCCATCCCCCCTGCCGTCCAGGTGCAGTGCTGTGGGCCTTGATGGATGGTAGTTGCAGTCTAGTGCAAAATATATGGCCATGACAGGCCATGTCATCACGCTCGGCCTGCTCCTCACCCTCGACCTGCACGCCTCCCAGCCCATCCCCCCTGCCGTCCAGGTGCAGTGCTGTGGGCCTTGATGGATGGTAGTTGCAGTCTATTGCAAAATATATGGCCATGACAGGCCATGTTGTCACGCTCGGCCTGCTCCTCACCCTCGACCTGCACGCCTCCCAGCCCATCCCCCCTGCCGTCCAGGTGCGGTGAACCTTGATGGATGGTAGTGGTCGACTCAGGGGCCAAAGCCGCAGTGAAAATGCATGCGTGCGTACAACGAGAGATGGGGTTTGGGGGTTAAGATGCATGTTTGAAGAACCGCAACGACTCACCCCTCTTGTCGTTCCCTTCCCTTCCCTGCATAAGTGTCTCATTATCTATCTATCCCCACTGTGCAGGTGGACTGGGAGTCCATCCTCTGCCCCTCGGCTCCCCTTTTCCTCCGCTCCGTATCCTCCTGGCTCTACCCTTCGCTAACTTACTCACCTCGCCTGAAGGAACTTCTGAGTGTGGAGGACGCGTTCCCTTCCCTGGGTGATGTTGTGGATGTGCTAAGTGCGGCGGTGGAGGAGGAGGGAGAGGATGGTGGAAAGGAGAAGGAAGAGGAGGGGGGACAGGAGGGCGGCGACGAGGAAAGGCAAAGGACCACAGTCGGAGATGAGCAACCTGGAGGGCCTTTAGAAGGAAAGGAGTTGACGACAGGAGGCGAGTCTGGTGGGGGTTTAAGCAGTGTGGGTTCGAAGATGGTGGAGAGTCTTGAGACGAGATCGGGTGTGGGTGGGGGGGATAAGCTTGAGGGTGGGGAGGGGGGAGAGTCTAAGGAGAGGGAAGAGAGTGCGGGTGGGAGGAGGGGACGGAGAGGGGGAAGGAGGGCACAAAGGGAGAAGGAGAGAAGAGAGAGGGAAGAGCGGTTGCGAGAGGAGGAGAGAGCAAGAAAGGAAGGAGCAAGCGAAGGGAAAGGGGAGGAGCAAGTGAGTGAGAAAGGACGAAGCGAAGTCAGAAAGGAAGGGAACGAGAGGATGCAGGAGGTAGAGGAAGAGGTTGAGAGTGAGGGAGGTAAGATAGGAGGCAAAGGGAGAGGGTTGGCAGACGGTAATAGGGAGAGGGGAGGGGAGGCAGATGAGGACGATAACGCAGCAGACCGAGGTGGTGAGTCAGCAGACCGAGGTGGTGAGTCAGCAGATCAAGGTGGTGAGTCAGCAGACCGAGGTGGTGAGTCAGCAGACCAAGGTGGTGAGTCAGCAGATCAAGGTGGTGAGTCAGCAGACCGAGGTGGTGAGTCAGCAGACCAAGGTGCTGAGTCAGCAGATCAAGGTGGTGAGTCAGCAGACCGAGGTGGTGAGTCAGCAGATCGAGGTGGTGAGTCAGCACACCGAGGTGGAGAGTCAGCAGTGGAGGAAGGGAGGGAAAAGAGGGGGAGGAGAGGGAGGGGGCGGAGAGAGGAGAGGAGATTGAGGAGGGAGAAGGGGGGGGGACGAGAGGAAGGGGTTGGTGGTGTGGAGGAGCATGAGAACGAGGCGAAGGGCAGGGGGAACGTAAAGGTAATCACTGAGGGCACATCTACTATCAAGGACAATGAGAAGGATGTGGAGAAGGAGAGTGAGAAGGAGAAGGAGAAGGAGAAGGAGAAGGAGAAGGAGAAGGAGAAGGAGAAGGAGAAAAAACACAAGAGAGAGAAGATGGTAAAGGAGAAGGGAGAGCAAGAGGAGGCGGCTTCTGCAGAGTCCAGGCGAGATTCAGCCAAGGGAAGAGCTGGTGGGCGTCCAAAGAAGCGGTGGTGGGGTAGTGACGTGACTCTCGAAGCAGCAGTGGGGCTGGTGAGTGGCAGTGGGGGGGTGAGTGGCAGTGGGGGGGTGAGTAGCAGTGGGGGGGTGAGTGGCAGTGGGGGGGTGAGTGGCAGTGGGGGGGTGAGTAGCAGTGGGGGGGTGAGTAGCAGTGGGGGGGTGAGCAACACAGCTGGGTCACCAACAAGAGTTTTCAAAGGAGGTTGCGGTCACTGAAAGTTTTCAAAGCATTTTATTGCTGCACGTCTTTGTGTGCACAAATCACCTCATGTCATGTCAAACACCTCAAACCTCATCGTTGCTTTCCAGCTGCGTTCTGTCACACACTGTAAAAAACATGGCCACATTTCCACTTCCATGCTCTCTTTTTCCACGCTGCTTGATGATTCCCTTGCTTCACTGCGTTTCCCTTGTCCTTCATTTCCCTTACCTCGTGCATCCTGTCAGGCTCAAGCAGGCAACTACGAGGCTGCGATTGAAGCATTTGCACAGGTTTCCTTCCCTCCACTCTCTTTTCCTCCCTGCCCCTTCGCTTCCCCCTCCTTCCCTTTCCGTTCTCGCTTCTTTCCCTTCCCTCCCCTTCCTTTTCCTTCCCTTCCCTTCCCTTCCTTTCCCTTCCCTCCGTCCCTTTTCCTCTCTTCCCTTCCCATCCCTGCACACCGTCTCGTCTCTCGATCCCTCCGTGAATCCCGTGCTTGTTATCCTCATTACCGCAGTCTTCAACAGTATCTCTAGCCCTCAGTTGTCTTGTCTATGCCGTCTTGTATATTGAACCTGACATATGCCTTCTCGAGTTTTACAAGTGTGGTTGACAGTGAACAGTTTCCCCAGCAGGCATCTATAGATATTCTCAAGTAGCCCTCCTCACCTCATACCCTTTGCTGCTCGCTCGCCTCCTCCATACCTTGAACTCCACCAGCTGGAGGAGCAGGGTGAGGAGGAGTCAGCAGGGCTGCTGGCATATGGGGGCCATTGCTGCCCCCTCATATCCTCCCCTCACCTGCTCCCCTCACCTGCTTCCTCCCCTCCAAATCCCACCAGCTGGAGGAGCAGGGCGAGGAGGAATCAGCAGGGCTGCTGGCGTGGAGGGGGGCGGCCAACTCCCTCACCGGCCGCCACACGCAGGCCGTCACTGACCTCACCAAGGTGCGTCACTGTAGCGAGTTGACTCTTCAGGCAATTCAAGAGGCAGCCTGTGACAAGGTGTGTGACTGTAGGGAGGTGAGGCTTGAGTCAGTACAAATGGCAGTCTGTGACTCTTCCACAGTGTGTGACTGAAAGGAGGTGATTTGAAGGCGTTGCCATAACCAAGGTGCGCGACCGTAGTTCTTGTGAAGGGGGGTGTGTGACTGTATTTAGGTGTTGTGTCGGGTTAATGAAGCATGTGGATGTGATTTTTACCTTCCCACACTTCCCTCGATTTCACCTGCCTTCTTTGCTCTCTTCGGCTCTCCTCTCTTGCTCTGCCCTTGGGTGCGTTTCAGGCCCTCTCGGGGTTCATCTTGCCTGGCTTATCTGCCCATGTAGTAGCTCGCGCTGTTTTTAGAGACTGATCGGAGAGTTGTTTTTTGAGAATTCTCAAAAACCACCTCGAGGTTCATCCTGCCAGGCTTATCTACCCATGTTGCACCACGCGCTGTTTTAAGAGACTTTACGGAGAGACCTGTCCTTTTCTTGCTGTGCTGCCCTTGGGTTGGGTACATGTGTGTCACTGACATGACATGACAGGCGCTCAGGATCATCCCCTCCGATCTGCCCATCTACCAAAGTCTGCTCAACCACCGAGCCATCTCGCACCTCAAGCTGCAGCGATTCACAGAGGTGATGCCGGGGCTGTGATGTGCATTCAACTCAAGGGATTAGGGGGCAGTTTGTAGACCAGGTGCTCGTGGAGATGTGACGAGTAAGGAGCAGAGACGGGCTGTACGGTACAGCAGCAGAGGGCTGCAGAGCAGCGGGTGTGCATAGGGAGCAGAACAGCATGTATTCCAACCCCCTTCTTTTTGCTGCCAAACGCAACCAAACGCGGCCAAATGCGGCCTGGCCTTTATCAGTCTTTGCAGCTGCTTCAGCTTTCCAACAGCTCGTGCTGCTGCAGTCATGCCGACCGGCCGTGCCTCGTCAATCAGAATCTGGTGTGCCGTGTGCAGTGCATGTCTAGTGCATGTCTAGTGCATGTCTAGTGAATGTCTAGTGCATGTCTAGTGCATGTCTAGTGCATGTCTAGTGCATGTCTAGTGCATGTCTAGTGCATGTCTAGTGCATGTCTAGTGCATGTCTAGTGCATGTCTAGTGCATGTCTAGTGCATGTGTACAACGCATGCCATGGTGCTTTGTGCATCGCATGTGTACAACGCATGCCATGGTGCTTTGTGCATCGCATGTGTACAACGCATGCCATGGTGCTTTGTGCATCGCATGTGTGCAACGCATGTGTGCATCGCATGTGTGCAACGCATGTGTGCAACGCTATCCCATGGTGGTGTGGTGCTATGGCAGGCCATAGCGGACTGGACGACCATGATTGATGCCAACCCGAGCAATGTTGCTGCCATTCGTGAGAGAGGTGAGCGCAACAGAAGAACCATATCCCGTGTTGCCATGCCATCCCATGCACCACCCATGCCATCCCATGCGCCGCCCATGCCATCCCATGCACCACCCATGCCGTCCCATGTGCCGCCCATGCCATCCCGTGCACCGCCCATGCCATCCCATACACCACCCACCCATCCCTCCCCCACGTGGCAGGCATGGCTCGTGTGAACCACAGGGCTTTCAAGGACGCCATTCCGGACCTCACCACCGCACTACACCACTCTCCACACGAGCACACCCTCCGCCTCTTTCTCGTACAGTACATTTCCATGGCATGGTATGGTATGGCATGGCATGGCATGGCATGGCATGGCATGGCATGGCATGGCATGGCATGGCATGGCATGGCATGGCATGGGATGGAGCGGCGTATCCAGCTGCTGTGTGCAGAGCGGAGTGCTCTGATCAGCGGGCGTGTTATCCCATTCTCGTTGCCCCAGGTCAACACACTAGTATCCACATGGGACGGCAGTCAGAGGGAGCATTTGAGGCATAGTGTATGCTCGCCTCTCTCCCTGCTGCTACAATCCCCCTCCCTCCCATCCCCTCTCCCCCACACCTTACCTCAGGGCAACGCCTTGTACCACATGGGGAGGTGATCAGAGGCAGCAGCAGCGCTGCAGGAGGTGGTGCGAGCAGAGCCGCAGCGAGGAGAGGCGTGGCACGTGCACACTTCTCTCCTTACTGCTATCATCCCCCTCCCCTCTTCCCCAGGGCAACGCCTTGTACCACATGGGGCGTATGGCCGAGGCAGCGGCATCGCTGCAGGCGGTGGTGCAGGCAGAGCCGCAGAGGGGGGAGGCGTGGCGCGTGCTGGGGGACGTGCGGCGGGTCATGGGGGAGGTGGCGGAGGCGGAGAGGTGCTATGCGAATGCGCTCAAGGAGTTCCCCAGGTGAGAAGGAGGTGCTCTAGGTGGAGCCTTGGAGGCATGGTGCGTGCCGGGGGACGTGCGGATGGACATGGGGGAGGTGGGGGAGGCGGAGAGGTGGTATGCGAATGCGCTTAAGGAGTTTCCCAGGTGAGGTGGAGGAGAGAGTAGAGGCATGGCATTCGCCGGGGGACGTGCTGGAGGACGTGCGGAGGGACATGGGCGAGGTGGAGGAGGTGGAGAGGTGCTATGGGCATGTGCTGAAAGAGTTCCCCAGGTGAGGAGGAGGGATGGAAGGAGGCAGGCAGACGTGTGGTGGGGAACAGGCGGAAGGGCGTGGGGGAGAGGGGGGAAGCGGAGAGGTGTTATGAGAATGCGAGGAGCCAAGGTGAAGAGGAGGCGCGACGGGTGGAGCCTTGGAGGCTTGGTGGCGTGTGCTGGAGATGTCCAGAGGGATATGGGGGAGGGGAGGCGGACAAGGCAGAGAGAGAGGTGTTATATGAAAATGAGGGGTGATACACTGTATGGCAGGTGCACAAATGAGGGGCTTCCACGTGCTGCTGCATACCTCCTGTTTTGAGTCGACTCAAAGCATACCTCATTCCTTGCAATGCCCCTTCGCTCCAACCTTTTCTTCCCTCCCAGCAGTCGATTCGCCTCCACCCACCCTTTCATAAATGAACGCCGTGTGTGCTCCCATCCGCCTTCCCTCCCTTCCCCCCGTCAACGCATGGTGCGGCAGTGATATGCCCACGCTGCACTCCTGGGTGAAGCTGCTGCAATCCACCAGCAGACACAGGTGGGTGCAGAGTGGTGCAGATGGGTGCTGGTCGAAGAGGCATGTGTTTTTTGTGAGGTGTTGAAGTATTAGGGGGATGTTTGTAGACGGTTGTTGGCTGTGATCCCACTCAAGCCAGTTTCATACAACTGGTTGTGTTGCCAGTTTTGCCACTGGTTTTGCCACCCTCTATGACACTCTGTATCATGTACTACTGTCACTCTGTGTCATGATTTGTGTCACGTTTTGTGTCATTCTCTGCATATCTGTGTTCCTGGCACCCGGCAAGTCAGGGAGGTGATCAGCCTGCTCTCAAAGTACATCCCCTACCACCCGGCTGACGTGGAGCTGCGCTATTGGTTGGCATCGTCGCACCACTCCTTGGCTGACTTTCCCAAGGCTGTAAGCCCACCTGCTGACCACGCTAGCACCCTTCAACTACACCGGCTGATGTATTTTCGATATGTTTCTAGAACCAGGGATGGCTCTTGCCTATGCATTGCCTTGTTACAGGGTTGCCTGACAACTTGACTTTGATCCTAGCCATATCTTGATTTGGTGGGGTGCTTTTTCCTGTCACTTAGCGTAGCGCTTTCCTTTCAATTAGGTAAGCTAGCGTCATTCTTTGCCTGAAGCGTCAAAATTCGAATCGGTTTTCAACAAACCTGAAGGAACTCTTTGCCTGGTGGTGGTGGTGGTGGTGGTGGTGGTGGTGGTGGTGGTGGTGGTGCATACATGGTCAAAGTGACGAGGCGAGTAATACTCGACTCGTCACAGGCCATGCTCGCCGAGCATTTGCCCCGAGTCGAGCAAACCTCGAACGAGCATTTTGGTACTTTTGGCCTACTCGAGGCTCGTCGTTTTGGTACATACTCGGGCGAGTATGTGAGAATACTCGCCCGAGCATCGAAATACTCGACTCGCCCCTATCTGCGTGCACCTGTTGCCCTACTTATACAGTACCAAACGCGACCTATTTTAACAAGCCACTGGCGACACTAACATGGAGCGCGCTAAGCTTAGAGTTGTGTGGGTAGGGTGACGACTAGGCATTGAGCCGTTGAATGTGCAAATGTTGTCGATCCTATACACAAAGTGGTTGGGAACATTTGCCGGGTTCAGATCTGGGGTCAAATTTTCCCGCCAAAATTGACCCGCGGGCAAATTCTACGCGACAAGCTTTACATGCTCGACGAGCAAAAAAAAAACTCGTCGAGCATAAAACGAGCACGAAATGCTCGTCTTAGCGCACGAGCATGTGACGAGTATAAAAAGCTCGGCGAGCATTACTCGGCTTGACTCGGACGAGTAATTTTGCCAAAAAATCATGCTCGCCACTCGTCCCCTAACGAGCATTTCGAACGAGTCGAGTAAAAACCCTACACTCGTTGCCCGGCAGGTTGACATGTACAATCAGGTGCTTGAGATGCAGCCGCGTGACTACAGCGGGCGCCAGAGCCATGACATGGCCTTCTACCAGGTGTGACTGTATAAGGAGCGAGCAAATGAGAAACAGTTTTTGTTCTGTGACATTGCTGCAGCAAGATGAGCATGTTCGCTGACTCATGCCATGCTGCACGTGTTTGTACATGTCTAACTTCCTGCACCCCATACGTCGTGTCTCGTTGCGTGCTCCTGCATGTATCACAGAAGGAGGTGGCAGTATACATGGCAGCATGCATGGAGCAGCCGTTGGAGCGATTCAGCTTGCTCCCTCTCTCCCTGCGTGTCTCCCTGCATGTCTCCCTGCGTGTCTCCCTGCGTGTCTCCCTGCGTGCCTCCCTGCGTGTCTCCCTGCATGTCTCCCTGCGTGCAACTCATGTTGCATGCATCGCGTCACATAAATCACAGAGGGAGGTGGCAATCTACATGGCAGAGTGCATGGAGCAGCCTTTGGACCGATTCAGCATCGACGATCACTTCCCTCCTCTCTTCAAGGTGACTCATACACGGATAACTTCAGTCTGATTTGCCTCTATTCAACTCACTCCCCTCCTTTAGGCCGCATCAGTCAAATTCTGAAAAAAGCCTGCAAACTCGTGACCTTGACTCTACCTTTTCCCTCCTTTGCTGTCTCTTCTCCCCACCCCTCTCCCCACCCCTCTCCCCACCCCCCTTCCCACGCCTCTCCGCACTCCTCTCCCCGTTCCCCTCCCAACTCCTATCCCGTTTCCTCTCTCCTCAACCAACCCCCCTCACCAGGAGAGCTGGACATACCGCTGTCCACCAGATGCCCTGCTGCGGGCAGGATACGAGCCCATGGCCTTTCTGTCATTGCCTCGGTCTCCCAAGTCCTCCCCTCACTGCCCTCCCCACTCCTGACTCCGCCACCCCTCACCAGGAGAGCTGGACATACCGCTATCCACCAGATGCCCTCCTGCAGGCAGGCTACAAGCCCACGGCCCTGCCGCCTCTAGATGGTCGGGGGGGCAACGGCAGCACCTGCAGCGGGGAGGGCGAGGGGGCAAGGCTGGGTGCTGCCCACGTGGAGGCTGTTGATTGGGCAGACCGGCTGGGCGGACTGATTCAGTACCACTGCGCTGGCTTCCTCAATAACAGGCGCCAGGTGAGGGGCTTTAAACTTGCTGACTAAGTGGCGGCAGGGGAAGGGTGGTGAGACAGTGAGGTCCAGAGTAATTATTAATTTCATTTCATGTGTCCAAGCACAACACTTACTCGAATGATTCAATGCTCCTTCAGCTGATCCCAGGTCCATTGGCGTGGCTCCATTTTTTTAGTCCACTCGAGAGTTATTCCCTTCTTCCTACACCCCATCCCATCTAGAGACCCTCGTTCCTTCCCAATCACTCCAACCATCTTATCCATTCTGCTGCAATGTGCTGCACACAGCAAAGGGCGGCGGGGCTAGCCATGCTGGCGATCATGCAGGCACTCAGGCGCGAGTGGGCCCGCTTTCTTGCTTCCTCGTCTCGCCCAACCAGTGCCAGCAGCGGTGCTGACGTGGCGCTGACGTGGCGTGACGTGTACTCCATGGCTGCCACGTGGCGGCAGGTGGCGGAGCCAACGGATAAAGTGATGTGGTCCGATCGATACACGTGAGTAATTTGCTGATTAACTAACCAACATATGCTCGTGATGGTGACTCAATGCAGCAAGTAACAAACCTACATTTGAAAACTTTACCTCTCTAATTGTGCGCTACCAGATTGCTTTGGCTTTGGCCCGTGCTTTTCCCAATGTGTAATGTTCCCTGACTGTGACCTCCTCCGTGGGTGTGCTGTGGGTGCTGTGGGTGCTGTGGGTGCCACAGGGAGAGTGGGTTCAACAAGGGTGTCATCTCCAGTACCCCCATCTCATATGGCCAATCGCTTAACTTCAAATACGGCGCATACACCGACAGGTACAGTGGGCTCACAGGTACAGTGGGCTCACAGGTACAGTGGGCTCACAGGTACAGCGGGCTCACAGTTACAGCGGGCTCACAGGTAGTGTGACTATAGACATCTGTGGCGTCTAGAGGATGTAGTGTGACTATGGAGAGCGACCCGTGGAGTTGCACTGTGCAGCAGCTGCTTCAGAATCCCAAACACTTTGATGTTAAGCGCCGATTTATCATCTGTGTTTGCATATGCGTGACTGACTGTGTGTGCCTATGCGTGCATCAGAGCGTTTGGGATTCTGAAGCAGCTGGTGCTGGAGCGAGGATTGGTGAAGGCGCAGGATGGGCTGGTGGAGATTCCTCTGACCAAGACGGTGCTCAGAAAGGTTCGTCAGCGCTGCAGACTCATACCCTCATGCACTGCACTCTTGAAGCTTCAAGCACCCTCATGCCCTCTGCACGTCCATCAAGCAAAGTATTTCACCCCACCCGTCACCGCATCCCATCCATGCCATCCCACGTCAGGCTCGCAAGGCCAGCACCCACACGCAGCTAGTCGGGGCGGTCGGCCAACCCTCCTTCTACACGCCGCTGCTCATTCCCAGCATGGCACAACCCGGGTATGCACTGACCCTCGTGCTTGCAGCGATGATCCCTTGTGGAGTTTGTGTGCCTTGCCTTTGCCACGTGCACCATTTGAGTTGTTTTTTGGCCCTCTCCGCCGCACAGGTTTGGGTCTCTGTTTTCCTCTGTGTGTGAATTTCTGCGTGTGGGCCCGTTTAAGCGTGCCCATGTGATGGTAATCTTACTTTTGAGAATTCTCGAAAGTGATGGTTAACATTCTCGTTGTGTGGGAATGTGCGAATGATTCTTGTTGACATCTATGAATATTCGTGTTATGTGTACAGGAAGCTTATTGAAGGCACACGAATATCAGTATTTCCTAATTCCGAGTAAGCTCTTCCGAAGGCTCGACTTGATCCTTACGCCTCGATACTGGCCTCTTTCGCACCGTCGCATCTCTCACACCTCTCTCACGTCACTCACTCCCCTCCCCTACCCAACCATCGCCTTCCCTCGTGTCAACAATCTCTCCCATGCATACCTCCTCCCTCCTTCCATTCCATCCCCACATCTTAGATCCCTTTCCTCCTCCCTCAACTCCCAGCTCGCCTCCAAGCTCGTGCTCAATTTCCTTCACCATCTCTCCCCTCCTACCCCTCCCCCTTCTTCCTTCCCTGTCCGTGCCTCTTTCCTTCCTCCTTGCCAGCTCCCCCGAGCCCGAGCTGGCAATAGAGCTGATGCTCAAGCCAGAGCGGTGGAGGGAGTATGAGACTGAGATGGACGCCGCATGGCAGGTGAGGGCAATTGCTCACACATACACACTCACCACCGCATGCGAGCTCCTTACGCGCTTGTCTGAACCGCCTCATTCTCCCCCATCCCATCGTTCTCTCACCTCACTGTTTTTGCATCCTTCACGCTCTGCTCCCCTCACGCCCTCTCTTCTGCTCTGCTCCCCTCACGCCCTTTGTCCAACCCACCCTCTCCCATCATCAGGCCATCCGCCTGGCAGTGGCAAACACGTCTCTCCGCGACTCTGACCTCCCGGCCTACCGCAAGGCAGTGCAGGACAGCATTCTGAGAATGGCCTACTACTGGTATGTGCTGCTGCTGGAGGGTATGGGTAGAGCATCGTGGCATTGCCTACTGATGGTATGCTCATGTGAAGCATTGAGTTACTGTTGCCTATTACTGGTGGAGCTGACTAATGGGTCCCTCCTCGGACCTCTCCTTCTCCCCTGTCCCCTATCACAAGCTTCAGACCACATTATGCCCAGGCGCATCTGCACATCACATCACAGTAGCACATGCACCTTTTGTTCGTCTGAATGTTTGCATTACTGTGTGAATGTTCAACCTGTGCTCTTGCACTCACCCAAACCATACCACACCTCACCACACTTCACCGCGCCAGGTACAACTTCCAGCCCTTGTCGCGAGGCACATCAGGGACTGGTTATGTGGTAATGCTCGCTCTACTGCTGTCCATGGACCTGCAAGTCACCGCAGCCATCCCTCCAGGCGTGCAGGTGAGCAGATGGCATGTGGGGAGCCATGGGGCATGCAGGTGAGCAGATGCATGTGGATAGCCATGGATGCTGGTGGACAAGTTGATTGCAGTTGTGGGGATGATTGGCGATTGAAAGAGGCAAAAGGAAGCAACTGGGGGGGAAAGGAGATGAGAACTGGGAGGGAAGCAGTGTGCAAGCGGGCAAGAGTGGCATAAGGGTTGAGAGACAAGACTGCCGAAGGTGAAAGCACGAGCAGCACAAGTGGTGCCAGTTAAGTGCTTGCTTGCTGTCCCTTCACATGCCTCTCCTCTCCCATGCTGTGAGCGCAGGTTGACTGGGAGGCGCTCCTCTCACCAACTCCCGCAGACTTCACAGCAGGCACCGCAGAGTGGCTCTACCCGTCGCTCGTGTATAATCCAGAGTTGGGCCAGATCCCACTGATCAGTGACACGTTCCCATGTCTTCGTGAAGTTTTCCTTGCTCTAGAGTAGCGTTCACGAGTGGCTGGGATGGGATAATGCATGTTGTGACGATTTTGATTGGCACTGGCATTCGCTTGCGAACATGGTTTGCGATTAATGGTCTTCTCAAGCCCAGTCATTCCTCGTGTTTGAGCTTGGACCATACGCTTGAGCTTGTGATTGTGCTTGAGCTTGAGCCTCGTTCGGTTTGAGCTTGAGTTTGTGCTTGAACAAGAAAACTTCATTGAGACCGTTGGGCCGCTCTGCTTAACCCACTACCAGACTGCTCACTTCTGTTACTATCTACTTATCACACTGATGCATTGTGCTCTGCAAGCCCTCCTCGACAATGCGTACTACAGTATCCTTTGACGCCTGCCTTGAGGCACCCATTCACCAGTACTTGTAGATCGATGTGGCATACCATGAAACCCCGGATAGAGGCGCTGGAGACGCATGCAGGTCTGCGCTTATCTCAGACCCTTGCTTATAAGTGCAATGCACATTTTTAGGTGTTTATCTTAAGCGCTTGTTGTAAATCAGTCCGTTCACTATAACGAGTTTTCGTTTAGCAAACAGTCCACTTCATGGTTCCTCGAACTTGGTCGAATCTCCTTCGTCTGCCACATCAGCGTGGTGCGTGCATGTCAGGTGGAGGAGGAATCGGGGCGGCCACTCACATTCATGCGCTGACCTGATTCGCCTGCTCCAGCTCCAGCATCCGCCTCTTCCTGCTTCATCGACCTAGCAAACCTTCCAGACACACAGATTCACTCGCATTTGCTCATTCGCTCAGCATTTGGTTCCCGTCCCGATACTGTATTGCCGCGCAGAAGTAAATCAATTTCCTCCTTGTTTGTGCCGCTCCGCCTTGTTTGCGTCCGAATTACGTCACTCTGCTTTGCACGCTACGAGGATTGTTCCGGTGTTAGAATAAGCGTATAGACTGCCGATTCCCCTTTTTCGTCAATCGCTCCTCATCCGTTCCTGTCTATCGTCTCACGCGCTACTTACCGCTTCCACCACCTCTCGTCTCTCTAGCATGGCTCTCATTGGTTCTCCTTCTGCTCGTTTACCACTTAAACATGCCACGTCAGCAATGACACCAGCAACACCAGTAGCCTCAGTAGCTAAGGCGTTCCGAACCTCCCTCTCACCCAACCTAATTTCATTCAACGGCTTGAGGCGCCTCGCCGTTAGCAGCGGCAGCGGGTGCAGCCCTAGCGGGTTGCAAAGAGCCGTTGAGCGAAGGGCCGTTGAGGCGTCGGTGTCAGCGCGTGAGACGTCGGATGCGAGTGCATCGACGGCCGATGCGACGGGGCTAGGGAAGGCGATTCGCGACGATTTCCCGATTCTGCATCAGGTAGTTTTGAACGTCCTTTCACTCGCCGTGTTGGCTTACAGTCAGCGAGAACACATAGTTTTACTTTAGGTTCAGTATCCTACGTTACAGAATTAATGGAGCGTGCATCCATGCGGCTGATAAGTGGTTGCCGTGGCTTGCCATAGCCGAACGAATTAAATGTATCTCGTCGTTATTCTACTCACTTGTCTTGTTTCCATTGCACCAGGAGGTACCAGGTGGCCAGCCACTGGTGTATCTAGACAGCGCGGCAACTTCGCAGAAGCCACTGCAAGTGATCAACGCCATGGATGACTATTACAGACGCTACAATGCCAATGTGCACCGCGGTGTGCACTATCTCAGGTGAGCTTGTAACGCGTATATGCATGCATGCAATCACCAACGCCATGATGACTGGAACAAACGAATCAAAGCCAAGGAGCCATACTTGAATTTTACCCTGTCTCAGGTGGGCTTACATGGTGTATTTGACCTTGTGTGCGTGGATGACCTGTAACGTCATAGATGGGCAGCTCATCTCTAGCTTATGACGCGTATGTGACGCCCTGTTGTGAATGCATGCATCAACAATCAGCACCCTTGAAAATTCTCTGCGGAATTTTGTTCCCCCACTCTTTGTGGATTGGGCAAACAGCGAGCTCTGTTTGTTAAGGCAAGCATTTTCGTTTTCCTCACTTTACTCACCCTCGTTTCGAGCAAGCGGGCCACAGAGGAGTGTGTGGACGCATGGGAGGAAGCAGCCCGGCCGGACCAGAGCCCCTCCAAGATCGCCTCTACATGTACTTCGCACTCACCTCTCCCCCTCCTCCCACGCCCACCCCTCTCCCCAGCATGGTGGCAACAGAGGAGTACGAGAAGGCACGGGAGAAAGTCGCCTGCTTCATCAACACAGCGCAGGGCCCACAGCGCAGGTCCCCTCGGAGATCGTATTCACACGCAACGCGAGCGAGGCCACAAACCTGGTGGGGACTCGCGGGGCCTCGCCAACCTCTCCCCTCCCTCCCACACCCACCCCTCTCCTCCCCAGCATGTTGGCCACAGAAGAATACGAGAAGGCACGGGAGAAGGTAGCTCGGTTCATCAACACAGCGCAGGGCCCCTCAGAGATCGTATTCACGCGCAACGCCAGCGAGGCCATCAACCTGGTGGCGTACTCGTGGGGGCTCGCCAACCTCTCCCCGGGCGACGAGGTGCTCCTCACAGTCGCGGAGCACCACAGCAACATCGTCCCCTGGCAGATTGTAGCCCAGAAAACCGGGGCGGTTTTGAAGTTCGCCCCACTGAAGGTGCCCGAGGCGTCGGAGGGGGAGGGGCACGCGGCGGGCGCGGAGGTGGACTATGAGCGGCTGCTGGAGATGATTGGGGGGCGCACCAAGCTCGTGGCCGTGCATCATGTCTCCAACGTGCTCGGTGGGTCGTGGTTTCAAATTGGTGCCATGCCAAGCATACAATGTGTCGCACTGTGAATTTTACTTTTGAGAATTCTCAAACGTAAATTAATGTGTCGCACTGTGAATTTTACTTTTGAGAATTCTCAAAAGTAAATTAATGTGTTAAATTAATGTGTCGCACTGTGAATTTTACTTTTGAGAATTCTCAATAGTAAATTAATGTGTCGCACTGTGAATTTTACTTCTGAGAATTCTCAATAGTAAATTAATGTGTCGCACTGTGAATTTTACTTTTGAGAATTCTCAAAAGTAAATTAATGTGTCGCACTGTGAATTTTACTTTTGAGAATTCTCAAAAGTAAATTAATGTGTCGCACTGTGAATTGTACTTTTGAGAATTCTCAAAAGTAAATTAATGTGTCGCACTGTGAATTTTACTTTTGAGAATTCTCAAAAGAAAATTAATGTGTCGCACTGTTGGTATGTGTCATACCATGTGTCGAACATGCTGGGTGAGATGAGACATTCACCCTTGAATTCGCGTTTGTTTCGTGTAGCAGCTGGAGGCTCACCTTCCACTGTTGCTCCCCATCCATCGTTCCCCACTGTTCCCCACTGCTCTCCACTGCTCGCCACTGTCCTCCACTGCTCCCAACTGCCCTCCACTGCCCCCCCACCGCTACTCACTATTGCTCCGCTATCCCCCTCCCTCCGCTCCCAGGCTCCGAGTCCCCAGTGGAGCAGATAAGGGAGAGAGCGCATGCAGTAGGCGCCAGGGTGCTGCTAGACGCGTGTCAGTCCGTGCCACACATGCGGGTAGACATGCAGCAGCAGCTGAAGGGGTTGTGACTTACCCACCCACCCTCCTTTTTCTTACCGCCCTTTTTCAGGCTCCGAGTCCCCAGTGGAGCAGATCAGAGAAAGAACACACGCAGTGGGCGCCAGGGTGTTGCTAGACGCGTGTCAGTCCGTGCCACACATGCGGGTAGACGTGCAGCAGCAGCTGGGGGGGTTGTGACTTACCCACCCACCCTCCTTTTTCTTACCGCCCTTTTTCAGGCTCCGAGTCCCCAGTGGAGCAGATCAGAGAAAGAACACACGCAGTGGGCGCCAGGGTGTTGCTAGACGCGTGTCAGTCCGTGCCACACATGCGGGTAGACGTGCAGCAGCAGCTGGGGGGGTTGTGACTTACCCACCCACCCTCCTTTTTCTTACCGCCCTTTTTCAGGCTCCGAGTCCCCAGTGGAGCAGATCAGAGAAAGAACACACGCAGTGGGCGCCAGGGTGTTGCTAGACGCGTGTCAGTCCGTGCCACACATGCGGGTAGACGTGCAGCAGCAGCTGGGGGGGTTGTGACTTACCCACCCACCCTCCTTTTTCTTACCGCCCTTTTTCAGGCTCCGAGTCCCCAGTGGAGCAGATCAGAGAAAGAACACACGCAGTGGGCGCCAGGGTGCTGCTAGACGCGTGTCAGTCCGTGCCACACATGCGGGTAGACGTGCAGCAGCAGCTGGGGGGGTTGTGACTTACCCACCCACCCTCCTTTTTCTTACCGCCCTTTTTCAGGCTCCGAGTCCCCAGTGGAGCAGATCAGAGAAAGAACACACGCAGTGGGCGCCAGGGTGCTGCTAGACGCGTGTCAGTCCGTGCCACACATGCGGGTAGACGTGCAGCAGCAGCTGGGGGGGTTGTGACTTACCCACTCACCCTCCTTTTTCTTACCGCCCTTTTTCAGGCTCCGAGTCCCCAGTGGAGCAGATCAGAGAAAGAACACACGCAGTGGGCGCCAGGGTGCTGCTAGACGCGTGTCAGTCCGTGCCACACATGCCCGTGGACGTGCAGTGCAGCACCTAGAAGGGGTGTGACGTCCTTGTTGCCTCTTGCCCACCCACGCTCCCTCCTCTCACCCCCCTTCTTCAGGCTCCGAGTCCCCAGTGGAGCAGATCAGAGAAAGGGCACACGCAGTGGGCGCCAAGGTGCTGCTAGACGCGTGCCAGTCCGTGCCGCACATGCCAGTGGACGTGCAGCAGCTGGGGGTGGACTTCGCAGCGGTCTCCTCGCACAAGATGACTGGCCCTACCGGCATTGGCTTTCTCTACGGCCGCGCCGACGTGCTCGCCTCCATGCCGCCCTTCATGGGTAAGTTGTGTTTTGAGATGCTTCAAAAGGGTACTTCGCAGCGGTTTCCTCGCACAAGATGACTGGCCCTACCGCCATTGCCTTCCTCTATGGCCGCGCTGACGTGGTCGCCTCCATGCCGCCCTTCATGGGTAAGCGTGTGCCTTATTGGTATTTGCATCCCTTCATGACATGAGCGTTCAGGGGTTAGGGTTCCACTGAGCTGAGCTGGCCACGTGTCGATGGATTTGCAAAGACGTGAGCATCCCACATTGGGCTAGAAATGTAGGGGCTTTATTTGCTGCGGGTCCCTATCTGTCCCCTACTCTTTGTGCTGATTAGGGTTTGGCGTCTCAGTGAATCTACCTCTGTGTCTCTTTCCTTGCCATACCTCCTTGCTATACCTCCTTGCCATACCTCCTTGCCATACCTCCTTGCCACTCCTATCTAGCGTCCCTCACACTGCTGTCTCCATCGTCTCACCTTTACCCTCCCTTCTCAACCCCCCTTCAGTACATCCTCACGTTTCCCCTTTTTCTCCTAAAAACTCGACTGACTTGATCCTTTCTGTGATTTTTTTGTCGTCAGGCGGAGGCGAGATGATTTTTCCTTGACCATACCACCTACTCAGGCCCCCTCTGTGTCTTCCAAGTCAATCTAAGCCTCAAATTCCCCGCTCGCCCCACCCTCCATTACCTCTCGCCACCACCAGGGGGAGGCGAGATGATTCAGGACGTGTTCCTTGACCATTCCACCTACTCCGACCCACCCGCAAGGTATGCCCTTCCTGCCACCACGCAAGGCCTCGACTTAAGCTCGAATCAATCTTTTCAATTCTGGCAATTCTCTTTTTCCTCGTTGACTTTTCAGTCGACTCAAAAGCCCTTCCTGCCACCACGTCTCAACTTAAGCTCGAATCAATTTGTTTAATTCTGGAGAAGCGCTGTGAAAAGCGCTGCCTTGTGTGGGTGAAGATGAATTTTGAGGCGCCTCAAAACACGGCTTTTGCGGCACCTCAAAACAACTTTTGAGGCGCCTCAAAACACTGCTGGTGGTGGTGGAATAGCTGTTGTGAAAAGCGCTGCCTCGTGTGGGTGAAGATGAACCCAGCAGTTTTTGCCTCACGCTTTCCACTAAGTCGTTTGTTTGTCCCCCCTCTCTCATCCTCGCTAGCCGCTCCCCACCCCTGGTCATGATTTCCCCACTTAATGCCCTCCCCACCGGCCCATTTTCCCAGTACGTCCCCTCTCTCTCCTGCTTCCCTAGCTACAAATTCGTCATTCCAGTCATTGCCGATCATGGCTAGTTTTACAAGTAACGCATTCCCCCCCCCCACTTTCCCCCCAGTGCCCTCTCATGTTCAGCAGGGAGTGCGGCCATTGCTAATGCCATATAGTTAACATGTGACCTGTGTTTTAACTCGCTTGTCCTATCCTCCCTTCCCTTCCCTGCCCTCTCTTGCTCTCCCAGGTTCGAAGCTGGCACTCCAGCCATTGACTTTTGAGTCGACTCAAAAGTTAATTCGCACGTCCTATCCTCCCTTCCCTGCCCTGCCCTCTCTTGCTCTCCCAGATTCGAAGCTGGCACTCCAGCCATTGCGGAGGCTATAGGGTTGGGAGCAGCAGTGGACTACCTGACAGCGAAGGGCATGGATAACGTGCATGCATATGAGGTATGCCTGGGCCGTACGTCAATCGGCATATTTATTGTATGAATGAACATGTATGGCACGGTGTGCACATCTGTGGGATATTCATGCATGGGTGTGAGGTATGGATGATTGTCCGTAGATATGGTGGTGAAGGAGGTGTATGCCAAGGAGGCGTTTCCCCATGGTCATGGGTGATTCTTGGATGTGGTGAGGCTATTGATGTCATGGGTTCATGGGTTTCAGACCGTATAGCAGGCATGTGGGCGATGTTGCTTCTGTAACGTTTAGTCTTCTGATTGTCACCCGTGACGAGCATGCTGCAGTTGCGTGGATTTTTCTACCTCTCTGCCTGTTTACTTTATTCCTGAACCTCTTGAATGCTGCCCCTCCCTCCCGGCCTACCCCACCTATCGCAGATGCATCTATCAGAGTACCTCTACAAGCAGCTCTCAGCCGTCGATCGAGTGCGAATCTACGGCCCGTCTCCGCCGTCTCTGCTCCCGGGAGGCCCGACTGCTGTTCAAAGGGGGCGGGTGGCGGCACTGTGCACGTTCAGCGTGGATGGCATGCATGCCACTGATGTCTCATCGTTCCTCGATCAACAGGTACAAAAAAAAAAAAAGGGAAAAAAAAAAAAAGCCCAAAAGCCCAAAAGCCGAAAACCCTCCATGTGGTGCGGCTAGCAGCTCTCCACACGTTCACCATGGATGGCATGCAGGCCACCGACATGTCCTCGTTGCTCGATCAACAGGTGCGTGCATGGTATGCTGTCAGCGTGGATGGCATGCTGTCAGCGTGGATGACATGCTGTCAGCGTGGATGACATGCTGTCTGTGTGGATGACATGCATGCCTGGGTGTGGATGGCTGCATGGCTGAGCGTGGATGGCATGCATGCGACCCACCACCTCCCACCACCACCCACCACTTCCCACCCCTTCCCCCCTGCCGTCCCGCTTCCGTTCCCCTCTCTCCCCTCTCCCGTTGCCTTCTCTCGTCACCAATCTGTCCCCTTTTCAGCATGGTGGGCTAATCGCATTGGCCACCAGTGCGCACAGCCCATTCATACCTTCCCCCACCCTCGTCTCCCCTCCCCCCCTCCCCTCCGTCGCTTTTTCCCGTACTCCGCTTTGCCAGCACGGAGTGGGCATCCGCAGCGGGCACCACTGTGCGCAGCCCATTCACCAGCAGCTGGGCATCAATGCGAGTGCGCGGGCGAGTGCGTATGTGTACAACACTAAGGAGGAGATTGACGCGTTTATTGCTGGGCTTAAGGACACCATTGACTTCTTTGTCAACTTTTCGTGATCCAATCTACAAGCATGTTGCAAGCCTACCTACAAGACGCAGCTGAAACTTTCCAGGATGCTGGCTGGTAATAGAAATACCATAGGCATGTATGTAACATGCAATCATAGTTGAATATCCTACGGTCGAGAGATTCCAAGAGTGACTCTGGCTTCCAGCTTTCATGTTCCAATGACTCAAGGCTCCAAGCTTCCTAGCTTTCATGTTTCCTAACGAAACCATGAATGGCTTCATTAGTTGTGTCGTGTTCCGCTTGTACGGTAACAGCAGGAGCAGAAGGGGCAACCATAAGGTGGAGGCGGGAAGGAGGGAGTGGGAGAGGGGTGTTTGATCTGGAGGGGCTGGTTTGAATGATGTTGGATTCATGCGGTTGTAGACACAAGGGAGGGAAGAGGAGATGGATGGGGGAAGAAAGAAAGGAGTGGGTAGGGGAGCAAAAGGTGAGGTTTGGGGCAAGAGTGGTGTGGCGGCATGTACGGTAAAAGCAACAAGTGCCAGTCACCAGTGCTTCATGCGCCCCTTCCCAGTCCTGCCCTACGCAGGGCTGACTGGGAGGCGCTCTCCTCACCAACTCCTGCGAACTACATCGTTGCCTTGCCAGGGTTTTGGGGAACGGATAGAGGAGAGGAATGCATGCAGCTACCTTGGTTACATGCTGCACTCATACCGGTGTCATACGGTATGTACCGGTATTGCTAGCAAAGCATGCTCTGCCTTGCATGCATGACAGCCTTGCTCTGCTGAGATGTGGTTTTGCTGAGATATGGTAAGGTATATACAATCATCAGGCAATAACAGACACACAACACACATAGCCCAACCGAAGCCAGACACCACAAAATACTAAACCTGAGACCGTCACACACACACACACATCCCAAAAGAAGGTACACTATGTGCAAACCCCACAGCAACATCCCTCACCAATTGCTCAATCCCATCCCCCCGAGCTTCAGTTCAGTCGCACTTGTCGCGACACTTCTGGTCCTTCCTGTCGCACTTGCGGCTGTTATGATGGTTGTCATCATAGCACTCATCCAGCTGCTCATCGCATTTCTCAATGCAGTCCTGCTGGCAATCGTTGAACAAATCAATCGCATCCCATTCGCACTCGCCCCGCTTCTCGTTGCATCGCTGCTCCTGCCGCCAGTCCCGCGCGCGGTTAATGCAATCGGTTTCCTTGTCTTGGCACCGCTGCAGCTTCGTATCGTACTTGTCTGAGCATGTCTTGGAGCTGTGTAGCACCCTCCGTGTGACTGTAGCGGGGGATGAGACGCTCGCGAATGGAGCTCGTGCACCTGCAAGGGAAATAGGTGAAATTATTTGTTCATTACGGGTCTATAAAGCTATACGATTGGTAATATGTTAATTCTCCAGACTATCAGGGTATTTAGGCAAGATGAGCGCACCTTGAGCAGCAGGGAAGTTGGAGATGGCCAAGAGAGCGGCGAGCAGGAAGAGGAAGGAAGCAACGAAGAACTTTCCGCATGCCATGGTAAACGTCAGATTGCTTTTAGTCGAAAGGGAATGCTATGGATGTGAGCTGCAGAACCTTTAATACAGGCGACTAGAATGAGGATAAGGAAGTAACTGGACTCTGGAATACTCCAATCTTGGCTGCGATGGCTAACAGGCCGAGCGTCTTTCGTATAAATATACAGCAACGCGACTGGAGCCGTCGGGAGACAGTACAACTTTCCAGTACCATCTTCCAATGCGTCTTTCGGAGCAGCAATGGCACCGAGCCGCCACCAAGAAACATCGTGTAAGCACCAGCGGCTCCGCTCCGCCCATCAAGCCATTCATCTCATCATGAAAGTTCCCGGGAGCTCCAGCCACTTGGACCTCCAACCGTTCGGCGCGTCGAGGCATGAGGCGAACCCACTCGGCCAAACTCGCCGGGTGTGGCGTCGCTGCTTCAGCAAAAAGCTCCGGGGATGCTAGAAAAACAAGGATTCAAGAATTCTGCTTAGGTCAACCACCATCCCTTTGCCAGATGGCGTCCGCCCGTGTTTTTCTTGGAATTGCTTCTTGCTGTCTTGGAACAGAAAGCACCATCGGCAGTTTCTGAGCGCAGTAGAGGGAGCAATAAGGAACCCATTTTCCCTGCTGAGGTGGTGAAACTGCTTTGACCTGACTGGGGAAACCCTGAACTCCTCGTTGGCAATCCTGTACTTGTTGGCAACTCTCAACTCCTCGTTGTACTCTTTTTTGGCTACGGCGATAAAATGTTTGATTTTTACGTTGATATGTTTCTTTCAAACGACGGTCCACATGTACATGTGTCCCTCGGTTCAGAAAATAATATTTTGAATCTAGTGTGACCTGTTTGGCGTGGGGGGGAGGAGCTGGGGGGAAATGATGCACTAAAGTGCGTGGGGGAAGGCACTGGGGGGGAATGTTTCGAGAGCGTACACGTATTGCGGCGCTGGGTTGGCGGGTTTCCTCCCTGCTCTTCCTCACCCCCGCACCGCCTTTTCGGCGACGCGCAGTTTATATTGTCTTGCGCACACTGAGGGCGGATTCCGGCTTCAGGACATCTGCTCTTTGAGTCATCCGAAATTTTGGGAACCAATCAAAAATTCCCAATCTTGAGATTCAGGATTTCCGATTGGATCCCACATTTTCGGATGACTAGAAGAGCGGATGACCCGAAGCCAGGAATCCGCCCTGAGTCTCGTTTCGCATGTTCGCCCAACCCTTCTGTTTCGTCAACATCTGTTCCACATGGCATATTCCTTTCACTGCTGTGCTTACATCAGCCTCTAGGACAAATGTCTACATCGGATGTTCACCCGCACATAGTTCCTAGCCAGTGACCGCCATAGCTAAGAAAAGCTAGACTCGACCTCCATTACTCCGCCAATCCTCGCATTTTCGCCTTCCGCGATCCCACCATTCCTCTCTCCCTATATTCTTCCGTTCCGTCCGATCCGTCGCCCTAGCCTTCCGCTAGCCTGAGTTCTCGTTTTGACTCCTCGTCGAGGGCCATGCCCGTTCTAGCGCTTATGCCCATCGTCTTCCTGGTTTCACTTCCCCATCGCCCACCGCAGCGAAATCGCTTCTATTCCTAGCCCGCCGTCCTCTCTGCCCATCCCATCGCGTTTCGCGCTTTTTAAGTTTTTTTTTTTTTTTACTTCGTCGCCATCATCGCAACCTGCGACGGGATAAACTAACTGCTCTTCCGTTGCACACGCACACTCCCGTCCAAAGCCCACGCTCACTCCCCACTGTCGCACACGCTCCGTGCCCTCGAACGAGCACGCTGCCTCCCCTCCCGTCGCCTTCGCTCACTCCCCTCCGTCGCCCACGCTCACTGCCCGTACGTCGCTCACGCTCCCTCCCCTCCTGTCGCCTTCGCTCACTCCCCTCCGTCACCCACGCTCCGTGCCCTCAAACGAGCACGCTCCCTCCCCTCCCGTCGCCTTCGCCCACTCCCCTCCGTCTCCCACGCTCACTCCCCTCCGTCGCCCACGCTCACTGCCCGTACGTCGCTCACGCTCCCTCCCCTCCGTCGCCCACGCTCACTCCCCTCCGTCGCCCACGCTCACTGCTCGTACGTCGCACACGGTCACTCCCCTTACCATCATGATCGTTTCCCCATACAGTGAGGGCCGCATCCCCACCCCGTCGCCCCCGCATCCCCACCCCGTCGCAGCATTCCTCCGATTCTCCCATCCGCCCTACCTCACATCTGTCTGTTCCTTCCGTCCACCTTCTGCATTTCCTCGTGTAGTGAGGGTGTTTTTGAGACGTCTCACTACACGTGGCCATTCCTCCGTTTCTCCCATCCGCCCTACCTCACATCCCTCTGTTCCTTCCGTCCACCTTCTGCATTTCCTCCCTGCCCTCTTTTAGCATCGCCTCTCGTTCTCCCTTCCTCATTTCCTCCCTGCCCTCTTTTGGCATCGCCTCTCGTTCTCCCTTCCTCATTTCCTCCCTGCCCTCTTTTGGCATCGCCTCTCGTTCTCCCTTCCTCATTTCCTCCCTGCCCTCTTTTGGCATCGCCTCTCGTTCTCCCTTCCTCATTTCCTCCCTGCCCTCTTTTGGCATCGCCTCTCGTTCTCCCTTCCTCATCTCCTCCCTGCCCTCTTTTAGCATCGCCTCTCGTTCTCCCTTCCTCATTTCCTCCCTGCCCTCTTTTGGCATCGCCTCTCGTTCTCCCTTCCTCATTTCCCTGTGTTTCCCCCCTTGTTCTTCACAGAGTTGTGATGCATGGGGCAATCAGCAATGGAGCAGCAGGGCAGGAGTGTCACTGTGTGCTTTTCCAGGTGATGGAGCAGCAGGGCAGGAGACTCACTGTGTGCTTTGCCTCTGCCTCTGCAACATACGTTCGACAGGGTGGCGATCCACGAGACGATGGGGCAGCAGACGATGAGCATAGCCAAGGCGGGCATCACCACCAACCTCAACTCACTCGTGCACCTCACCTCCCATTGGCCCCCGTGACCGCTGTGCTTAGATGTACCAACCGCGCCATGGGTTGCACAAGCGCCATGGGTTGCACGAGCGCCATGAGTTGCACGAGCGCCATGGTTATATTGAAATCACTTTTGAGAATTCTCAAAAGTGATTTCAATATAGCTGCAGAGTGGCGACTCATGGGGCACGGGGCAATGAAGCACAAGTGTCATGCATTTTTCCCTGCGTGCTTCCCACAGGGTGGCCATCCAAAAGCGATGGAGCAACAGACGATGAGCATCGCCAGGGCAGGCATCACCACCGTCCTCAACTCACTCGCGCACTTCCGTGATCGCAGCTGCCAACCCGCGATATGATGACCTCAGGGTGAGAGAAGGGGGAAGAGGGGGAGGTGGTGGGGAGAGGTGGGGTGTCTGTCGGGCGGCCACGTCAACAATTGTGCTGCCATGTGCTGCCATGTGCTGCCATGTGCTGCCATGTGCTGCCATGTGCTGCCATGTGCTGCCATGTGCTGCCATGTGCTGCCATGTGCTGCCATGTGCTGCCATGTGCTGCCATGTGCTGCCATGTGCTGCCATGTGCTGCCATGTGCTGCCATGTGCTGCCATGTGCTGCCATGTGCTGCCATGTGCTGCCATGTGCTGCCATGTGCTGCCATGTGCTGCCATGTGCTGCCATGTGCTGCCTGCCACGTGCTGCCATGTGCTGCCATGTGCTGCCAGGCGGGAGAGAGGAGGGCCATAACCGCAAGGTCTAACCGCCGCTCTCACTGCTGCACTCACTTCCATTGGTACTGTATATACAATGCGAAGCCATTGGTTCCTAGGCTTTACTTGTTTTTGAGCTCAACCTTGAAGTTTCATCTGTGTTGGCTAAGTAGCAAGAAAAGGTGTAAACTGGCATTGCAGTTAGGCATCAAGCTGAAGGAAAAATATTAGAAAGATTGAATTGAACACTACGTTAACAAGTCGGTGTAGTTTAGTGGTTAGAATCCCACGTTGTGGCCGTGGAGACCTGGGCTCGAATCCCAGCACCGACAGTTTTTCCCTGTTAGTGTTATCAGCTGCTGTTAGTGTTATCAGCTGCTGTTAGTGTTATCAGCTGCTGTTAGTGTTATCAGCTGCTGTTAGTGTTATCAGCTGCTGTTAGTGTTATCAGCTGCTGTTAGTGTTATCAGCTGCTGTTAGTGTTATCAGCTGCTGTTAGGGCGTGTTACATTTTCTAAAAGCCTAAAACATCTGGACAACCGTTCGAAAACGGTTCAGATTCCGAACATCTGGCAGTCCGAGTTCAGCGTCCGGATCAAGCCTCGTCCGAAGCTGTTTATGAAACATTTTCAGGCTGACGAAATTTATCGCATTTGCGAAGTTGTTACCGTGATTACGACGTCGTGACGATAAAGGTACAGCCAGGCGACTTTAAAAAACCAGTTCGTCGACCAATAAAATTCCGTTAGTCTTACGTCCGTCCACTTACAGAACGGTAACGTTCGGTCGATTTGGGAAGGCAATTTAACGCAAAATGTTTCATCAGCAGTCCGAACGTTAACGACGTCGCAACTGATCTAACGAGAAAACAAGCGATATAAAACGAAAAGGGAAACCACAAAAATGTCCGGACGAGAGCCCGTCCGGACAGGCTGAAGTAAAAAATGTAACATGCCCTTAGTGCGTTCAGCTGCTGTTTGTGTGTGCAGTGTATGCAGTTGCTGTTGAGTGTTCAGCTGCTGTTAGTGTGTGCAGCTGTCAGAAATTGTATTTCTTTATATAACTGCATATTAGTATAGCTAGTGTAGTATGTATTCTCTTGTTGGTGGTATACCCCTCCTGACCACCTTCCCTAACCCTATATCATGTATCTCTCTCACTAGTCCAACCCCTTCCTTTGGCCAAACTTCTCTCCATCCAAACCCTAAGTTCCTAGCTCTCTAAGTTCCTAGTCCCTACCTTCTTAACATGGTACATAGCAGGTTCTTTCCCGGAACCTTCCTTTTTTTTTTTAAGAAGTATGGGCCCGCCCGTACAACAGCGCGAAATGCGCTATTTTTTCTCGTCGCGCCCGTTGCGCCCGTCGCCCGTCACCCGTCGCTGCCTTGCCCGTCACGCCCGTCGCTGCGTTGCCCGTCGTGCCCGTCGCTGCCCCGATTCCCGTCCCCCGCGGCCCCCCGTTTCGACGCCCCGCGGCCCCCCGTTCCGTCGCCAGCGCCAGCAGCAGCTACCGCCAGCGCCAGCCGCCCGCGCCAGCGCCAGCAGCAGCTACCGCCAGCGCCAGCAGCAGCTACCGCCAGCGCCAGCAGCAGCTACCGCCAGCGCCAGCAGCAGCTACCGCCGCCCTGCCCCCTCCCGCCCGCCCTCCCTTCCACTGCTTCCGTCGTGGGGGGGGGGGGAGGAGGGGGAGATGTGGGGGTGGCGGGTGTGAGGTTGTGAGGAGCCAGCACCTCCTCCCTCCCTTCCCTCTTCCTCTCTCCCTGCAGCACTTGTTGCTGTAGGGGGGGGGGGGGGGAGAGGGTAAGGGGGGAGGAGAGAGGTTAAGGGGGGATGAGAGAGGTTAAGGGGGGACAAAAGAGAGAGAGAGAGAAAGGGTCTCTTCTTTTCTGTTTTCTACTTTCGTAATGTTTTCTTGTCGTTCGTTCCTTTTCTCCGTCGTTTCTGGGCGTGGTCACCCAGAGTCGCGCACACCAGGCATCCACTGCGGGGGTTAAACCGCAGGCGGGAAACTCCATCGTGTGTTGTATCGGTGGGCCCAGCTGCGGCCCGGTGAAGTCTGCACTTAGGGTAGAGCGCCCCTCACTAGCTATGCTTGTATGCAGTTAAGGGGGGATGTCAGAAATTGTATTTCTTTATATAACTGCATATTAGTATAGCTAGTGTAGTATGTATTCTCTTGTTGGTGGTATACCCCTCCTGACCACCTTCCCTAACCCTATATCATGTATCTCTCTCACTAGTCCAACCCCTTCCTTTGGCCAAACTTCTCTCCATCCAAACCCTAAGTTCCTAGCTCTCTAAGTTCCTAGTCCCTACCTTCTTAACAGCAGCTGCTGTTGGTGTGTGCAGTGTATGCAGCTGCTGTTGAGTGCACTAGAACTCTGCCTGCTCTTCTGTTATCGCGCCTCATTTGCTTTCCCACTTATACACAAGCCCTTTTCGTTTACTTAGCATAATTTATTGAAGTCATTTTGATTTTCCCACATGCCCAGCGTAGCTAATACTAGCAGCACTCCCAGTATTGGTACCGTAAGTTTGACATGGGGTGGATGGAACACTAACAGGAGGTGCAAACAGATTTGAGGGGCAAGGTTGGCACGGCAGTATCTCACATCAAAGCACTGATAAAATGAAGCCTTTTGCGCTGAACACCCTTCTGTTAAGATTTAGACTATCTCTGGAAAAATGTTTAAGTGGTTAAGCATTATGTCTGAACCCGGAATCGAACCGGAGACCTCCAGTGTGTGAGACTGGCGTGATAACCGACTACACCATCCAGACATGTCATAAAGGGTTCGTAAAACAATATAATATTTTTATACAAACATCAGTTGACACCGATGACGTGGCGTCAAATCTGTTTCTTTTACTTTGCTGCTGATGTGGGTGGAGGCAACACAAGCCACGCCCAGCGCCAGCCCCCAGCATACTTCTCAAAGCAATCAACCTTGTGCCTAGTGCACATATTTCTGCTTTTCCTCGCTACTTCCAGACCAGCGCACTGGTCGCCGCCATTCGCCTCTGCTTGCTGGCTGCCGCTGCGCCAACGGTTCACACGCCCTGCCTGCTCGTCCGCTCGGCTGCGCGCTGACGTGGAATGGCTTCCATGGCTGCCACGGCGGTGGCTGATTGCCGCACATTGCGGTGTATAGGTAGGTTGCGATGACGCGCCGCCGCATGTCATGTACTCGCGCCGCATTCTTCGTAGCGTCGCGGCCCCATGAGCTCCTGCAATTGTCTGTCGCGATTTACCTTCCGCTGAGATGCACGTCGTTTCGTGGCTTCGCGCACGGGCATTCGTTCGCCGTTCCAACCATCGCGTTGCGCCAATGCTCCACCATTCCGCCCATCGCTGCCCCTGACACTTGATCTCATTCTACGCATTCCGTGTCACTTCGCCATCCCTTTCGTACATTGCCGCCCAGGCTCGACACCCTCGTCGCAATGCCGTGCGACGCCCGTCGCCTCGCTGCCTGCTCGCCGCATCCCCGTCGCCTCTTGCACGCGCCGCTCGCTCGCCAGCGTCGCTCACGTCGCCTCGTGGCAACGCTGCGACTCGCGCCGAGTGATTCATCAAAGGTAAGCTGCTGCCGCTGCCACTTTTCCCTTTAAGTTTCGGACTACGAGTGGTGAAAGGGATGAACTGCACAGAATTAAGAACAACAGGATCTGCTTGCGTTAAGGAATTTGCTGGCTGGTTCGCAGATTTGAAATGACTCTCATAGGCCTGCGGCTCGCTCCCCTCCCCAACACATCACCCTCTCAATCCCACACAAATCCACACTCTCGTTCCCCCCTATCCGCTCCCCCTACTCCCCCCACATCGATCCCCGCCGGGACAGCGTTGCGCGGGGCGGGGCGGTGCGGGCGGCAGCGGACGAGGAGGTGGAGGAGGAGCTGATGATGATCGAGGAGAGCGCGGTGAGTGGCGCGGAGAGGAGAACGCGGTGAGTGCAAGCCGTGGCCTGGGCGCGGTGAGTGGCGGGTCCAGTGCTCCCGTGCTTGCCAGGCATAGTTGTGACGCTTGACGCTGTGTGTGCGAGGGACCCGTGGCAACATTGCAACACAAAGGCAGCACGGCAGGGTTCAAGACTTGCATGATCACTGGGCTGCCATTCCAAAGCAACCGCCCTGTATCTGGAATCATCAGCACTTAGGCAACGCGTATCACACCCCCCCCATCGCCTTCTTCCCTCTACTCCCTCCCTCTGCCTCCCCAAGCTCTCTCACTCACCTGCCTTCGGCGCCCTCTTACCCCTCCAATCCTACCCTGCTATGCTGTCACTTTTACTGTGGTTGAATGCGGTGCAACGCGGTGCAGATGGAGCGCATGGAGAAGACGCTGGACAGCGTGAGGGGCAACTTCAACACGGTCAGAACGGGCCGAGCCAGCCCTGCCCTGCTGGACCGCATCGAGGTGAGCCCCTCTTTTTCCTTCACGCCTTCCTGCCTCTCACTTTCACACTTTCTCTCGCTCTCACTCTCGTTCTCACTCTCGCTCTCCTATTCCCTGCACCCCTCTGCACTTAGAATCAGCCTATCACCTTCAGCCGCTTCTTTGCCTTACTGCCTGCACTATGTGCCACGTGTACCCCTCCCATCGCCACGTGTGCTGCTCACGTGTCCCCCTCCCATGCTCTGCTGTACCGCCAGGTGGAGTACTACGGTGCGAATGTGATTCTAAAGAGCATAGCCCAGATCGCTGCCCCTGATGGCTCCATGCTGCTCGTCACTCCCTTCGACAAATCCAGGTGCCATTTCTTCAAACGAACCCTTCCTCCTTCACCCCCCCAACAAAACAACCCCCCACTTCTCACTTTGCTACGAAAGTCCAAATCCTGCCAAGCCGCCCCAGCATCCCATCCATAGAGAAGGCGATCATGAAGTCGGACGTGGGCCTCACGCCCTTTTGCCACTCTTGCTGTCGCTCCCCCTCGTCCCGATCCCTCTCATCCCACCCTCTCCTCTCCTCCCATCCTCCCCCCCCCCCAGCATCCCATCCATAGAGAAGGCGATTATGAAGTCAGACGTGGGCCTCACACCCTCCTCCGACGGCAATGTCATCCGCCTCGCCATCCCGCAGCTCACCGCTGAACGCCGCAAGGTATGAGCATGCCGTACGCATGCGGTGGAATAGTGATAGGTGGTAGCATGGACAACCAAAACGTGACTGAGGGCTGGTAGGGGTGCGGATGGTAAAGAGGAGCAGAAGGAGATGCAAGGTGGTGTTCCAGCTGAGGGGCTTCTCATGCCATGCCTCTGCCTCTATGCTCTCTTATTCCGAGCTGCCTCTCCAGTCCGCTTTGCAGCCCAATGTGCAAGCGCAACCATTTCACGAAATTGCCTGTTGACCTGACCTCTTCCGAACCCCCCCTTCTCTCCCCTCCACCTTGGCATGGCATGGTTATGGGTATTGGTATGGGGCATGGCCCAGGCACGGCATGTCATGGCATCGCATGCATGGCATGGCTTAAGATTTGAATGACATGGGCATGGGCATGGGCATGGGCATGGTGTGGCATATGCTTGTTCATGGGGACATGGGCATGCGCTTGTGTGCATGGTTGGGTATGGCGGCAACAGGAGCTGCTGAAGACTGTATCAAAGCTGTCTGAAGATGGCAAGGTGAGGTTTTGAGGCGCCTCACAAGGTGAGCCGTGAAAGGGATGCAAGCAATGTGTGCTCCGATGTATGCATGCATCCACCACGCGCACACCCATGCACACTCCCCAAGGCACACAACTTGCTCACGAATGCCATTCACCACCCCCCCCCGCTGCACCTACCACCTGCACCCTGCCCCACTCAGGCGCCCCCTCATCGCTCTGCCTGCCCCTTCTGCCCCACCTGCCCCTTCTGCCCCCCCTTGCCCCGCCCTGCTGCCTACCCTGCCCCCTCGGTACTCCTGCCCAACCTTGGCCCCTGCCACGCATGACCACCAGGTGGCGCTGCGCAACGTGCGCCGGGACTCCATCAAGGCGTATGAGAAGCTGCAGAAGGTGCCGCCTGCCATGCGATAATACATTCGTGTTTACCTCATCTTCAACAAGTGACATAATCTAGAGTGACCCGCCTGGACCACCCCCTCCCTACGGGCCATCTGCCACACGCACCTGAGCATTCACTTAGTACACGTGGCATCTACCACACACACCTGAGCATTCTCAACAAGCCATCATCATGTTGTCTGCAGCATCCGCTCTTGTTGCATGCTGCATACTGCATGCCACGTGCATCACCTGCTTTGCTTTGCACGTTCCCGGCCGTGTAGCATCCCATGCTATTTGCAAGGAGGAGCGTCCTGCTTGCCTTGTCACACTCACTCTCATCATGTTCCACGTGTCATGTCTCCATTGGTGCACGCCAGGATAAGAAGATCTCAGAGGATGCTCTCAAGGACCTTTCAAATGACATCCAGGTGACGTGGCATCCATGGATTGGCTAGCATCACCTCCCCCTGCAGGCACCCACATTTCTCCCTCTCAATCTCAGCCGAATCTCAACGTTCCCTGCTCCTCTCTGCCGAGAATCACCTTGTTAACCCTCTACTTTTGCTTCCCTCACTCATCATCCTGAACACCCTTCTCTCGCTGCGTTCCCTCTTTTCGCTCTCTGTACGCCTGTCCTCCCCATCACCGGTGTGCACGAGAGCAGAAGATGACTGACGACTATGTGAAGCAGATCGACACGGCCTTCAAGCAGAAGGAGAAGGTCAGTGCCACACTGCACCCATCCACCCCCGCGTCTGCTCTGCACTATCCCTCCGCCTTCCCTTTCAACATATAATCCGTGTGCGATGAGCCTTGTTTTGAGTCGACTCAAAACAAGAACCCCACCCCCGCGTCTCCTCTGCACCAGGCCCTCTGCCTTTCCTTTCTCCCCTTTCTTTTTGTTCTTGCTTTCTTTCTTCCATCCTCTTCTTTTCAAGTGAATTCATGGAGGTGGATCCAGCATGGGTGCACCCTACCACCATACCACCGTTGGAGCTGAACTGAAGCACCTTAAAAAATTGCTCCCAACTACCGCACCGCACCTCTGCACACCTTTCCACCCCTCTCCACCGTCCCACCATCTTACCCCCACAGGACCTGCTCACGGTGTGAGTGATTCTCTCAAGCAACTCACGACGGCCCACAACACACGAACACACGATCGAGCGCCAAACAATCAAACAATCGCGCCCCTGATGCCACCCGTGCTGCACTGCTGCTGCTCTGGGGAGTAGCGTCAAACGCCCCTCCACATGCGCTGACTGTGGGGCTGTAGCCTTCAACTCAGGGATTCAGCATTGCTTTTAGAGGATTATCAGAAGCGCAAAAGAATTTTCATGATTTGATTGAGGCTTCAGGGAAGGACTGCTCCCTGAGGAGATCAACTCAGTCAAGTTGATCGTCTGGTGCTCTGTTCAACCTCCTTACCTTAGCTCTTGCCTGGACATGTGCAAGCCATCTGATTTAGCAGTAACGGTACACTAAAGAACAGAATCAACTGGGCAAATAAATCAAAAAAATGTTCAGTAGATAACGCGCTATCTGCCAGTTGTTCGTTGAGGAGCAAGAGAGTGGGCAGGGCAGTGTGAGAGGGAGAAGAAGGTGCATCGACCTATCCTCTCCTCGTTCCCCGACACACACCGATCCAGATGGAATGACCTCCCTGACAGCCATTGCTGCACCTCCCTCATCTCCGCCTCCCCCCGCCACTTAGCTAAGAGCGGGTCGTCCGGCTGCAAGAACGCATCCAGCTCCTCCACCTCTCTGCTCGCATCTGCCCCTCCTTGATCCACCCCGTGCTGCCCTCCTTCTGCACCACCTTGCTGCACCCCCTGCCCCACTACCTGCAACCGCCTCCCTCCCATCCCGCCCATCCCTCCCACCCTGCCCAGGCCAGCCCTCCCACCATGAGCACCCCTCGCTCCATCACCCCCCACGCCCCCCTCACCGGCCCTACCCCTCAGCTGAGCCACCACGCCCTCCCCTATGCCCTCCACGTCCACCAGCAGCTGGCACGTGGTCAAACTGCGCGCTAGCAGTGCTTGCAGGTCTGGTAGGCGCCCCGCTCCCACCTGGTTGGGAAGTGTGGAGGGAGAGAAGAGTGAGAGGGGGGCAGTAGTGACCGAAGGGCGTCGCACCGGTTAGAATAGACGCTTGCGCCCTGCCCCTGCGCCCTCCACATCGGCTGTTGAGGCGCCTCAAAAGTTTTTTTTTGAGGCGCCTCAAAAGTCTTTTTTTGAGGCGCCTCAAAAGTCTTTTTTTGAGGCGCCTCAAAAGTAGTGACTGAAGGGCGTCGCACCGGTTCGAATAGATGCTTGTGCCCTGCCCCCGTGCCCTCCACATCCACTGCAGCTGCCATGCGTGCACCTCACAGGCCAGCAGTGTTTGCAATTCTAGCAAGCTTGCAAGTGTATGGGGGACATGGTTCCTCCCATGTGTGCGAATGGTTCCTCCCATGTGTGCGCATGGTGCCTCCCATGTGTGCGCATTGTTCCTCCCATGTGTGCGCATGGTCCCTCCCATGTGTGCACATGGTCCCTCCCATGTGTGCACATGGTCCCTCCCATGTGTGCGCATGGTCCCTCCCATGTGTGCGCATGGTTCCTCCCATGTGTGCACATGGTCCCTCCCATGTGTGCGCATGGTCCCTCCCATGTGTGCGCATGGTCCCTCCCATGTGTGCGCATGGTTCCTCCCATGTGTGCACAAGCAACAGCCATGCAAGGCTTACTCGAATCAGGTCAACATGCATGGACGCCCCCACAGCTCCAAGCATATCATCAGCACTGGCAACAGCAGCACCTCTCCCCACCACCTCCTCCTCCGCCTTTATCCGCCTCACCGCCGCTGCAAACGCCTCCTCATATTTCGCCACCATCTCTCTGCCGCCCGCCGCTGACTGCTGCTGGGCGGCAACGTCGGCAGTTCGGGCGGGGGGTTTTGGCAGCATTAGGAGGCGCATGGAGGGCAGGCCGGAGAGCAGGTGGGCATCCCAGAGAAGGTCGGTGGAGGGCGGGGCGGCAGGCAAAGAGACGGCAATGCTGGAAGTGAGCGGGAATGGGAGCGGAGAGGGGCGGGAATGGGAGCGGAGAGGGACGGGGGTGAAGGGGTGAAGTGGGTTAAGTCATGCTGGAGACAAAAGAACTCGTGTGAATGCCAAGCAACCGGCAGGATGAAGATGTGGATTGCAGTGCAGTGCGGTGCAATGCAGTGCGGCAGACCCCGTCCAGGGAAGGCTGTGGGTGTGAGAGCAAGCAGGCTGCCCACCTGTGGTTGAGTCCAAGCAGGTGGTGGTGGAAGGCACACCAGCTGCCAGCACGCCCCATGCCAGACGCACCAAACACCAAAGCCTTGCCCAGCCCATGCCGCACACACAGCACCGCCGCTACCGGCGCCCGCCACCCCTCCCTCCTCACTGCCTCCTGCCACGCCGCCTTTGCTGCCTCCTCCTCTGCTTCTGCTGCTGCTGCGGCTGTCTCCATTTCCTTCCCGCCTTGCACTAGCCCACTCACAACTGGCCTCCCTCCCAGCTGTTCCAGCAGGCGGTGCCACAGGGAGTGACCGAGGGGAGTGGCGGCTGATGCTTGTTGGTGTTGAGCAGTGATGGGAGCAGGGCGAGCAGGTGGGGCTGTCAACGACGCTGACGGGTTGGTTCGGCGCCGAACCTCGAGAGACAGCTGAATTGCAAACGGAAAGCGATTAAGGAGGGACAAATGCCAGTTGGAGGAGGGAAAGCATGAGAAGTGAGCGGTGAGAAACGGGGAGAGGGATGCAAGTGAGAGGTCAGAACGGGGAGAGGGATGCAAGTGAGCCACATCTTTCCCACGAGCCCCACTCAACATTTATCATCCCCCACAAGTCACCAACATCATCTCTCCCGCACAAGCATGCCCCACCCACCCACCTGTGCCACTTGCGCCTCGCACCCCTCCCTACCGCCCTCCACCGCCGCCACCACCGCCCGCCGCCCCGCCGCCAGCCGCTCCGGCACATGCTGGTCAAACAGCGCCGCCCAGTCCGCCAGCCACGGCCCGGTCTGCTCGCAGAAGGGGTTGGGCGGAGGCTCGTGGTGGCAAGGGCGGCAGTAGTCTCCCCCGCGGCGGTTGCGGAGGTTGGGGAGGGCGAGCATGCGGAAGAACTGGTGGTGTGACACGAGGCAGAAGGGGAAGTGCGCTCGCGTGACAGACACGTTCAGGCGCTGAAGCATGCGCGCATACACCGTCTCTGCGTTGACACGCCTGGGAGGGAGGAGATATGAATGGGAACGCGAGGGAGATGCGGGAGGGACCAACACGTTCAGGCGCCTGTGAGTGGAAGGGGAAGTGCGCTCGCGTGACAGACACGTTCAGGCGCTGCAGCATGTGCGCATACACCGTCTCCGCGTTCACCCGCCTGGGAGGGAGGAGACGAATGGGAACGCGAGGGAGATGCGGGAGGGAGCGAGTGGAAGGGGAAGGGCGCGCGCGTGACTGTCACGTTCAGGCGCTGCAGCATGCGCGCGTACACTGTCTCCGCATTCACTCGCCTGGGAGGGGGCAATGGGCATGGGCGTGGCGAGCAGAGAGAGAGGGATTGAGGGGGTGAATGGTTGAACTCTGTCTCCTCGACCTGCCTTTGAAAGGTTGACATGCAATTGAACAGCATGGCAGCAGCAGGAAAAGAGCAGCAAAGCCCGGCAGCCCTACTTGCCAGCTTCGCCGTCACCCTCGCTCACAGCCCCCAGCATGTGCAGCCGAGCAAACGCCGCCCGGCCCGCCGCCCGCGGCACCACCGCCAGCCTGTCGTTCACCCCGCCAAAATCCAACCCGGGCGGCGCCGTCAAGCTCTGGTACTCCAAGCCGTCCAGCGGAGCGGGCGGCGCCGCCCAGAAGGAATCTGGGCGGGCCTTCATGAGCCACTTGTAGCGGCGGCTGTAGCGGCGCTCTCTCTCAGCAATGTCAGCAGCGCACATGGCCTCCATGCTAAACTGCTGTAGCAGCCCCTGTGGGCCGTTCTCCAGCCCCTTGAGCACGTGTGTGGGGTAGAGTGCCTCGTTTATGTTGAAATCCGGAAACACCCGAACGGACACCAGCCTTGGCCCTCCCAAGCCTCCTCCTCCTTCCCCCCCTGTCTCCGCCTCCCCTTGCTGGGGAACATTCTCCCCCCCAACTCCCCCCACTCCCCCCGTCCCCCTAAGGGCGAGCAGTTTGGCGGAGTTCTCATCGAGGGGCGCTACTACAAACACGTCTGCCTGCCCGTAGCCCTCAACCCCCACCAGATTCGCCGCTATGGACGGCCCGGTCAGCTCAAACGTTCGCAGCTGCCCGACGAGGCACAGCGCCATGGAGTCTTCTGGCCATGGCAGCTCAAACTCCGCTACTGGCGCTGCAACTGGCGCTGCTGCTTCTGCTGCTGCTGACAACGCTGGTGTGTGGGTCTGGAAGAGGTACGGGAATACAGGAAGGAGATGGGAGGCGAGAGAGGATGGAGAAGGAAGAGGTGAATGGAGAGTCCAGTGACTGCTGTTTCGAGGAGGGTTTTGTGGCAGGGACGTGAAGTGTGAACAACTGCTGTTCTGCCACAAATCAGGTGAAGCCCCTTTCTCTGCTCTTGCAAAGCTCTCCTCTTCCCCACACACTCGACCTTGTTGCAACCCCTTCCGCCAGTCGCCTTGCCTCTTTTCAGTCCACCTCACATCACCTCACCTCACATCACCTCACCTCACTTCACCTCGCCTCACCTCACCTCACCTCGCCTCACCTCACCTCACCTCTTCTCACCTCACCTCCGTGTGAAGATCCGTGTGGGGTAGGGCAGCATGGGTCACCAGCGATGGCTGCTGGCCGTGCCATGGGGGAAGGGGGGAGGCGAGGGCGGAGTGCGGGGGGGGGGGGGGGGGGGGGGGGGGGGGTTGAAAGGAGACAGCTGGGCGGAGGAGGGTGCAGCGAAGGGGAAGGGGCGAAGGGCAGGTCATGCAGGCGGGCGGGAGGGTGGAGAGAGGGAAACATTATGCGGACGAAAGGCGAAAGGTACGTTGATACAGCTCACACGCGTTTACCCCTCACCTCGCCCTCTCCCCTCACCTCGCCCTCTCCCCTCACCTCGCCCTCTCCCCTCACCTCGCCCTCTCCCCTCACCTCGCCCTCTCCCCTCACCTCGCCCTCTCACCTCACCTCGCCCTCTCCCCTCACCTCGCCCTCTCCCCTCACCTCGCCCTCCGTCTGCGCGCTCCCATGCGCGTGCAGCCATGGTGGCATCACGCTCGTGAACGCCAGCAGCGGCGTCAGCGCCAACACCGCCACCACCGCCACTACCGCCACCCGCCGCGCCGCGCCCCTCCCGCCGCCTCCCCCGCTCCCCGGGCCCGCGCCTCCCCTGCTGCTGGGCTGATCCGCGCCCGCGCTGCTTCCCCCCGCGCCCATCCTGCTGCTCGCGCGGCTGCGCAACTGAAGTGCTCCCCCGACGCCGATGCCCCCTGCGCTCCCCCGATAGCCCTCCCGCCCGCGCACTACCGCCGCGGGTTCCGCCAATCCCCGATCCGCCGCGCCCCGCCTGCGAACTTCGGAGTCCCGCGTCGCCGCGCGACGAGGCGACTGCGATTGAACAGACGACGGCGGCGACAGTAACGGCGACGCTGCGAAACCCTCGCGGCCTCTCGCCACGCGACGACCTGTGATGGACTACAATCGCGAGGATGAGCGGGGGGGGGAAGCGGAGAGGGGAGGAGAGGGGGTTGCGGAGGGGACGCCGAGAAGAATGCGCAGTGAAAACGGTGCGGCGGGGGCGGAAGGGGAGAGCTCACGGGATCAGGCGACGGATTGGCGGAGTGGCGGCGGGGGAAGGGGGTGGTCATGGCGGGCGCGGATTCATGGCGCGCGCGAAACGAGGCTGGTCAGAAGCGGGGTAGTTGGATTGACGGAAAGGCAAATCATGTGCACAGCGGGTCGAATCGGGCGGTGGGTGTTGAAATCGGGAGTGGCAGGCTGGTTGCTGGCGAGGGAGTGATGGAATGCGTGAACGCGGTACTGAATGCCTCGGTAAAAATTATGACGGTAACCCAATCGAGAGATCCGTCCAAGCGCTAATGAAACATTTGATTGTCGTGAAAATTTTGAGGCAGCAGTTGAACACGAACTTAATGCTCATTCTTGCCTAAAAATTTTCCAAAATTAATGCCACAAGGAGAGACAAATAACATGTCTATTAGGCACTCAACGCAGGCCTATACCAACGAGGCAGAAAACACAAACAGCTGATGAACTGAGACTGCTTTGGGGGTTCTATTCAAGACCTCAACTAAACCCTGTGGTTATATGTCTGCTGCTGGCAGCCATGGTCTTGCAGTTAGTCCTTGGAGCTCGCACTCTGCTGAATGGAAGGGGTTGCATTGAACGTGGAGAGGAGAGAAGAATTAAAAGTGATCGACAGGCAACTCAGAGATGGCAGCCATGATTCAACCCTTGCTCGCAGGGTATCAGATACAGACACACAGGGGGACCGCACGCACCTGTGGCCTCCTCTCCTCTTGCCTGCTTTCGCCATTGACACTGCTTCCATCAACCTCCTCCTCCCTCCCTTTCCCTTCTTCACCCTCCTTCCTTCCCGTCACCGTCCCCCCTTCTCCACCCCCCTGCCCGTCTCTGCCTGCAGCAGCAGCACCAGCTTCGCCACCCCCAGCATCAGCACCAGCGCCAATGGCACCATCAGCAGCAGCAGCAGCGGAAGAAGCAGCACCGTCAGCAGCAGCAGCGTCTTCAGCAATGGCAGGGAGGGGCATGCCAGGGCGGCCGAGGATGGAGGGCAGCCCGTCAGCTGCCACGGTGATGGGCCGCAGCTGTGCCACCGCTGGGGACACTGGCACGCCCGCCGCCACCGCTGCTGCCACTGTTGCTGCCGGGGAGGAGAGGCTCGGCTGGCCTGGCTTCGACTCCGTCAAGGCCTGGTAAGCGTGGATTGGGGGCAGGGAGGAGGGGACGGGGGTTGGATTAGCATTGGAGAACTGAAGGGGAAAGGCTGCAATGTGATATAAATATGCTTTGTTGCATTTGGGACGCCTCTGAAGGTTTTATATGCTGTGGCGCGCCAAGGGGTGGGTGGGAGGGTATGGCACAGACCTCCGGGAAGAGGTAGATGTACTTGCAGTCCTGCTCGTAGGGCACGGGGCGGTAACCGATGCAGGCATCACACAGCTCACAGTTGTACCGGAACTGGCGCTCCACGCCCTTCTCCCTGTCCCGGTCATAGCACCGTGCATCCCAGGCGTTGGTGGTGGCACGTGGGCAGGCATAGCACAGGGAGGGAGCGCAGCGCCGGGGACACGAGCAGGTAGGGCCATTGATGCAGCGAGCAGGCGCAGGCAGCACATGAGTAACGGAATGCCGGTGTGACGTTGAGAAGGCATTTATCCGATGTCATGGTTGGCGTTGATCAACCATGCTCCACGTGATGTCCGCACACCAATGCCACGGTTGCTGCCCATCACAGTCCACATGGCATGATGCATGCATGCACATTGACATGCACGCCACGGCATAGACAAGCATGCATGCATGTATGATTAGTCAGTCACTCGGTACCACAGATGCATGCGCATGTGCACACACACACACACACACACACACACACACACACACACACACACACACACACACACACACACACACACACACACACACACACACACGCGGTCCACAAGAAAAGGGAGCAGCAGAAGAGATGAAGAGGCGAGCCCTCTCAGCACGTGCAAGAACAACAGGAACGAGAGCAGCCAAGAAGAAACCGAGCTGGGCCAATGGAGAAGACTGTAAGCAGCGATAGGGGTCTTTGCAATGAGCGCACGTGCCCCCCCGCCCACCTCTTGAGCAGCTTCTGCCCGCCCTTAACAGCCATCATGGTGACCAGGTCCGTGGCCGCCTCCACCACCCTGCTGCCGTCCGTGCGCCTCTCCGGCAGCACTGACAGGGGGCGCGCTGCCAGGCAGTGATGCAGATGCAGGCAGGGGAGAGAGGGTAGGGAGAGAGGGGAGAGGGTGGAGAGGGGGGAGAGGGTGGAGAGAGAGGAGAGGGTGGAGAGAGAGGAGAGGGTGGAGAGAGAGGAGAGGGTGGAGAGAGAGGAGAGGGTGGAGAGAGGGGAGAAGGTGGGGAGGGGGGGAGGGTGGAGAGAGGAGAGGGTGGAGAGAGAGGAGAGGGTGGAGAGAGAGGAGAGGGTGGAGAGAGGGGAGAGGGTGGAGAGGGGCATTGGAGAATGCAAGGGGATTCTGTTTGTGGCCGCCTCCACCACCCTGCTGCCGTCCGTGCGCCTCTCCGGCAGCACCGATAGGGGGCGCGCTGCAAGGCAGTGATGCAGTTGCAGACAGGGGAGAGAGGGTGGGGAGAGGAGGGGAGAAGGTGGAGAGGGGCATTGGAGAATGCAAGGGGACTCCGTGTGTGGCCGCCTCCATGAGTGGCTGCCATCCGTGCGCCTCTCTGGCAGCACCGATAGGGGGCGCGCTGCAAGGCAGTGATGCAGTTGCAGGCAGGGGAGAGAGGGTAGGGAGAGAGGGTAGGGAGAGAGGGTAGGGAGAGAGGGGAGAGGGTGGAGAGGGGCAATGGAGAATGCAAGGGGACTCCGTGAGTGGCCGCCTCCACCACCCTGCTGCCATCCGTGCGCCTCTCCGGCAGCACCGATAGGGGGCGCGCTGGTGTGCACCAACGGACAGGGGCGGGAGGAGTGGAGACGAGGGAGGGAGAGGGGGAAGGGAAGGCAGGCAGACAGGGGGGTAATGCTGAATGGAAAGGTGCGAAGGTCAAGGTGGGAAACGCGATGACTGAGGCAAATGCTTCAGTCACAGTGTGGATTGAAAGAGAGCGAGAGATGGCGTGGCGTGGGAAACAGCTTGACCAGCTGAGGCGAATGAGCTGACCCGACCCGACTGACAGGTGGACTCAAACACCAGGTGCCCATCCTCCCTCCCACGCTGAAAGAACCGTGCGACAGGAGTGGCAGTGGCAGCAGCGAGGAGTACGGACCGAGTTTAAAGCAGAAGTGGTTGCAGGCGGCGCAGCGGTAGAGCACGCGGGAGAGGTCCGCCTCCGCCTTGCGCTGCCGCTCCTCCACGCGCTGCCTCATGCTCCACCCCCCCTTCTCCTCCCCGTCGTCCTGCCACGGGTGTTGGGGGGGGGGGGGGGGGGGGGGGGAAGAGGGGAGAGATGGACACAGTTGAGTGGTGGGATTGGTGTAGGAGTTTAAGGGGGAAGTGGTGCGGCAGTGGCAGGTGATGCAATGCAATGGGAACGAGAAGGTGAAGGAGCGCTGAAACAGATGCACACGTGGTGGGCAGGCAGGCAGGCGGGAAAACGGGCAGCCCGTCACACCTTGTCGTAGCTGACGAGCAGCCCGTCGTGGTGCGGCTTGAACTTGTGCCCGTTGGTCTTCCACATGGCCGCTGTTGCCTGCAGATTATCCGGCCATGGGAAGCGGTGGATGGGAGAGGCACATATGAGGCGAGGGAGACGGAGGAATGAGACAAGGCGGATGGGGCGTTGGCCGTTGGTCTTCCGCATGGCATGGCTGCAGCCACCATGGGAAGAGGTGGGTGCGGAGAGGGGGGAGGGAAGAGGGGGAGGCAGGTGCAGAGGCAGGTGTGGCGAGGGATGCGGGAAGTGACATGAGGCGAGTGGGGTGGAGAGGGGTGCAGCGACGTGGGCATGGGGGCGGGGAGATGAAGAGGTGTGGCATGGGAACCAGCAGCTTTGTGACTGACTGACTGGGACAAGAAACGCAGGAGTTGCACTGCACGCACTGGTGACACAGTGACGAGGAGAGCAGTCAGTGGCGCACGAGCAGCAGACTCAGGCATCCACGGAACACATAGCATGCTGCGCTGCTGAGACAAGGGTTTGCGTGCTACCAGCCTCTCAGTCACACGCTACCAACATCCCAGTTAAAGACCGACCAGCATACCATCCCACTCACATGCTGCTTCTCATCAAAGTCAACGAAGCACATGCTGCGCACCTGCACAACAAACGCAGTGCCCAGTTGTATTGAGCGCATGTGATGTACAAAACATGTTGCTGAGAACAGAAGGGCGTCAGCATGAGTTTCTTAAAACAGAAGGACACATCACATGCAATTTTTGAGGCACCTCAAAAATCACAGAAGGACGCATCGCATCATATGCATTGCGGGACGGGATCACTGGGGTGTGAAACACAAGAAAGAGAGTTTCGACAGCAAGCGACTCGTTCAACGCGAGCATCGACAGCAGCAGCTGCACGGCATCTCACCCGACGAAAGGCAATGAAGCCCTCCAGATGCCGAAAGAGCTGTGCGCCGTGCGTGAGGTGAGACCACATGCACAGGCGAGGGGAGACACGGACGGGGGGTGGAGGATGGAGTAAGGGGGATTAAGGAGCGTATGACGACTGAGTTGCACGCCATCGCACAGGTCCTACATCAGTGTGCGTGTCAACGGTGTGCTATAAGCGTGCAGCGTGCGCTGGCGCAGGCCACAGCATTAGCTACAGCTCAGCCGGCACAAGGAAAGGGAGACACGTGTACCAAATCGTGGCTTTCTTGATTGCTCGCGCTCATCGGTCTCGCACGCACAGTCCGTCGGTCAGGCAGGATAAAACAACGGTTCGGCGATTCCATGTGAAGACCCGCGCGATCTCGCAGCCAGCATAAGTAGTGAAATTTTCTGGCCACAAGCGTTCCCGTGCAGTACACGCAAACACGCTGAAGACTAAGAGTGGGAAATCAGAATCTTCCTGCAACGTCCCGGCGTTAATCCCGCGGTGCTTGCTCACCCCTTCGAGCTGCTCCGTGGAGGCGCCGGGCGGCACGTTGGTGATGTAGAGCGTGCGCGACGGGTTCACCCACGTCTTCTCCTTGAACGTGCTCTTCTTCCCCTTTATCCCCGCCGCGCGCGCCGCTTCCTCCGACAGCCCGCCATAGTTTATGTTTCCGCCGCTCATGGCTGTAGAAGTCGTGTTCGCGATGCGGGACGCTTTGGATGGAGCTGAGAGTCTAACCGCGGCACGTGAAGTCCTGCATGAGAATCACCAAGCAGCCGCACAGCTGTGAGGTCTTCATGGTCTTGGTTCATATGCGATATAACAAGCTTATTGTAGCATGAAATCACAAGCTTAATTACAATAGCGTCTCTGAATCCACAATGCGATATTTGTCTAACGGAGCATTTTTCAACGGGGATACGTCGATCGGCTCGTATCGTGCTTTCCGTGTTGTAGTGTTTCCCTAGACACATGCAAGGCTAGAGGCGTGTGGCTGCTCTGGGCCGTCAGATAACTGAAGGCGAGGCCAACAGTTCTGAAGTCGTGGTTTACGGGCAACAAAAAACTTGTCACCTGTGGTTCTGACTTTGTAGTTGTACTGATTGTGTCTGGCCAACAGTTTGTTTCATTTTCTGATCTGCATAGGCGTGAGGATGATGGCCAGTTAAAGGAACATTTGGGTTCATTTGGAACGTTGTTCCAGTAACGTCTCCAGTCATTTTCAAACACGTCTCCAAACAAAGTGGACCGAGCCAAGTCTCACCGGGTCCGAGCCACAGCACACCAATAGGAAACGTGCCCAACGTCTCCCGTGATGGGCTAGGGTGGGACCGCCCGCGACGCCATCGGAAGCGCGTTCGTTCAAGCAAGTCGACTGACAGGTTGTGCGAGTGGAGGACTTCGTCGATTCGTTGATTGCTGGTTACTTACCTCGCACTTGTGGCATACGTCGCCAGCTTTCACACAGATTTTTTTCTAGAATCTCCGGGTCCGTCCGGGCGCGCTTGACGGCGCGCACCGAATATTTCAATGATACCGCCGCAGTTTGCACCTTCGTTGTTTCAGCCAGCTACAGTTTCCACCAGCCCGTAATCCACCCAGCCAGACCAACCCAACTGTTTTGCGGTCATCGCCAGCCATCGCGAACAAACGACACTCACGGAATCGTGGGTGACTGCGGCAGGAGCAGCAAATTTCACTCGCAAACACCGGAAATAGTTGCACACGCCCTGCAGAAGCCTGGTCGCGGTGCGACCCTAGAGGGTTGGTAGGAGGATTAAGCCAGTTATAAATGGCCAGTTTGGGAGAACATTGGTCATGGAATAGGATCATGGGTTTGTGAATCCTCGCAATCGTTAACGCAGACGCAGGATCGCTTGTAGCGCCGCGCCGCTCGCCCCATTTCAGCATTTAGTCGTTCTCTCGTCTGATTCCGTCAGTTTATGTCTGCATGCTCCCGCGCAAGCCCTAGTAACCTGAAATATATCCATTTCTCGTACGATTAGCCAGGATAGCTTTTGTAGAGCCAGCTCTCGCGCGTACCGTAATGCAGCATCTCAGCGGCATCAACGCAACGTGGTGAGCGCTCTCCCCCAGCCATGGCGGCCGAGTGCCAGCTCCCTCGCATGTCCCTCCCCTCGTTCTTGCCCCGCCTCTCCGCGTCGCATGCCTTTCATTCCCTCGCTTACTAATTCCCCTCCCCTCCTTCTCTACCCAGATCTCGCACCGCAGCCTCAAAAGCGTCATGTCGGCCCCCTCGCGCTGGCTTCCGGTCGCGCTTCTGCTGCTGCTGTGCGCGGCGCTCGCTCCTCTCGCCGCCCACGGTACGCCGCACTCCAGCCGCCGCCCGCTCTCGCCGCGCTCCCCGCCCAGCCTGCTTGCCCTCCGCTCCCCATGGCATATCTCTCCGCGTTCTCTCCGCTTCTGGCTTCGCCCTCGACTTCCTTTCCGCTCAAGTATACACCCTCACCCCCAATCCCCCGCCCTTCCCCGCGCCCCCTTCCGCCTTCTCCCAACCCATCAGCCCAATGGACGTACCTTCCCCGCATATCTCGCGGCGCTTGGCTACCGCGCTCATTCGGTTCCGCTTCCCGCCGCGTCGTTCCCGCTTACGCTGACGCAGACGCGCAACCGCTGTTCCCGCACGCGCAGTCCAAGCTGACGTCATCGCTCTCCCTCGCTCCCTGGATGTTCCCCTTCGCCCGCTCGCGCTCCTTCCTCCGCACCGCCTCTCGCGCGCCTCTCCCGCCAGCGACCGACACGCGGACTGCGCCCACATTTTCCACGCTCACGCTAGAGCGCGATCAGCCGCCCAAACCGCCCAAGTCGCCCAAATCACCGAAACCGCCGAAATCCCCCAAGCCGCCCAAGTCTCCGCCGCCTCCTTCCCCTCCGCCGAAATCCCTCAAGCCTCCCAAGTCTCCGCCGCCCCCTTCCCCTCCGCCGAAATCCCCCAAGCCTCCCAAGTCCCCCAAGCCCCCGTCTCCTCCCAAGCCAGGGAAGTCACCCAAGCCTCCCCCGCCCCCGCCGGCCGTCCCCCTTCCGCCCCCGCCGGAGTGGCCGTCCACGTACGCGGGCGTCGCGCCGCTCGAGGCAGATCCCGCGGGGACGCCGCTTTTCGACGTGCAGGAGGGATTCGGAGCGGTGGGGGACAACGCGACCGACTCCTGGGCCGCGTTCGATAGCGCATTCCGCGCTGCGTGTGAGAGCGCGGAGGGGAGCGGCGGGCGCGCGATAGTGCGCGTGGGGGAGGGCGCGTTTTACCTGGCGAAGTCCATCACCGTGAACGGGTCGTGCGGCGCCGGCCTCACTCTCCAGGTACCGCTCCCCTGCTCTCACGCTCCATCGTTCCCCCAAACCCTCGCTTCCCACTCCCTTGCTCCCCGCTCCTTTGCTCCCCTCCCTCGCTCCCCACATTCCGCTTTCACCATGCCCACGCACCCCTCTCTCCAAACTACACAGTGGCTCCGCCCCCTCGCCCCATGCTGTGACTACTCCCCATCTTCCTGACCCCCACCATTACCCCTCCTTCCCCCCACCCATTGCCCCTCACTCCACTCACCATCCTCTTCCCCCCTTGTCCTCCTCTCTCCCTCGCCCAGGTGGACGGCACGATATACGGCCCGGTGTCCAAGGACGGCTACCCCACGCCGTCGCTGTACCTCAACGGCACCATCATTGGCGTCGCCAGCAACGGGCTGTTTCAGTTCCAGGGCGTGACAGGGCTTGTGCTGCGCGGGGACGGGGCGATCGACGGCAACGGGCGGAAGTTCTGGGGGTCCAAGGCGCCCACGCGGCCACACATCATCGCGCTTATCGACTGCCACAACACCACCATCGATGGGCTGCTGCTGCGGTATGTGTGTGTGTACGTGTGCGTTTTGCTGTGGCATGCCACCCTCCCCTGCTGCGGCCTGTGCGCGCTGCTCTCCCTTGCCCTTCCCCCAATCCCCCTCCCCCAAAATCCCTCACCTCCCCTCACCCTCGTCCCCCATTCCCACGTCCCTCCTCCCCCACCCCCCAGCAACCCGCGGATGTACCACGTGTTTGGGTACAGCACGGAGGGGCTGTGGATCTTATGCTGTGCATATCCCTAACCACCCCTTTCTCCCCTTTGTTTTCCTCTCCCGCATTCCTCAAACCCCCCTCCCATCCCTCCTCTCCCACCATCCCAGCAATCCGCCGATGCACCACGTGTTTGGGTACGGCACGGAGGGGCTGTGGATCCCATGCCGTGCATATCCCTCATCCGCCCTTCCCTCGCACTCACCCCCGTTTGCCCCTCCCACGTCCCTTCTCCCCCCCTTTTTCTGACTCCAGCAACCCGCCGATGTACCACGTGTTTGGGTATGGCACGGAGGGGCTGTGGATCCGCGGGGTGACGACCAACAGCCCTGAGACGTCCCCCAACACGGACTCGCTCAAGCTGCTGGGCGTGCGCCACGCCCTCATCGAGAACTGCACCTTCCACGGGGGCGATGACGACGTGTCGCTCGTTGCTAGGGGCGCTCAGAGCGTGGTGAATGTGACGGTTCGGAACCTCATTGCCACGGCCGGGCACGGTATCAGGTGAGATGCTTTGAGGTGACTCAGGAGGCACCAGAGGCGTGGAAACAGGTTGTCGATGTGACTTTTCAGCTGTGATTGCTCCAGCCAGACAATCCCCTGTCTACTCTCCCTCCCATCCCTTCTCACTCTCCCCTCTTGTGCCTGTATCGTTACCTTTTCTTACAGCATCGGAAGCCTGGGAGCGGGTGGGGCAGTGGCGTGTGTGTCCAATGTGACGTTCAAGGATGTCATTATAGCCAACCTCGACAACGGGCTGCGCATTAAGACCTGGCAGGGCGGCCTGGGGATGGTGCGCAACGTGCGATATGAGAATGTGTACATGACCAACACTGACAACGCCATCATTCTCAACCAGGTGAGACCACGCTTGCCATGCGCAGCAGCGGCATCGGCAGCGGCAGCAGCAGCAACAATAATACCTTTGCTGAGTTCTAAACTGCACAGCATTCAAATGGAAGGCTTATATTTATCATGTTCCTTTGTGCCGCCTCTGTGCTACAGTTCTACTGTGACTCACACCAAGACTTCTTCTGTGGCATTGCGCCTGACAACGTGGCGTTAGTCAACGTCACTTACTCCAACATCTACGGCACCACCTCACGGTAACATGCCGTGCAACTTGTCCCATACCCAAAATGTCTTTGCTAACTCCATAAAGGAGGCCATCACACTTGATGTCTTTCGCCAAAGTGGCCGTCTTCTCTCCTAAAAACGGTGTGCCTAAGTGTTTGGGCGTGGCACGTGTGTGGGTGCAGGTATGGAATGAACATCCGATGCAGTGCGACGGTGCCATGTGGCGGCATCAATCTCAACAACGTCAACCTCGTCTCCTCCAAGGCAGGAAGCTCCCTGCGCCCTGTGCTGATGAATGTGGTCAACAGCCAGGCCACAGGGGTGGTGGCGCCTGTACCAGAAGGCATGGGCTCGTATGCGGGTTGGGGTTCCACTCAACCAACCACAGCACAAGCTGCGAGTATACTAAGGATGATGGCACAATGTGGGGGCTAACTGCTACGAACGTTTTACACATGCGCTATGCTTTCCAGTATCGCACGCTAGGTCCACATGGAGGGTAATGCTTACAGGCTCCTTCAGTTCAAAAAGCACGTATTGTATACAAACCGCGTTGGGGTGGGACTTGGAACGTGTCCCAAAAACTTTATTTCTAACTGTTTCACGGCTACAGGATTTATGCCTGTAATCATCATATTTTTCGACTGGTGCAAGGCATTTTTTGCGAAGTGTACCAAGATACGGTACCCCTATGAATTTAGCATTAGCGGGAACAAACTGTGCTGGAGAAAGATATTTTGGGTCATGGTACCCTTTCGCTCAGCAGACCATTTCCCAAAGACGAAGCCCTCGGCATCACGGCAATCTCGATGTTTCTTCGCAGCAGCCATCCTTGCCTGCCACCATTCGTTCCACCCCACTGAGCCTGTCGCCCAAGCAGCACATTCGTTCCACCATCAGCGCCGCATCCTCGCGAGTTCTCATAGCCACTAGGCAGCATCGAGAAGGAGGAGGAGGTTAGCTATGGCGCCAGGACCAGAGGACGTAGGCCGGTCGATGATGCCGTTCCTGCAGCGCGCCGATGAGCTGCAGAAGCACGACCCGCTTGTCGCCTACTACTGTGAGAACTCCATTTAAAAAATTTCCAGGCGTGATTCAGTCGCCCCCCGCGGTGCACGCATGGGGTGCGACGCCGTCGTTAGACTCGCGACGGGGTTGCAACGTACCTGCTACACACCCCCAGGGCTGCAAAACGAGGGTGGGTACAGGGAACTTAAACTGGCTAAAATCTGAGCCGCTATTGAGAATTCTCAAAAGGTGCACTACGCGGGTGGTGGGTACAGACACCATGGGGGGGAACTGAACCCCCTGGGGAGATGCAGACTGCTTCTGTCATGCAGGCTGTGCGCACCCCTGCTGCCTCTGCTGCCCCTGCTGCCCCTGCTGCCCCTGCTGCCCCTGCTGCCCCTGCTGCCCCTGCTGCCCCTGCTGCCGCCGTGTCTGTCTGCTGCCTCCTCCTCCTGTCCCTACCCCTGCTGCTGACTCCGCTGCTGCCCCGCTGCTCCTGCACCCCCTCTGCTCCCTGCTGCGCCGTGCACGGCCTGCAGCTTCAGTTGCAGCTGAGCCGGCATGTGCAGAGCTGAGTCTGCTGCATCTGGGCGGGGCTCATCTGCTGCTGTAGCGCCTGCTGGCGCCTGCTGTAGCTGAACCAGCTGCTGCACCTGCTGCTGCACCTGCTCCGGCTGTAGCTGGAACTGCCCTGCCCCCCTGCTGCTGTTGTAGTGGCACCTGCTGCGGCCTCTGCCCATCTGCCTGCCCCTGCCCTTGCGCCTGCGCCTGTCTTCCCCTAACCACGCCTGGAGCACGCAAGCCCATCCCCAGCCCCAGCCCCAGCCCCAGCCCCAGCCCCAGCCCCATCCCCATCCCCATCCCCAGCCCCAGCCCCAGCCAAAGCCCACATGGTTCCTCTCTTCTTCCTCCTCCAACCCCACCTGTCCCGCCCCCTGCACCAACCCCACCCACTCCACCACTACCATCGCCGCCACCCGATCTGCCACCGAAAGCATAGCACTGCCAGCTCCGTTACAATCATATGGAAAAAAAAAAAATCCGTAGTAGTACACTAATAATACATTAACAAACTCAAAGAAACCACTCCAGAGCCTCAATTCCCAGCGCTTCCCCAGCTGTCCCTGCCCCCGCTGCTGACCCCGCTGCTGCCTTCAGCACTTCAATCCCCAAGATTGCCCCAGCTGCCCTTCACTTCAATCACATTCTGCCTGTCCAGAAGCGACTGTGGCAGCACCTCTAGCTACGAGCACCCGTCCAGATCCACCTCCCTCAGACAGGACAAACTGCCCAAGTCGCTGGGCAGCACACTTAATCCAATGCACCCTTTTAGAGAAAGTTTGACAAGGGATGGGAGGAGGGGGAGAGTGGGCGGGACATGGTGCAGACCAGGCAGGTGCTCAAGCTTCAGAGATACGAGGTGGGAGAGGGAGGAGATGGAATCTGGGAGGCTGGTGATGCGGGGACAGTTAATGATGCTCAGGCATTTCAGAGAGGACATGCGAGTGAGGGAAGGAGGAAGGCCTTGCAACTCCTTGCATGATTCCACATGCAAGCTGAGAACCTTCAGCTGCCCAAGGTTCTCGGGCAGGCGGGTAAGCAGTGGTAGAGACTTGATGGACAGCTGTTCAAGACCGGAAAGGTCGGGCAGGCAGGCAGGCAGGAGGGGCATGGCAGGGCAGTCCTCTAGAACAAGTACTTTCAGCGCTCTCAGGTCGCTCAGGTTATCTGGCAGCGAAGGCAATCTGGTTTGGCTGATGTGGAGGCTGGTGAGAGAGGATAGGAGCTCCAATCTAGCTTGTCCGATGGATACGGGGAGCATATGACTGGTGATTTCAAGAGGAACATGAGGTGTGGCTTCCCCCTCCCTCTCCGTTGGAGTTTGGTGCAAGGTCGGAGGGGCTATAAGCTGCGTGAGGGATCGGAGGCCATGGATTTTCAGGCTAGTAAGGCGGCTGAGGGAAAGAAAAGAGTCTGGGAGGTAGCGAGCACTCTCAAAGGTGTCGGAAATGGAAATGGAGGTCAGGGAGCGAGGAAGGGAGATGGGCGCAGCAAGTGGCAGGGGGTCGGACGATCTTGTGCAGGCCCAGTAGGTCTGGTTGGCAAATCTTGGATTGTAGCTGCAGTCTGCAAGCGTGAAGTCTTCCAGCCTAGGCATCTCATCGAAACCCTCTGGGAGGAATCTCAGATTTCTGCAGCCAGAGATTTTCAGGCGCTGGAGCGACGGGAGAGGAATGTAGTCAAAAAGATGGGCGTCGGAAGCAGCAGCACCAGCTCTAATAGCAGCAATGACAGCATCAGCAGCAGCTTCAGCAGCTGCAACAGAAGGGCCTGCTTCAAGGGTTTGAGCAAGAGTGGGCAAGAGCGACGGAAAGACCTGCAGATTCTCGCAGTTCGTCACCTCAAGGACTTTGAGGCTAGTCAGATTTCCCATGCCCATCGGTAACACCTTTAGCAGCTCGCATCTATCTATTATCAGCTGCTCCAGATGGGTGAGGTGAACGAAGGACGGTGGAAAATTAAGAAGACCACACGACCCACGTAAGTCGGACTCGGAAACACGCTCTGCTTCCGGATTCCTAGGACCAAGTTAAGAAAATGTCAACATCGAACCCTCTCCTGGTGTAAGAATCCCTGGTACCGATCTTAAACACTTTCAAGTTCCTCAAGCCTCCAAACTCGTCAGGGAGTTCTCCGATGGCGCAGTTAAACAGCTCCAATCTACTCAGTTGCGGCAGCTTCTCAAACCCCGGAGGCAACTGTTCAAGATAGGGCGCACCATATATCTCCAGAGTTTCCAGTGAAGAAAGGTTGGAGAAGGAAGCTGGGAGTTCAGCCAAGTCGTAGCACGCATGCAGAATCAGCTCCCTCAGATTTCCAAGCTGCCCAAAAGACTCGGGCAGATCCATGAGTCCCGAGCAAGACAGCTTCATGAATGTCAAGTTTTGAAGCTGCCCAATGTCTTCGGGCAGCGTACTGACAGCACAGCCGTCAAGAACGAGGCTGGTCAGGGACCCCATTGCAGAAACAGACTCCGGAAAACCCTCTAACTCGCAGCAGTCAAAGATTATGAGCTCCTTAAGACCAGAGAGCAAGCCCACGGAGTCCGGGAGCATATTGAGCTCATCAATAGAATCAAGGTGCAGGTACTGGAGAGAGGCAATCAGGCCGATGTCTTCGGGTAGTGAGACCATGTCTAAGCAGTTGTCGACTGTGAGGCGACGAAGAGCCTGGCTGGCAGATAGGGAGCCGGGCAGTTGCGTCAGTCGCGGGCAGGTGTGGATGTATAATTCCTGTAGAGCGGGCAGCTGGCCGATGCTTTCAGGTAATGCGGCCAATGTCATCAGTCCATTCAGCTCCAGTGTGTCCAGATTGGGCAGTTGGTGAAGGTTTTCGGGCAGCCTGGTCAGCTGCGGGCAGTGGCTGAGAGAAAGGTGCAAAAGGCTTGAAAGCTCGCAGATCGAATCTGGCAGTACGGAAACTTCTTCTAGAAACATGAGGCTGATGAACTTCAAATTCTGGAGCAGCCCCAAATTACTGGGCAGATGGAAAATGTGGGAGCCGCTGAAGGTGAGTCGCTCGAGGGAGCTGAGATAGCATATGGGATCAGGTGACGTACTAAACGAACGCCCCGACCGAAACTGCAAGTCCTTAAGTCCCACCAGCCTGCCGAACTCCTCTGGTAACCCGGTAACGCCTTCGCTTAACCTCACACTGAGCCTCGTGAGCTGCTGCAGACGGCTGATGGCAGCCGGAATCTCCTGAACGCCGTCCAGCTGGAGATTGACCAATCGCGAGCAGGATTCGAAGATGGTGGCGACATCGGACGTTGCGAGGCTGGTTGACTGTTCATGGTCTCTGCTACGGCCGTGCTGCGTGGATCGCGAGAACCGTCGATCGTACAGGTGCATCGTGAGATGCGTCAGGGACGAGCCGCATCCGGTGCAAATGGATCGCACGAGGTGGCTATCCATGGAGTCCAAAGCGAACTCGCCGAGATGCAGATGAAGAAGATTCGGGAACTTGGATTTTGGTGGAGCGAGGAGGGAGGCGAAAGCTTGTGAGGAGAAGAAGCGGTCGCGAGGCACGATGATGGCGGGATGCACGGAGCTGGCGACGCGCAGCCATCGCTTGCAGACCAGAGCGTGGCTGAACGTGACTAAGGAACAAGTCTCGGAAGGAGGAACCTTAGTCGTGCCGAACTGCTGGCTCTCGCATGGTGGCGGCTTCCGCAATGCATCCTCGACTTCCTTCTGAAGAACGTCTTCGTTATTAGCGAGCGAATCAGTGCTGTCGAAATCATTGCCGTTGGACGCAACAAAACGAAGGATCACACCCAGCAGGTCGTCAGAAATGCAGGCAAAGGGATCACCACGAAACATTTTCTGCTGCGCCGATAAAGGTGGTTGGTTTGAAGCCAGAACTAGGGGCTGCTTGGATGTCCCTGCTGGTGTTTGCTTCAAGTTCTGCCTTCATCGCTAGCTGAGATTAGGAAATATCAGAACAGCTGTCTGAGGTGGTGAGGCGGGGTGGGAGAGAGGAGCTAGCCCTGTTCAAACATTTTTCATCCTCACGGCAGTCGAACAGTAGTAGTTGGCTGATTTGTGTGAGGTTGGGTTGGATTATGTTAGATTGGGTTGATTTGGTAATTGGGATGGTTTGGTGGAAGTGGTGGTTTGAAAAGAGCGTCCAAACATGGGAGATCTGGCTTCTACGGAGGGAAAACTCTTGAAGTGACGAATCTGTTGTGTAACCCCATTCTCGCCAATCACGCGAGGGCAGACGAGGTTCGGGATTTCTTATCACTTCCGTCCTGAAAGGCGATCGCTCATTCGCTAGCTGAGTACTGTTTGGCGGGAAAGCTACACATAAACGAACCGAACAGGCTCGCTCACGTGCCGAGCCTGGTCCATAATGGACCAGTTTTTTGGTTCATCAGCATTCAAGCCAAGATAGCTCTCGGAAATCACCAACAACTAGGTAGGAGGAATGTTCTCATGTCACTTAGCGTTACGCGTTCGCTGTTGAGTACATTGCTGAATCCAGCATCTGCTAGAATCATGGCTAGCATCGACGGCTCTATGGCGACTCTTGAGCTAGTGCAAGGGGAAATTCCACAGCAGCCACAGCCTAGGGCCTGTGATCACGTTTCATGTCTGACTGACGACCTGCTAGGAACCATTCTTCTCCTCGTCGCATCCAAAGGCACCAAATTTGATAGCCACGACTGCCTTCCCAATAACGAGTCAATTCTGCAAAAGAAGATCGAAAACGCGTTAAATGAGCACCTGCCGAGCGAGAGCGTCCTGTTCGGGTTACCCGAGGCTCCTGTCGCCACAGCCTCATCGCTCACTGCCTTTCGCCACGCTCTGGTCTGCAAGCGATGGCTGCGCGTCGCCAGATCCGTGCATCCCGCCATCGTCGTGCCTCGAAAACGCTTCTTCTCCTCTCGAACTCTCGCCTCGCTCCTCGCTTCACCCACCTTGGGATTCCCGAACCTTCGTCATCTGCATCTCGGCGAATCAGGACTGGACTTTGTAGATCGCCACCTCGTGCGATCCATCTGCACCGGATGCGGCTCGTCCTTGACCCATCTCACGATGTATCTGGGCGGCCGTCAGCCTGTGACGTCCACGCAACCGGCCGGCAGTAGCGGAGGGGAGCTGTCGACCAGCGTTGTACCGATCTCGGCCTCGGATGTCGCCGAAATTTTCGATTCCTGCACGCGATTGGTCAATTTGGATCTACGGCTGGGCAAAGGCGTTTGCGAGATCTCACCTTCCATCAGCCGTTTACAGCAGCTCACGCGCCTCAGCATGAGCTTCAGTAACGTTACCGAGTTACCAGAGGAGCTGTGCAGCTTGTTGCGACTGAGGCAGTTACTCATACGGTCGCAGTCTCTTCGCAAGCTGCCTATTTCGTTGGAATGTCTCATCTCCCTGGAGCATCTCTCTCTTCGCAACTGCGCTATAGGCCATCTCCCGAACGATTTAGGCCAGCTTCGTAACATCAAGTTCCTCACCCTATCGTATCTGCCAAGCCTAGCTTCACTTCCTGAATCAATCTGCCAACTGCCGGCCCTCTCACACCTTTCTCTTGACCACTGCCCCCGATTCGCCAGGCTACCAGACAATATTTTCCAGCTGCCCGACCTAGATACGCTGCATCTAGACAATCTGACTGCTCTCACCGCGCTTCCTGATTCGTTCGGCCAGCTGCCCGCTGGCAAACCCTTGGGATCTCCAGCCCTCCGGAGTCTCAAGATCCACAGTTGCCCACGCCTATCCTCGCTCCCTGACAATATCGGTCGGTTTTCCGCACTTCAGCAGCTGCATCTGAAGTTCCTTGATCAGCTTACGGCTCTTCCGGATTCTTTGGGGTTGATCACGGCGATTAAGGAGTTGAAAGTGGTAGAGTGCGCCAATCTTGAGGACCTCCCCGAGTCCGTATTCGCCGTGAGAGCTCTTACAAGCCTTATTCTTGACGGCTGCTCTTTCTCCGGCCTGCCCTGGGACATCGGGCAGCTCCAGAACTTGGTCACTGTGAAGCTGTTTTCCACAAGCCTTTCTCACCTGCCTGACTCGTTCGGGCAGCTGGGGCAGCTGAAAGAGCTGACCATTTACGAATGCTACGACTTATTTGAGCTCCCTGCTTCGTTCACCAACCTCTCTTCCTTAGAAACCCTACTCATCTATGGTGGATCCTCGCTAATAGACTTGCCTCTGGGTTTCGAGAATCTGTCGGAGCTCCGTACACTAGAGCTGCTAAACTGCGCCATGCCGTACCTCCCTGATAGGTTCGGGGAGCTGCCGAACCTGGAGATCCTCAAGCTTCAAACGACCGACACGTACAAAAGAATCGGGGTTAACTTCGAACCTGCCCCACGGCCCGCTCATCTGGGGTATGAGAGCGAAGGCGAGGAGTTCCAACTGGACGGATCCTGCTCCCTGCGTGGCCTTCCTGGAACCTTCAGCTTGCTCACGCGCCTGGAGCAGCTGATCATAGATGGGTGTGAGATGTTGGAGGAGCTTCCAAGCGGCATGGGCAATCTGTGCAGCCTCAAGGTGCTGAAAGTGGAGAATTGCAAGCGGCTGAAGGTCTTTCCATCCTTCTTGCCCCCTGCTGGGACTGATGGCCAAGCTACAGGATCTTCTGCTGCTGCTGCCACCTCCTCTGATGCTGCTGCCTCCTCTGCTGCCATCCCCCCTCCGCTGCCACTGCTTGAAGAACTGGTGATCTCTTTCTGCCCGAAACTAGCAAACCTTCCAGAAGGCCTTCATCTGCTGCCTAGGCTGAATCATTTCATGCTCGAAGACTGCACCAGCTCGAAACTTGCCAACTGTAGCACCACCTCTCCTTCATTACCCCCACTAGTAGCACCTATCGCCCTTCCGCACTCTGTAGAGACCGTAATCCTCTCAAACGTCTTCAAGTCAGCCCACTACCTCTCAGAATCCTTCCTTTCCCTTGACCGACTTCTTCACTTGAACCTGTATGACCTCCGATCCCTCAAGCAGCTTATAGCCCCCCCAGCCATCGGCCTAACCGCGGACAAAGCCGAAGCTGAAGAGAAGGCTATACCTCACACCCCTCTGCCTGAGCTTCCCAGGATGCCTGGATCGATAGAGCAGGCTGGGTTGGGGCGCCTGTCGTCTCTGGTGCACCTTCACATAGTCAACACCAACCTCCCCGCACTTCCGGAAAACCTAGGCGATCTGAGGGAGCTGGCGGTGCTGCTGCTAGAAAAGTGCCATGCCATCACATCCCTTCCCGCCTCCATGGCTACCCTTCCCAAACTGCAGCAGATCGATCTCAAGTCCCTTCCTCTGCTGACTCACCTGCCCGAGAATCTTGGGCAGTTGGAGGCCCTCAATGAGTTGGGTTTGGATTCATGTAAAAGCTTGGAGAACCTTCCATCTTCCTTCACTCTGCTCTCCTTCCTCATAGTGCTCAGCATCATCAACTGTCCTAAGATCACCTGTCTTCCAGATTCCCTCTCCTCCTTCACCCGCCTTTCGTCCCTGAAACTCAATCGTCTGCCCAAGTTACGTTTTCTCCCTTATCCATTTTCCCTCCCATCACTTGTCCAATTCTCGCTGCAAGGATGCAAGGGTCTGAGGGCTCTGCCCAGCAACTTGGGCAGTTTGTCCTGTCTGAGGGAGGTGGATCTGGACGGGTGTACTCAGCTGAAGGAGCTGCCACAATCGCTGGTGGATAGAGTGAATGTGATTGAAGTGAAGGGTTCTTGGGGAAAGAGCTGCTACTAATGTGGGAGGTGCTGTGGTGGTAAGGATAATGCATGGAGGGTAGTAATAGTGGAGTGGGATTGGCTTCGAAGCTGGGATTCTATTAGCATCTGTTAAGTTGTAATGTGTTATTTATATGTAGGTAGGCTGTAGTGGGGTAGCCAATACAGGGTACAAACCCAACTAGGGTTAGCTACTTGTACCCAACTGTTTCTTTCAATGCATCATTCTTGCCTAGTTCTTTTCACATGGTATTCAGAGCAGGAGGTCCCTAGGACCTACCGACCGTTTTTTTTTAAGGGCCCACCACCGCTCGCATGCGGTTACCACGCTACCCCGTGCCCTAGCCTCGTAGCGCCCTCGTTAGCGCCCTCGCGCGCCCTCGTTAGCGCCCTCGCGCGCCTCTCGTTAGCGCCCTCGCGCGCCCTCGCTAGCGCCCTCGCGCGCCCTTGTTAGCGCCCTCGTGCGCCTCTCGTTAGCGCCCTCGCGCGCCCCTCGCAGCGTCGCCCGCCCGCCGAGCCGCCCGCTCGCAGCGTCGCCCGCCTACCGCGCTGCCCGTTTCGCAGCCCGCCCGCCGCGCTGCCCGCTCGCAGCGTCGCCCGCCCGCCCGCTGCCCGCTTGCAGCGTCGCCCGCCCGCCCGCTGCCCGCTTCGCAGCGTCGCCCGCCCGCCGCGCTGCCCGCTTCGCAGCGTCGCCCGCCCGCCGCGCTGCCCGCTCGCAGCGTCGCCCGCCCGCCTCGCTGCCCGCTTGCAGCGTCGCCCGCCCGCCCGCTGCCCGCTTCGCAGCCCGCCCGCCGCGCTGCCCGCTCGCAGCGTCGCCCGCCCGCTGCCCGCTTGCAGCGTCGCCCGCCCGCCCGCTGCCCGCTTCGCAGCCCGCCCGCCGCGCTGCCCGCTCGCAGCGTCGCCCGCCCGCTGCCCGCTTGCAGCGTCGCCCGCCCGCCCGCTGCCCGCTTCGCAGCCCGCCCGCCGCGCTGCCCGCTCGCCGCGTCGCCCGCCCGCCCCGCTGCCCGCTTCGCAGCCCGCCCGCCGCACTTCCCGCCTGCAGCGCCGCCTGCCCACCGCGCTGCCCGCTTCGTAGCCCGCCCCCCGCACTGCCCGCTCGCCGCGTCGCCCGCCCGCCGCGCTTCCCGCCGAGCTACCTACCTGCAGCGCTGCGGCAGCTTCCTTTGCTCAGTCGCACTGTCGCTATGGCTTCCATCCGCGTGCTGTCGTTCGATGCTGAGGGCCGCCCTGTGAAGTTCGCCACTTGGCTGGATGACCTGCAGCTGTTCCTTCTGAGCGATAGCAAGGAGCATGTGTCGCTCTATGATTACGCGTCTGGTGCTGCACCTGCCCCTCCTGCCACAGCTGAGCTTAGTGTTCGTTCCCACTGGCAGACTCGTGACGCAGCTGCTCGCCTAGCCATTCGCAGTCACCTGCCGCTAGCTGAGCTCGAGCATTTTGGCGACTGCAAATCCGCTAAGGCCCTGTACGATGCTGTCGTTGCTCGCTACTCCTCGCCTGCCACAGCCGAGCTTAGCCGCCTCATGCTGCCGTACCTGTTCCCTGAGCTGTCCACCTTTGCTACAGTCGCCGATCTTATCACCCACCTTCGCACTAGTGATGCTCGCCTGCGTGCCGCCCTTCCCACCGAGTTCTGCGCTAAGAATCCCCCTCCACTGTACTGGACACTCCACTTCATAGTCACCCGTCTCCCTGACACCCTCAGCTCAGTTCGAGACCACTTCCTTGCTCGCTGTCCCACTGAGCTCACAGTCGCCCTCCTAGAGGAGCAGCTGCTAGCGGCCGAAAAGAGCATTGTAGCTGTCGGTGCTGCTCGTGGCGCTCCTCGCACCCCCATCTTTGAGGGGTGTTCTCCCTCTCCCCTCGCTCCCTCCTACGCTGCTGCTGCTGCTGTTGACTTCCTTGGTGCTGAGTCTGCTGGCGCTGCTTCTGCTCCTGGTGGGAGGCGCCGCACCGGCAAGGGCAAGGGGGGCAAGGGTGGCGGGGGTGGCGCTGGGGGGGGAGGAGGTGGGGGAGGTGGGGGGGGAGGCGGTGCTGGAGGGAGCGGTGGCGGGAGCGCTGGTGGGAGTGGGGTCGGTGGTGGAGGCGGGGGCGGCGGAGGAAGCAGTGGCAGTAGTGGCGGCGGCGGCGGTGGCGGCGGTGGCGGTGGTGGCGGTGGCGGTCGGAGCGGTGGTAGTGGTGGCGGCGGAGGTCGGAGTGGAGGCACCGGCTCGGGCCAGAGCTCCCAGCAGCAGCAGCGTCCCCAGACGACCCAGCAGCTTCGTGAGTGGCTTGCTCAGCGTGGGACGTCGGGGGGCAGTGGCCGCTGTTCCTATGTCATTCGCACAGGTGACCGCAAGGGACAGACGTGTGGGAGGTTCCACACCCCGTACCGCTGCTTCTCCCGCCTTGACGACGCTTGGCGTGAGGAGATGGGCGAGGATGTTGAGCGCCCCCGCTGGGCTGAGCTCATGAGGGCTGGTGTTGATATCTTTGCTCTTGACTATGATGCTATTATTGCTGCCATGTATGCATTGACTGTTAGTGCCGAGGGAGACTGTTACTTGTGTGTGCCGCCTGACCCAGGTATAGAGCCCGCTGCCCTGGGTACTAGTGAGTCTGCTCTCTCTGGTATGGTGCCCCCTGTACTTGCTCCCTCCAGTGCTGTCCCGGCTGTTTGCGAGTCTGCTCTCTCAGGTACAGCACCCACAGAGACTGCTCTCTCAGGTACCGCACCGGCTGAGGCCTGTTACACCTTCACCCTTGACTCAGGTGCTTCCCGCTGTTTCTTTCGTGACAGTACTGAGCTCACACCGCTTCCTGCACCGGTCCCAGTCTCCTTGGCTGACCCCTCTGGGGGCCCAGTCCTTGCCCAGTCCACCACTGTGCTCCCTTGTCCGGCGGTTCCGTCTGGCTCGTTGTCGGGTTTCCACCTCCCCTCGTTCTCGACGAACCTGGTGAGCAACGCTGTCATCCAGGATCAGTGGGTTGACACCTTTACCCCTGGAGGACAGCGTGTGGCGATCTGCACGTGCTCCAGGACCGGCCGTCACCTGGCTACGTTTACCCGTCGGCCGGGGTCGAGTCTCTACACACTGACCACTGCGTCTCCTCAGGTCGCTGCTGTCGGTCAGGTGTCCGCGTCAGGTCTAGTGGCCCACGCCTGTGAGTGTCGTTCCCTGTCGCACCAGACTCTTCTCTGGCACCACCGCCTGGGTCACCCCTCCTTGCCACGCCTCCGTGGCATGCACCGTCGCCGCCTTGTGTCTGGTCTTCCCAGGTCCCTCCCTCCCCTCCCTGCCTCGCCTGCGCCGCCCTGCCTTCCTTGCGTCGAGGGGCGGCAGCGCGCCGCTCCTCACTCCTCCTCGTTCCCCCTGACAGAGGCTCCTCTGCAGACCCTCCACCTGGACGTGTGGGGCCCAGCCCGCGTTCGTGGCCAGGGCGGTGAGCGGTACTTTTTGCTGGTTGTCGACGACTACTCGCGTTACACCACGGTCTTCCCCTTGCGCACCAAGGGTGAGGTCCCTGCTGTTCTGATCCCTTGGATCCGCACAGTTCGTCTCCAGCTCCGCCGCCGTTTCCGGACGGATCTTCCTGTCCTGCGTCTGCACTCTGACAGAGGTGGTGAGTTTTCCTCCGATCTCTTGAGGACCTTCTGTCAGGCGGAGGGCATCGAGCAGACCTTCACGCTTCCGGACTCCCCACAGCAGAATGGGGTTGCTGAGCGCCGCATTGGCCTGGTCATGGAGGTCGCTCGTACCTCCTTGGTCCACGCGGCGGCTCCCCATTTTCTGTGGCCGTTTGCTGTCCGGTACGCCGCGCATCAGCTCAACCTCTGGCCCCGTGTCTCCTTGCCGGAGACCTCGCCCACACTGCGTTGGACGGGGGAGGTTGGCGATGCGTCGCGCTTCCGGGTGTGGGGTGCTCGTGCCCTTGTCCGCGATACGTCCGCGGACAAGCTCTCCTCCCGCACACTTCCCTGTGTCTTCCTTGGCTTTGTCCCTGACGCGCCGGGCTGGCAGTTTTACCACCCCACCTCGCGCCGGGTCTTCGCCTCTCAGGACGTCACCTTTGACGAGTCGGTCCCTTTTTACCGTCTCTTCCCCTACCGCACTGCCCCCCTCCCTCCCCCGCCGCTTTTCCTTGCTCCTGGTCCCCCTCCGGTAGACCCCCTTCCCCCTCAGGGTCCTGCTCCTTCAGGTGTCTCTCAGGTAGACCCTCCTCCCGTCGCTGAGCCTGTCGAGGTCACAGGTGACTCAGGTGCTGCTGCAGGTGGTGCTGCTGGGAGTGCTGAGCCTGGGGGTGCTGAGCCTGCGGGTGCTGGGCCTGGGAGTGCTGGGACTGCGGGTGCTGGAGCTGAGGGTACTGTGCCTGGGAGTTCGGCGCCTGGGGGTGCTGAGCCTGGGGGTGCTACGACTGGGGGTGCTGAGCCTGCGTGTACGGAGTCTGGGGGTGCTGAGCCTGGGGGTACTGCGCCTGAGGGTACTGAGCCTGGGGGTGCTGCTGCTGAGCCTACGGAGCCTGGGGTTGCTGCGTCTTCCTGGCGGTACTGGAGCTGCTGGAGCTGACGACGCTGGAGCTGACGGTTCTGGACACGGTGGTCCTGCTGGTTCTGGAGGTGCTGGCGAGGGGAGGTCTGACGCTGCTGGGGCCTCTGGTGCTGACGTCGCTGACTCGGGGGGTGCTGCGGCGGAGGGTGCTGGTCCAGGTGCTTCTGGTGCTCCGGGTGCTGGAGGTGCTGGCGGAGCTCCGCCGTCGCGCCTGTTCTTCGCTCCTCCGTCGCCGTCGGCTTTGCCGCCGCCTGACACGGTGCTTCGCCAGGTTCTTTCCCTCCCGTCTTCCACTGGCCTTCCCCTTCAGCCTGGCTCCCCCCTCCCTGCTCCTGTGCCTTATACTGCACAGCCGGACTCGCTTACGGAGCGTCGTGAGCCTGCGTCTCGTCCTGCCTCGCCTGTTCGCGCTGCTCGCACTGCTCGCACTGGTCCCACTAGCCGTCGTGTCGCGCGTCCGCGTCCTCCTCCTGTTCCTGGCACGCACATTATGGCACTTCGTCCTTCCACTGGTCCACAGCGTGTCCCCCTACCGTCTCCTCCTGCGTCTTCTCTTCCTGACGTTCCCGACCCTGAGTCTGACAGTGTTCGTGCTGCCCACCCTACTGTCACGCGTCTTCTCGCCACTGTTGTCACTGACCCGTCGTTTGAGTCTTCTGCTGCGTCTGCCCTGGTCGCTGAGCTTGTCGACTTTGCTGCTGCCTGTCGCCTCGACTACGCCGCCAGTCTTGTTGCTGGGTCTGAGTCTGTCTGTCCTCCGTCCGTCGGGGGTGAGTGTGCTCTTGGCACGGACGTCCTTGAGGACAGGCAGGAGGACTTTGACTCTCTCGCGGCTGCTGTACCTCATCTCGTGGCCTGGTTGCTTGCCCCTGAGGGAGACCCGGATGCACTAGACATCCCCACTCCGCGCACTTACGCAGACAGCCATGGACGCAGAGGCGATCTCGGGTCCCTACTCCTCTCAGTGGCAGACAGCCATGGACGCAGAGATGGCATCCTGGAAGTCCACAGGCACCTACGTCGACGAGGTTCCCCCTCCTGGGGCGAACATCGTCGATGGCATGTGGATTTTCAGGGTGAAGCGGCCGCCAGGTTCTCCGCCTGTCTTCAAGGCTCGCTACGTTGCTAGAGGCTTCAGTCAGCGTCAGGGAGTTGACTTCTTCCAGACCTTCTCCCCCACCCCGAAGATGACCACTCTTCGGGTTCTGCTGCACGTTGCTGCTCAGCGTGACTACGAGCTTCACTCTCTTGACTTCAGCACAGCGTTCCTGCAGGGCAGCCTGCACGAGGAGATCTGGCTGCGCCGCCCACCTGGCTTTACTGGGTCGTTTCCTCCTGGTACCCAGTGGAGCCTCCGCCGGCCAGTCTACGGTCTCCGCCAGGCGCCACGTGAGTGGCACGACACACTGAGGACTACACTTGCGGCTCTTGGGTTCGCGCCGTCTACTGCTGACCCGTCGCTGTTTCTGCGCACAGACACGTCGCTGCCGCCGTTCTACATCCTCGTGTACGTCGACGACTTGGTCTTTGCTACTGCTGACACTGAGGCACTCGCTCGTGTGAAGTCGGAGCTGCAGAAGAGACACACCTGCACTGACCTGGGTGAACTGCGCAGCTACCTTGGCTTGCAGATCACCCGGGACAGAGCTCGCCGCACCATCACCCTGACTCAGTCACACATGGTGCAGCAGGTCCTTCAGCGCTTCGGCTTCCAGTTCTCCTCACCACAGGCCACACCTCTGGCTACCAGCCACTCGCTCTCAGCTCCACCTTCGGACGAGTCCGTAGAGCCGAGTGGCCCGTACCCAGAGCTTGTAGGCTGCCTCATGTACCTGATGACTTGCACGCGACCTGACCTCGCGTACCCACTTAGCATCCTTGCTCGTTACGTTGCGCCTGGGAGACACAGGCGAGAGCACTGGGAGGCTGCTAAGAGGGTGCTGCGTTACTTGTGCAGTACATCAGGCATGGGGCTGGTGCTTGGAGGACGCGACAGAGTTGTCCTCACTGGTCACTCGGACGCTTCTTGGGTGGACGACCTGGCTACGCAGCGGTCGTCACAGGGTTACACCTTCAGCCTTGGCTCTGGTTCTGTCTCGTGGCGGTCCACCCGCTCTTCTTCTGTTCTCGGCTCTAGTTGTGAGGCTGAGATCTACGCCACAGCCATGGCTGCACAGGAGTTACGCTGGCTCACCTACCTGCTGACTGACTTGGGAGAGCGGCCTAGTTCTCCTCCAGTTCTGTACGGTGACAACAAGGCGGCTCTTGCCTTGTGTCAGGAGCACAGACTGGAGCACAGGACGAAGCACATTGCTCTTCGCTATTTTCTTGCTCGAGAGCTTCAGCAGCGCGGTCAGCTTCGGCTTGTGTACGTGGACTCGAAGGCCAACACTGCTGATATCTTCACCAAGGCGCTCCCGCCTAGTGATCATCAGCGGCACTGTACTTCTTTAGGCCTTGTGTCCACGTTTCCTCACTTGCTGACTGCTTGACATTCTTTGTACTGTACTTTATATTTGTCTTGCTGCTTGTCCTGTTCTATATCTAGCACTACATGTGAACTGGCCTTGTGGCCTTTGTTTGTGCTCGGAGTGTGGTGACGTTGTGATCCACCCTGGGCTTGTTTTTGCTTTGCTGGACTGGTCTTGTGACCCTTTGCTCTCCCCCACTTTGCCTATGGGGGTGTGTTAAGTTGTAATGTGTTATTTATATGTAGGTAGGCTGTAGTGGGGTAGCCAATACAGGGTACAAACCCAACTAGGGTTAGCTACTTGTACCCAACTGTTTCTTTCAATGCATCATTCTTGCCTAGTTCTCTTCACAGCATCAGTATTGGCATTAATACCGAAGCTTCTTATCAGCAACGAGGTGTCGCACGCGCGGCCTTAGTCTGCTAGCAAATTTTGCTGTTACGGTATGTCATATGAGTTGGCCGTTGTCCTACACACAAACAAAATCAGCTCGCTTGCATACACATGTGGCATGGCAGCAGCACATGGATCGTGCAGGCTGGCCTATAAGTATTGAAAGGTCTAGGCAGGTGGGCCTGCATTTTATTATGCTACCACATTTCAGGCCCTCATAATTCAGCATGTATTGTTATCAGACCTCTGAACAAATTGTGGTGAAATATCTGTCTCAGAACTACTTCGTGTAGGCCATTGCCATTTCTCAGAGTATGCAGTCGAATTTGACAGGGCAAATCAGGTTGTACAACTTTTTGTACACCCTCTGCGGTCAACTTCGTTTAATCGCGGTGCAAAACGGTAAGGCTTGATAACCGCTTTCCACCGTGTGAAACCGTCCAGAGCAACGATGCAAGAACTGTGAATGTGTGAGATTTGTACAACCTAACGTCGCCCTGACGTCGCCCAAACGCGTCACGGCAAATTCGATCTTCGCCATCATTAGGGCGCGGTACAAAGTTGTTCAAAAGGTGTTCAAGATGGAAATGACGAACAGCGCCGTTCAAACGAGCTTGAACGGTGTTCAAGCTCGCTCGGTCAAGAATTGAACACACGTTGAACCAGTCTGTAGCTTGTGACGCGATAGGATGCACACCGCTCTGTTCAAGATGGACTTACCGCACAATGTCAAATTGCGAAGTCATTTGGCGACATGTCACACAACTCAGTTAACAATGTTTCACCTTTTAGTTCCTCGCCCTGCGCAACATCAGCACTTCGCATGTAGAGATTTCCCAGGTTTCGGGTTTAGCGATTTCATCAATTTTCGCGAGCCCGAACCAGAATTCGCTGACTGTCTTGAACAGCGCCCTGGTACATCGCAGGTGTATGACGAACGTGCAATTCGAGATCTTGCACAAATCGTTCGTCAAGTGGTGTTCAAGACTTTGTCACGTCTTGACCACGTATGGTACATCTGAGCTGGCCACTTGCCATTACCGGGTAACCCTATTTTTGTTCAGATCTTGAACACGTCTTGAACACTTCTTGAACAAATTTGTACCGCGCCCTCAGCACCATTCGTTCCACCCCACTGAGCCAAAGCATTGTTCCACCAGCGCAGTATCCTCGCGGTTACTCGTAGCCAGCAGGCAGCATCGAGACGGAGGAGGAGGTTCGCGATGGCGTCAGGGTCAGAGGACGTAGGCCGGTCGATGATGCCGTTCCTGCAGCGCGCCGATGAGCTGCAGAAGCACGACCCGCTCGTCGCCTACTACTGTGAGAACTCCATTTCAATAATTTCCAGGCGTGATCCAGTCGCCCCCCGCGGTGCACGCATGGGTTGCGACGGCGTCGTTAGACTCGCGACGGGGTTGCAACGTGCGGTTTCTAGGGCGAGTAACATTTAATTCGTGGGTTCAATGCCAAGAGTCAGCAGAAAACAAGTGGAAAGAGTCACGTCGTTTTTTAAATGTCGCGAGGTACAGATTCGTTGTCCGTACGCGAGGGGCGGAAGGGGTTTGGCGGGAGCATCATTCAATCGCAACTTGGGAGAGTCAAGCACGAGTGGATGGGCGCATGTTTATTGGTCCGCAATTGGTCGTGTATGGATGGGTGGCAAGGGCATGTGTGTATGGGCATGGGGCATGTGTGCACGGGGCATGGGCATGTGTGCATGGGGCATGGGCATGTGTGCATGGGCATGGGGCATGGGCAGGTCGGCTGTACGCGACGGACAAGGGGCTCAAGGTGCCGAGCAAGGAGAGAGGCAAGGAGACCAACGACCTGCTGCTCTCGCTGCTCGCCCGCCTCGAGAAGGTGTGTGCTGGGCCGCTGGACGATAGCTGCCGTGCACTAAGGGCATAGCACACATTCGCCATGGCTATGCCCTTGTTATCGTGCGTTGTAAAAAATGTTCCACTTCCCGCTTTCCCCGCTCTGGCACCATCCCCTACGCCGGAGCCACTTCTCATGCAGATTCACCCTCACGCCTTCCCATTCTCTCCCTACATCTCCTCTCCTCCCACCCTTTTCCCCCCCTCGACATCCTTTCCCCGCCTGCACAATCCCCTCTCCCCCGGTGGCAGGACAAGGCGGAGCTACAGCTATCGCCCGAGGACAGTCTGCACGTGGAGGGCTTTGCAGAGCGCGTCTTTGCCAAGGCGGACAAGCAGGACCGCGCCGGCCATGCCGACATGTACGCCCCCCCCCCCCCCCCCACCTTCTCTCGCCCCAAGCCCGTGTATCTCTCTTGAGTTCGCGTCGCTTTGCTTCGCATCTCCGCTTCCACGTACCAGCCTCCCATTTTCACCTTTCCCCTGCGCTTCCTCCCCTGCTCTCCCCTCAACGCGCCCGCCTGGGGTGTTTCGGCCTGGCCTGTCAGCTCCACAGCCAAGACGTTCTACGCAGCGGGGCTCTTCTTTGATGTCCTGCGCCAGTTTGAGGAGCTCCCCCCCGCGTCCTCCCCCTCTCACCCCTCCTCCCACCCCCCGTTGCCCCTCAACCCATTAGCTCAACAGCTAAGACGTTCTACGCAGCGGGGCTGTTCTTCGATGTCATGCGCCAGTTCGGCGAGCTGCCTCCTGAGGTGAGGATTCCCTGCACTGCCGCTGTTTGCTGCTAAGGCACTGCTCTCTGTGATGCTGTTCACTGGCTCAGCCTGCTCATTGCTGTGCTACTGCTTATCACACATGTAGCTGCTCATTGCTGTGCTACTGCTTATCACACATGTAGCTGCTCATTGCTGTGCTTCTGCGTATCACACATGTCACTGCTCACGCTACATATGGGGCTTCGTTCTGTTGATCAGACCCTCCTTCCTCCCCTTCCTCTTTCCACATTTCCTCTTCCAAAGGGCATCCTCCCCACTCCTTCCGCGTTTCATCCCAACCCCTCTTACTCACACCGTCCTCCCCTCCTTCCTTCCTCCTCCCTCTCTCCATCACTCCTCCAATTGTCCCTCCCGCCTCCAGGTGACTTTTGAGTCGACTCAAAAGTCACCTCATTTTCCCCTCCCGCCTCCACACCCCCCGCCCCCTACGGGCAGGTGGAGCAGAAGCAGCGGTACGCGGCGTGGAAGGCGGCGGACATCCGCAGAGCATTGGCAGAGGGGCGCCAGCCCACGCCCGGCCCACCCTCTGCCGATGCTGCTGGTGCTGCCGCCCTGCTCTCCACACCGGCTGCTGCTGCTGCTGCTGCTGCTCCCTCCACGGCTCCGGGCAGTGCTAGTGGGGTTGGTCTTGCGGCACAGGGAGGCCAGGTGAGTGCGCAATGGGGGGAGAGGTGAGGAGAGGGGGGAGAGGTGAGGAGAGGGGGGAAAGGGAAGGTGAGGAGGGAGAGGTAGGAATGGGTAGTCAGGTGCGTAAGGCATATTCTTAGGAATGAGTGTTTCCCATGTAATGCTTCATCTTACTTCCTGTCTCTTTGCTGCTCTGCTTGCATACGGTACTGCACCTTTGGTTCACTCGCATTGCACCCTCTCCCCACATATCACCCTCTCCCCACATATCACCCTCTCCCCACATATCACCCTCTCCCCACATATCACCCTCCTCAACGCCACCTCTCTATCACCCTACCTCCTTGGTACCAATCCCCCTCCACACGCCCTGCACATCCCCCTCCACACGCCCTGCACATCCCCCACACGCCCTGCACATCCCCCTCCACACGCCCTGCACATCCCCCTCCACACGCCCTGCACATCCCCCTTCCCCACCCACCTACCCCCTTCCCCCTCCCCCCCTTTCCCCGCCAGCAGCAGCACGACATTCTGGGTCTGCCCGGGCCGCCCTCTGTGCACCCTCTGCGCCCCGACCACAGCGGAGCAGCGCCAGGGGGGGGTGGGGCTACAGCAGCAGGGGGAGGGGGTGCCGGGGGGGGATGGGCACAGGGCGGCGCACAGCAGGGGCCAGGGGTGGGGCGACCCCATGGGGGCGGTGCTGGTGAGCTCTCTGCTCCTCCTAACCTCCCTTCCATGCCGCACGCTCTCACAACTCTCACAGGAGTTTACCCACTCTCCCCAGTCTGTTGCATACATCCAGACGTCTGCCAAGCCGTCCAATCCACTGCACTTGTTCTTCCTTGCTCCTCATTCTTCTCTCCCTTCCCCTCTCCCCCCCCCCTCTTTCTCACTCTGTGCAAGCTGACAATCTCATGCTTGCGTCTCTCCCCACTCTCTCCCACCTCCCGTCGCCCATCCACCACTATGAACCGCCCACCACCACACTCGCTGCTCCAGCAACAACATCGTCCATCGGCCCTGCAGGCACAGGCGCAGCACGAGCAGCAGCTGGTGCCCCCTCGTCCTTCTCAGCTCCCCTCGCATCACAGCCCGCTGCCTCTGCAAGCCCCAGCACCGGTGCGGCCACAGCCACAGCCGCGGGCACGGACACGGGCACGGGCACGGGCACGGGCACGGGCACGGGCACGGGCACGGGCACGGGCACAGGCACAGGCATGGGAATGGGGCAGGCTCCCCCAGCGGGCAAGGTGGGCGATGCCCACCGCGCTGCACGCTTTGCTGTGAGTGCACTGGCCTTCGATGACGTCCCTGCTGCTGTGGACTACCTCAAACAGGCCCTGTGGCTGTTGGACGGAATGTAATGTAGCAGGAGTTCCTGGTTATCAGTAGTTTGTAGGTAGCTGTGTGATTTCCTTTGCGCCAAGATTGCGGAAGGTCCCTTTTCCAGATCATCAGCAGGCCCCGCAAACGAATTACGCAGGTTAGCATGCAGCAGTAGCCAATCAGCAAAATGAATCACTGTCCAGGTACTGTAGATGTGTACATTTGTAGAATTGCTTGGCAACACAATGGACATACCTGGTACTGATGGAAGGTGTAGAGAAGGCTTCCAAATTACCGAAGGAGCAATTTCCTCCGCGCGATTTCAATGTTGACGAAACTTGAAATTCCCGCCGCCAGAAGTTGGGGCATTTTCGCCATGCGAAGGAGTTACGGCGGCGCGCACACGTCCCACCCACCTGTGAGGTGCAGCGATTCGGCGAAGGGGCTGGGCGCAGGTGGAAACGCAAATGTGCGCCACAGCAAGGGCGAATTCGGCGAGGGGGAGGTCCACCTGCCTGTCTGTTCCACTCCGCTTCGCTTCCCCTCCCCCTGGCGTTTTCTGTTGTGCTGAGTCAAGTGCATGCTAGAGTCACCCGCCCGCCGTACACAAAAGCGCCCAAGCAGTCCCACAACTCGAACCTGGATCACATGGGAGATTTGAACAAGGGTATGGTGCGGTAAAGGTGTACCGAACGCGGTGCAATACAATAATCAGCAATATTTAGTAGGTGAGTTTGCAATTGCTCATCAGACGCCACAACCTAAGGTTGGTGCCGCAAGCACATCGGATCTGTCTCGGTTGTCGAGCAACCACGAGACTTGAATCATTCGCACTTGAACGAGTCACAAAAGCCAAGATATCTATACGTTTCTCTCCATTTTGCATTCATAGAGGTGCCAGTGAGATATTTCCGTTATGAAAAACTGTAGTTTTCGCGCGTCGATGGAAGCCACGCGATTGGACGCGATCCTCGTCGTCCTCCTGCTCGCCGTCGCGCTATCCTTCACCAGCATTCCCCTCCGCACGTGGGCCGCCAAACCGCCAGACCCAGCAGCAGTGGCGGCGCCGGTAGAGGCGGCGGCGGCGGCGACGCGGCTGAACTACAGCGAGGCGCTGGAAAAATGCATTTTCTTCTTCCAGCTGCAGCGGTCCGGTAGACTGCCGCGCTCGCAGCTACCCACGTGGCGCGGCGACTCGGGACTCACGGATGGCAAGGCGGAAGGGGTAAGGGGGAGGTATAGGCGGACGCGGGGAAGGTGCAGGCGGAAGGGGCAAGTGAGAGGTACTTGCGGAAGAAAGGAGGCGATGGAGTAAATGCGGAAGAGAAGGGCGGGAATGGGACTCTAGACGGCGCTTGAGCATGTCCGTACGGCTCGTTTTGAGGCGGGAAGGGCGGGAATGGGACTCTAGACGGCGCTTTCGCATGTCCGTACGGCTCGTCACACCCGCAGCGTGAGGTTTCAGAGTAAAGCGGAGCAGATGCGCCCAGAGCAGTGCGATGAGAGGAGCACGCCTTCCGCTCAATAGACTCGCGCAGCTTGCGTTCCCCCGAACGTATCCATCACACGGCCTTTCCTCCCCCGTCCCCCCTACCCACTCTCTCCCCCCCGCGGTGGCGGCGGCGGCAGGTGGACCTGACGCGCGGGTACTACGACTCGGGCGACAACGTCAAGTTCGGCTTCCCGCTCGCCTTCACCGTCACCGCGCTCGCGTGGAGCGTCGTCGAGTATGGCCCGCAGCTCACGGCGCTCGGGCAGATCAAGGCGGCGCGCGACGCCGTGCGGTGGGGCGCGCACTTCTTCGTGCACGCGCACCCCAAACCCAACGTGCTCTACGCGCAGGTGCGCGGGTGAGAGAGCATGTGTGCGGATGCGAGAGCATGTGTGCGGATGAGAGAGCATGTGTGCGGATGAGAGAGCATGTGTGCGGATGAGAGAGCATGTGTAGGGGTGAGAGAGTGTGTGCGCGGATGAGGGTGCAGGTGCCCCGACAATGGGCAGACGGGCTGTCCGTCCGTGAAACCGTTGTTACATTCACCATTTCATTCACTGCTGAATATTCACTCCGTCCCACATTCTGAGCCGGCCCCCAATGCCCTTTCTGTTCCTCGCCTCACCTCGCCTCACGTTGCTGAGTGCATGCGCACATCCCCACATGCGTGAACGGCAAGCGCAGGTGGGCGATGGGCAGTCGGACCACAGCTGCTGGCAGCGCCCCGAGGACATGACCACGCCGCGCACCGCATACCGCCTCGACCCCCAGCACCCCGGCACCGAGCCCGCTGCTGAGGCGGCGGCAGCACTGGCGGCGTCGAGCATGGTGTTTGGCAAGACAGACGCTAACTACTCCAAGTCGCTGCTCACCCACGCCCGCCAGGTGCGCTTCTCCTGTGCCTTGCTCCCTGCTGCGTTGGCCCCGCGAATTCCTCAATCTCTGTGCCTTCCCGACGGTTTACACCCTCACGATTCACCGAGGTTTCCAATAATTATCCTCCCTCAAACCCCAACCCCCCTTCCCTGCCCTCACGGCACGACGACAGCTGTTCAACTTTGCTCGCAAGTACCCGAAGAAGTACACGGACAGCATCCCCTCTGCCTCCGCCTTCTACAACTCCTACTCCGGCTTTAATGTGCGCCAATCTCTGCCCCCCTCGTGTGCACCACACTGCTGTGTCGATCAACGCCCCCCCTGCTCTGTTGCACCAGTTCACATGTCCAATTTGGCCACATGCCGCTGACGTGCCTTTCGCTGTGGTTGCTTCTGTGTCCTGTTATATGCATGCTGACATGTCCTCTTCTGTGCATACTGCGTGCCTTGCTTGCTGTTTGCCGCCCAGGACGAGCTGCTGTGGGCGGCGGTGTGGCTGTACCGCGCCACAAGGGAGAGCCGGTATCTGGACTACATCGTGACCAACGAGAACCAGCTGGGCGGCACGCAGTCGTCAGTGCAGAACTTCTCGTGGGACAACAAGTATGCCGGCGCTCAAGTGCTGCTAGCTAAGGTGAGCGTGAGACCACGGTCGTGAGAAAGGTGTGGTGGGGATGGTGCTGCTGGGGACGGTGCTGCTGGGGACGGTGCTGCTGGGGACGGTGATTCTGGGGACGGTGATTCTGGGGATGGTGCTTCATGGCAAATCATCCAATGCCACTCCATCCCACACCATGCTCCCATCCCATCCTACCATGCCCCAGTCACGCTATCTTCCTCCAATAACCCCTGTGAACCCCCTTCCATATCCCCGCCGCCTCCCCTCCCACCACCAGGAGTACCTACTGCGCCAGGACCCCTCACTGGAGCTGTATCTGAAGCGCGCCAAGGACTTTGTGTGCGGCACCGTGGTGCGCGGCATCAGATCACCCGGTGCGTGCCATGCCATGCCGCCACCCACCCACGCCCTCAGGGGGCTGCCTGCCTGGGATCACATCATAACCTCCATGCAGATCAGATATCCACGGTCCTGCTTGCAAAATAACATCCCCTGCTGCAACTGAAACTGTGTTTCATCCCCATGCCGTGCGCGCTGCACCATGCACGGAGCGCAGGAGGCATGCTGTTCCTGATGTCATGGAGCAACCTGCAGTACGTGACGGCCATCTCCATGGTGCTCTCCACCTTTGCTGACATCCTCGATGCCGCCCCCGCCAGCGCCGGCAACGCCACGGCCATCATGTGCGACTCCACACCCGTCACCCCCACCGCCATGCGCCGCTTCGTCAAACGCCAGGTGCCCCTTGTCCTCCATGCTGCACTGCCATACGTGTGGCTAGTATCTCTACACTTGACGGCATCGGCCCTTATTGCTCTCAACCTGTTCGTCTCCAACTGCTCTCCCTGTGCTACTGTTCCCTAAACCCACTCCGTGCATGTTACTTACTGCACCCCCAACCCTTGTTCTTCACCCCTCTTCGTGTTTTCCCCCCCTCCACTCCCCCCTTCCCCCCTCCTCCGTGCATCCCAAGAGCAGGTGGACTACATACTGGCCGTGAACCCCAAGAAGCTGAGCTACATGGTGGGGTTCTCCTCCTCGTTCCCACAGCGCGTGCACCACCGCGGGGCATCGCTGCCGTCCATCTGGGTGAACAACACGCCCATGGGCTGCAACGACGGCTGGCCCGCCTTCCACTCCAAGGTGTGCTCCCTGCCCCATCCTCTCCACACCGCACCACACCACACCACACCACACCACGCCCATTGCTCAGTCAGCACACCAACGCACTTGCTATTATAGCAGGTTCAATCTCGTGATGTAGGTTCGTCACCACCCTCCCTCCCTTGCTCCTCCCTCTGCGCCCCATGCACCCTCTGCGCCCACGCACCCCCCGGCAGGCCAAAAACGTGAATGTGCTGACGGGGGCGGTGATAGGCGGTCCGGACGGCAGCGATGCATTCCGGGACGAGAGGGACAACTACCAGCAGGTCGAACCCTCCACCTCCATCAACGCCCCCTTCGTTGGTGTCCTTGCTCGTGTGGCTGGAGGGGCCCCTAAACCCTCTCCTCCACCTGCCTCCCCGAAGGGCCCCCCTCCTCCACTCAAGGCACCGCCCCGCCGGCAAGCGCAAGTGAGCCGCCTTCATTGATTGAACTCAGCAGAAGGAACCGGCAATAAAAGTTGTCCACTAACAAGCACGATAGCACACTAGGTTGTAAATATGTAACTTATACGGTAATAAAGGTCCATTCAATTGCGAAAATGAGGGACAGTTTTGCGAACACTACTGACTGCGCTTTGACTCTGATCTGTTTGTAATCTGATTGGCCATAACTTGATTTGCCAGATAGAGCTTGCCTTCATCACGCTACGGTAGATCGTCTTTTACATCCCGAATAAAAAGCGTTCGTGAACGGACTCAAATTTCGAGTACAGTATTGCAGAAACGGGGATGGGGCGGAATTTTCTAGTGTGTGTGAAAGAGGCGCGGGAGGTTTTAGAGCCCTTGGGAAGCACCTTTCCCGTCATTTCTGCTGCGCGATTCCAAGCCTGTCGATCCGCTGCAGCACACGCCGTGCGGTTTGCCGCGCCCCACATTCAGCCTCCTTTGGCGTCGGCTGCCGTCACTATTAGCCGATTACAAAGAGAGGTCCCAAGTGGTTCACTTGGTGCCACTTGCACGTCTCACGCCGTTCTAGCCAGTCCCATCCGAAGTGCGTCGCTCGGACGCTCCACCGCCCTCGTCGGACGCGCGTGCCCAGGCCTTTCCGGAAGGCACGCGCGCGCGGTAGTGGTGCGCGGGGATGGGGAAGAAGGGGAAGGGGAAGCCGGGGAAGGGGAAGGAGAAGACGGAGCGCAAGACGGCGAAGGCGGAGGCGAAGAAGCAGCGGCGCGAGGAGAAGAAGGTCGACGCGGAGGACGACATCGATGCCATCCTGGTGCGCAATGAGAGGTGGGGGGGAGGCTGGGGGTAAGCTGAAGAGAAGGGGACGGGGGGAAGGGGTGGGGGGAGGATGGGCACTAAGAGGGAGGGGAGGCAGGGGGAAAGTGTTAGAGGGCCCTACGACAGCAAGGGCCCTCGATGACCTTTGACTTGGCAGGTCAGCGCCTAACGACTGAGTCTACTCGGCACCGACGCATGCGTTCGGTGGCAGTCACTCGTGACCGTGGGTGACAGCGAGCTACCGCAGCAAACTCGGCGGAGTCAGTGCAGGATGGCGTGGGTCTTTGGGAGTTGGGCGTGCTTCTTTGAGAGTCACGCCACTCCTTGCAGTGTTGGCTGGAGTGGCGTGCACGGAAGTGGTTTGCGCTGCTGAGTTGGGTTGGGAATTGGCCGAGGCGCGTTCACCCACCCACACGACAGTTTCGTGGGGTTGGGTTACTGCGCAGCGCCACGGCAACTTTGTGCAACTCTCCCGTAGCCTATATTTGCATGTGTGTTTGTTTGTGTTTCATATATTCTATTTTCCTAGTGAAGTCCAATCTCTACTCAAATTCTCACTTAGTCATTTGAGACCAACGCTACCCAAACGCTACCGAATTACTGGCACAACATCAATTCCCATAGCCGAAACTCTCTCGCCGTCGTAACGCTCTCCATAGTATTCCTTCAGAAAGGGCATGACTTGGATGGTGAGGTGCCTCGAGGGAGAGGCAGCAGCCGATGGCGCCTGACGAATGGCGAATGTCGGCGAGTGGCATGCACGCATGGGGTTGGCAGCGGTGGAGGGGTGTGGAGAGGGGCGGTGAGGCAGCAAACTGTGGATGTTTGTCGGTAGGAGGGGGACACAGTATCTCTTGATGCGAGGGGCGGGAGCGTGGCCGATGCGTAATCTGAAATTTCTCCCAACACGTGGCACAGGGAGGCTTCCGCCCTCCTTGCTGTCTGCCTGGCTTGCATGTGTGGCATGTGTGGCATGCATGGCACGTGTGGCATGTGTGGCATATGGGGCATGTGTGGCATGTGCGGCATGCATGGCATATGGGGCATGTGTGGCATGTGTGGCATGTGTGGCATGTGTGGCATGTGTGGCATGCATGGCATACAGGCGAAGATAGCAGCGGAGGAGGCGAAGAAGAAGGAGGTGCATGTGGAGGAGGGCGTGCCGCCGCCCTCCCCTCGCTGCAACGCCACGGTGGGTTGCCCCCCTCCCCCTGTCCCCCTCCCCCTGTCCCCCTCCCCCTGTCCGCCTCTCCCTGTCCGCCTCCCGCTGTCCCCCTCCCCCTGTCCGCCTCCCGCTGTCCCCCTCCACTGCGCCCTCCCCCTGTCCCCCTCCACTGCACCCCACTCCCTGTCCCCCTCTACTGCACCCCTCCCCTTCAATTCTTTCCCCTCCACTCCACTGCAACTGCATTACCAAATGACTGTGTATTTGAGAATCCTCAGGAGCCCCCTCCCCTCTCAGCTCACCACTTCTTCCGTTCCCCTCCCCACAACTTCCCGCGCCCGCCTTTGCTTCCCGCCATTATTCTGTGGCCCCTCTCCTCTCTCTCGCCCGCTCAACGCCCGCCCGCTCAACGGTGGCCCGCGTGGCAGATGGTGGTGAATCCACTCAAGGACACGGAGCTTATCATCTTTGGTGGGGAGTTCTACAACGGGGATAAGGTGCGCCCTGGGGTCAACGGGGATAAGGTGCGCCCTGGGGTCAACAGGGATAAGGTGCGCCCTGGGGTCAACGGGGATAAGGTGCGCCCTGGGGTCAACAGGGATAAGGTGCGCCCTGGGGTCAACGGGGATAAGGTGCGCCTTTGTGTTGTGTCGTGCTCACTGCTCATGCCCGCCCCAGGGATGTGCTCGTCTGTCAATGATGGCGCCACACATGCCTTGCGCCCCTCACTAGTCATTACCTCCGCTAGTGCGTCACCTGTCGATGCGCTTTCCTCCGTCCGTACCTGCTCCAGTCTCTTCTAGATTGTCAATGCTCCCAGCCTTGCCTACTCACCTCTCCCCATCCCCCTCTCCCCATCCCCCTCTCCCCATCCCCCTCTCCCCATCCCCCTCTCCCCATCCCCCTCTCCCCATCCCCCTCTCCCCATCCCCCTCTCCCCATCCCCCTCTCCCCATCCCCCTCTCCCCATCCCCCTCTCCCCATCCCCCTCTCCCCATCCCCCTCTCCCCATCCCCCTCTCCCCATCCCCCTCTCCCCATCCCCCTCTCCCCATCCCCCTCTCCCCATCCCCCTCTCCCCATCCCCCTCTCCCCATCCCCCTCTCCCCATCCCCCTCTCCCCATCCCCCTCTCCCCATCCCCCTCTCCCCATCCCCCTCTCCCCATCCCCCTCTCCCCATCCCCCTCCCCCATCCCCCTCTCCCCATCCCCCTCTCCCCATCCCCCTCTCCCCATCCCCCTCTCCCCATCCCCCTCTCCCCATCCCCCTCTCCCCATCCCCCTCTCCCCATCCCCCTCTCCCCATCCCCCCCTCCCCATCCCCCTCTCCCCATCCCCCTCTCCCCATCCCCCTCTCCCCCTCTCCCCATCCCCCTCTCCCCATCCCCCTTTCCCCATCCCCCTCTCCCCATCCCCCTCTCCCCATCCCCCTCTCCCCATCCCCCTCTCCCCATCCCCCCCTCCCTCCGCCCCCACCAGACGTACGTGTACGGCGATCTGTACCGCTTCAACGCGGACAAGGCCACGTGGCGCCTCGTCAGCAGCCCCAACAGCCCGCCGCCTCGCAGCGGCCACCACGCCGTCGCCTGGAAGAACTTCCTCTTCCTCTTCGGTGCGTCGCCTGGAAGAACTTCCTCTTCCTCTTCGGTGCGCGCCGCCGAGGGTGCCCGGCATGCCCTGCGGAGGATGTGACCTGCCCAGACCAAGTTGTTCTTGTTGACTCGTGTATCCACCATGACAAGTGCGGAATAGTCAAAATGTCTCATGTGCCACGTGTCATGTGCGTGTCGTGTGTGATGCGTGTGGCAACAGGTGGCGAATTCACGTCGCCCAATCAGGAGAGGTTCCACCACTTCAAGGTGCGCGGTGCTCGCATGCTGCACTGGACCTGCGTGCATGTGTATCAGTGCACTTCAAATTTATTCACGGGATAGCAGAGAGATGCTTATCATGTTCTGCCTTGGAAGAGACCACAGTATCTTCTCTGCTGTGTGCCCTGCTGTGTGCCCTGCTGTGTGTCCTGCTGTGTGCCCTGTTGTGTGTCCTGTTGTGTGTCCTGCTGTGTGCCCTGTGTGTGTCCCGTTGTGTGTCCTGCTGTGTGCCCTGTTGTGTGTCCTGTTGTGTGTCCTGTTGTGTGCTTTGTTGTGTGCCCTGTTGTGTGTCCTGCTGTGTGCCCTGTTGTGTGCCCTGTTGTGTGTCCTGCCGTGTGCCCTGTTGTGTGCCCTGCTGTGTGCCCTGCTGTGTGCTGTGTGCCCTGCTGCTGTATGCTGTGTGCCTTGCTGTGTGCCCTGCTGTGTGCCATGCTGCGTGCCCCGCCAATGACCACAGGACCTGTGGCGGTTGGATCTGAACAGGAACGAGTGGGAGCAGCTGAACCTCAAGGGCGCCCCCTCGCCCCGCTCCGGCCACCGCATGGTGAGGCGCTGCCTGCCCATGGTAAGGCCAGCGCGCATGGTTAGGCCAGCGCGCATGGTTAGGCCAGCGCGCATGGTTAGGCCAGCGCGCATGGTTAGGCCAGCGCGCATGGTTAGGCCAGCGCGCATGGTTAGGCCAGCGCGCATGGTTAGGCCAGCGCGCATGGTTAGGCCAGCGCGCATGGTTAGGCCAGCGCGCATGGTTAGGCCAGCGCGCATGGTTAGGCCAGCGCGCATGGTTAGGCCAGCGCGCATGGTTAGGCCAGCGCGCATGGTTAGGCCAGCGCGCATGGTTAGGCCAGCGCGCATGGTTAGGCCAGCGCGCATGGTTAGGCCAGCGCGCATGGTTAGGCCAGCGCGCATGGTTAGGCCAGCGCGCATGGTTAGGCCAGCGCGCATGGTTAGGCCAGCGCGCATGGTTAGGCCAGCGCGCATGGTTAGGCCAGCGCGCATGGTTAGGCCAGCGCGCATGGTTAGGCCAGCGCGCATGGTTAGGCCAGCGCGCATGGTTAGGCCAGCGCGCATGGTTAGGCCAGCGCGCATGGTTAGGCCAGCGCGCATGGTTAGGCCAGTGCATGGTTAGGCCAGCGCGCATGGTTAGGCCAGCGCGCATGGTTAGGCCAGCGCGCATGGTTAGGCCAGCGCGCATGGTTAGGCCAGCGCGCATGGTTAGGCCAGCGCGCATGGTTAGGCCAGCGCGCATGGTTAGGCCAGCGCGCATGGTTAGGCCAGCGCGCATGGTTAGGCCAGCGCGCATGGTTAGGCCAGCGCGCATGGTTAGGCCAGCGCGCATGGTTAGGCCAGCGCGCATGGTTAGGCCAGCGCGCATGGTTAGGCCAGCGCGCATGGTTAGGCCAGCGCGCATGGTTAGGCCAGCGCGCATGGTTAGGCCAGCGCGCATGGTTAGGCCAGCGCGCATGGTTAGGCCAGCGCGCATGGTTAGGCCAGCGCGCATGGTTAGGCCAGCGCGCATGGTTAGGCCAGCGCGCATGGTTAGGCCAGCGCGCATGGTTAGGCCAGCGCGCATGGTTAGGCCAGCGCGCATGGTTAGGCCAGCGCGCATGGTTAGGCCAGCGCGCATGGTTAGGCCAGCGCGCATGGTTAGGCCAGCGCGCATGGTTAGGCCAGCGCGCATGGTTAGGCCAGCGCGCATGGTTAGGCCAGCGCGCATGGTTAGGCCAGCGCGCATGGTTAGGCGAGCACGCATGGTTAGGCGAGCGCATGGTTAGGCCAGCGCGCATGGTTAGGCCGGCGCATGGTTAGGCCAGCGCTCATGGTTAGGCCAGCGCATGGTTAGGCCAGCGCATGGTTAGGCCAGCGCGCATGGTTAGGCCAGCGCGCATGGTTAGGCCAGCGCGCATGGTTAGGCCAGCGCGCATGGTTAGGCCAGCGCGCATGGTTAGGCCAGCGCATAGTTAGGCCAGCACGCATGGTTAGGCCAGCGCATGGTTAGGCCAGCGCATGGTTAGGCCAGCGTGCATGGTTAGGCCAGCGCGCATGGTTAGGCCAGCGCGCATGGTTAGGCCAGCGCGCATGGTTAGGCCAGCGCGCATGGTTAGGCCAGCGCGCATGGTTAGGCCAGCGCGCATGGTTAGGCCAGCGCGCATGGTTAGGCCAGCGCACGGTTAGGCCAACGCGCATGGTTAGGCCAGCGCGCATGGTTAGGCCAGCGCGCATGGTTAGGCCAGCGCGCATGGTTAGGCCAGCGCGCATGGTTAGGCCAGCGCGCATGGTTAGGCCAGCGCGCATGGTTAGGCCAGCGCGCATGGTTAGGCCAGCGCGCATGGTTAGGCCAGCGCGCATGGTTAGGCTAGCGCATGGTTAGGCCAGCGCATGGTTAGGCCAGCGCGCATGGTTAGGCCAGCGCGCATGGTTAGGCCAGCGCGCATGGTTAGGCCAGCGCGCATGGTTAGGCCAGCGCGCATGGTTAGGCCAGCGCGCATGGTTAGGCCAGCGCGCATGGTTAGGCCAGCGCGCATGGTTAGGCCAGCGCGCATGGTTAGGCCAGCGCGCATGGTTAGGCCAGCGCGCATGGTTAGGCCAGCGCGCATGGTTAGGCCAGCGCGCATGGTTAGGCCAGCGCGCATGGTTAGGCCAGCGCGCATGGTTAGGCCAGCGCGCATGGTTAGGCCAGCGCGCATGGTTAGGCCAGCGCGCATGGTTAGGCCAGCGCGCATGGTTAGGCCAGCGCGCATGGTTAGGCCAGCGCGCATGGTTAGGCCAGCGCGCATGGTTAGGCCAGCGCGCATGGTTAGGCCAGCGCGCATGGTTAGGCCAGCGCGCATGGTTAGGCCAGCGCGCATGGTTAGGCCAGCGCGCATGGTTAGGCCAGCGCGCATGGTTAGGCCAGCGCGCATGGTTAGGCCAGCGCGCATGGTTAGGCCAGCGCGCATGGTTAGGCCAGCGCGCATGGTTAGGCCAGCGCGCATGGTTAGGCCAGCGCGCATGGTTAGGCCAGCGCGCATGGTTAGGCCAGCGCGCATGGTTAGGCCAGCGCGCATGGTTAGGCCAGCGCGCATGGTTAGGCCAGCGCGCATGGTTAGGCCAGCGCGCATGGTTAGGCGAGCACGCATGGTTAGGCGAGCGCATGGTTAGGCCAGCGCGCATGGTTAGGCCGGCGCATGGTTAGGCCAGCGCTCATGGTTAGGCCAGCACGCATGGTTAGGCCAGCGCGCATGGTTAGGCCAGCGCGCATGGTTAGGCCAGCGCGCATGGTTAGGCCAGCGCGCATGGTTAGGCCAGCGCGCATGGTTAGGCCAGCGCGCATGGTTAGGCCAGCGCGCATGGTTAGGCCAGCGCGCATGGTTAGGCCAGCGCGCATGGTTAGGCCAGCGCGCATGGTTAGGCCAGCGCGCATGGTTAGGCCAGCGCGCATGGTTAGGCCAGCGCATAGTTAGGTCAGCGCGCATGGTTTGGCCAGCGCATGGTTAGGCCAGCGCATGGTTAGGCCAGCGCGCATGGTTAGGCCAGCGCGCATGGTTAGGCCAGCGCGCATGGTTAGGCCAGCGCGCATGGTTAGGCCAGCGCGCATGGTTAGGCCAGCGCGCATGGTTAGGCCAGCGCGCATGGTTAGGCCAGCGCGCATGGTTAGACCAGTGCGCATGGTTAGGCCAGCGCATGGTTAAGCCAGCGCGCATGGTTAGGCCAGCGCGCATGGTTAGGCTAGCGCATGGTTAGGCCAGCGCATGGTTAGGCCAGCGCGCATGGTTAGGCCAGCGCGCATGGTTAGGCCAGCGCGCATGGTTAGGCCAGCGCGCATGGTTAGGCCAGCGCGCATGGTTAGGCCGGCCCGTGGTTAGGCCAGCGCATTGTTAGGCCAACGCGCATGGTTAGGCCAGCGCGCATGGTTAGGCCAGCGCGCATGGTTAGGCCAGCGCGCATGGTTAGGCCAGCGCGCAGGGTTATGCCAGCGCATGGTTAGGCCAGCGCGCATGGTTAGGCCAGCGCGCATGGTTAGGCCAGCGCGCATGGTTAGGCCAGCGCGCATGGTTAGGCCAGCGCGCATGGTTAGGCCAGCGCGCATGGTTAGGCCAGCGCGCATGGTTAGGCCAGCGCGCATGGTTAGGCCAGCGCGCATGGTTAGGCCAGCGCGCATGGTTAGGCCAGCGCGCATGGTTAGGCCAGCGCGCATGGTTAGGCCAGCGCGCATGGTTAGGCCAGCGCGCATGGTTAGGCCAGCGCGCATGGTTAGGCCAGCGCGCATGGTTAGGCCAGCGCGCATGGTTAGGCCAGCGCGCATGGTTAGGCCAGCGCGCATGGTTAGGCCAGCGCGCATGGTTAGGCCAGCGCGCATGGTTAGGCCAGCGCGCATGGTTAGGCCAGCGCGCATGGTTAGGCCAGCGCGCATGGTTAGGCCAGCGCGCATGGTTAGGCCAGCGCGCATGGTTAGGCCAGCGCGCATGGTTAGGCCAGCGCGCATGGTTAGGCCAGCGCGCATGGTTAGGCCAGCGCGCATGGTTAGGCCAGCGCGCATGGTTAGGCCAGCGCGCATGGTTAGGCCAGCGCGCATGGTTAGGCCAGCGCGCATGGTTAGGCCAGCGCGCATGGTTAGGCCAGCGCGCATGGTTAGGCCAGCGCGCATGGTTAGGCCAGCACATGGTTAGACCAGCGCGCATGGTTAGGCCAGCGCGCATGGTTAGGCCAGCGCGCATGGTTAGGCCAGCGCGCATGGTTAGGCCAGCGCGCATGGTTAGGCCAGCGCGCATGGTTAGGCCAGCGCGCATGGTTAGGCCAGCGCGCATGGTTAGGCCAGCGCGCATGGTTAGGCCAGCGCGCATGGTTAGGCCAGCGCGCATGGTTAGGCCAGCGCGCATGGTTAGGCCAGCGCGCATGGTTAGGCCAGCGCGCATGGTTAGGCCAGCGCGCATGGTTAGGCCAGCGCGCATGGTTAGGCCAGCGCGCATGGTTAGGCCAGCGCGCATGGTTAGGCCAGCGCGCATGGTTAGGCCAGCGCGCATGGTTAGGCCAGCGCGCATGGTTAGGCCAGCGCGCATGGTTAGGCCAGCGCGCATGGTTAGGCCAGCGCGCATGGTTAGGCCAGCGCGCATGGTTAGGCCAGCGCGCATGGTTAGGCCAGCGCGCATGGTTAGGCCAGCGCGCATGGTTAGGCCAGCGCGCATGGTTAGGCCAGCGCGCATGGTTAGGCCAGCGCGCATGGTTAGGCCAGCGCGCATGGTTAGGCCGGCGCATGGTTAGGCCAGCGAGCATGGTTAGGCCAGCGCGCATGGTTAGGCCAGCGCGCATGGTTAGGCCAGCGCGCATGGTTAGGCCAGCGCGCATGGTTAGGCCAGCGCGCATGGTTAGGCCAGCGCGCATGGTTAGGCCAGCGCGCATGGTTAGGCCAGCGCGCATGGTTAGGCCAGCGCGCATGGTTAGGCCAGCGCGCATGGTTAGGCCAGCGCGCATGGTTAGGCCAGCGCGCATGGTTAGGCCAGCGCGCATGGTTAGGCCAGCGCGCATGGTTAGGCCAGCGCGCATGGTTAGGCCAGCGCGCATGGTTAG